GGATTACCACCTGTAACTGCTGACTGCTAAAGGAGAAAAGCACATCTGTCTCAGAAATGGTTTGTCTGTTAYAGAGCTGGACCCTTGTCATTTACAGAGCTGCTGACTACCAATATCCCTTCAAAAATAAAGCTGATGGCAGCAGTGGATTTTTTTGTTGTTGTTGCTGAGATAATTTAATGGGGTTTTTTTTCCCAAAATATAATACTTTAAACTATTTTTACTGGTTTTAATTATATATTATTTTAATATACCTAAAGATAAATACCTTGATACTTGTCATATTATTAATTATTCTTCTATCTATTTTCTTGTTATTTTTTCCTCTTTAAATCTTACTTCATTTTCCTAGTTTAAAATAATTCTTTTGCAGAGCAGGCATGATTTTTTTTTTTTTCACGATCCTGAGACATGACCATTTTTGGTCATATTCACAAATAAACTGTTGGTAGTTCAGGCCTAATTAAAGAGGGATCTTATATTTAATTGTGAAGGATGTTTATTTTAAAGTCTAGGGCACCAGCCTAGGTTATTGTGAACTGCTGGGCTGAGGTGAAAGGGAGGATTAAAGAGGAAGTGGAGTTTATTAATAGACTCATGGCTGACAATGGCTTTGCAGTGTGCAGGGGTTGACTTTTGCTGCAGGACTGACTGGGTTAAGAGATGAAAGAGCATTTGAGATGAGAAACACAGCAGAGAAAGCTGTGCAAGTGAAYAATGAACAAAGCCCTGCACATACTGTTACCCTGTTGTGGTTTTCTTCTTTTCTCCATCATGCACTTAAATGGGAAAAAAAAAAAAAAAAAGTTTTCCTAATCTTTTCTTTTTTTTCTGAAACATTTAGGATGAAAGAGATTAAATTGTCTCATAATTTTGGGGAATCCCAAGGATGTTTTTGATGCTGTTATAAATACTTGGACTCATTATCAATAATCGTGGAAAAGGATTTGTTTGTATTCATATTCAGGAGCTTTCTTGAACCAAATGACCAAAGCATGGCATGGCTTCTTGAAATTGTCATGTTGAGGTAGTTGTCCTGGCCTTTTGAAAGCACTGGAAAATTGCATGAAGGGCAGGAAATACTGTTGGCTTTACTCAGCTATCTAATAGCAAGTGGTGTTTTGTTTGCATATCAACTAAAGCTGCCTAAAACTTTGCTGTTTGCTTGGCAGAACAAGCTGCTTGCTTGTCCTTTATTTATTTTGGAAATCGTCAAAATTTTTTACTTCAGATTTTCGGTATCCATTCAAAATATAATTCTGAAGCTTTTTATATATAAGTCGTGTGATGCTTTACAGTGGGCATGTATTTGGTCATGAGATGTATCTTCTTTCCCCAATGTGAAAATCTGCTGCTCTGTTTCCTTCCTGCTTTAAAACCCAGTGTGTCACGCTGACTTCAAAGGCTGAAGCTTGAAATTCTAATATATTACATTCCTTCTACTTAAAATGCGTGTTTCACCACATCCATAAAATTGAGCGAATACAAATGGAAACCAAGTATTTGTCAGATTAAGATGTCAGAGCAGTGGAATTATTCTGAGACAGTTTTAAACCAAGGGGTTTTTTTTTTTTCAAGATCTCACTTTAAGGCAGATAGTTGCTGAATTTGTTATAAATAGGACTGTGAGAAAGGCTCCAAATCACAAAATATTATGGCAAACAGAATTGTTAAATAAATGCTATTTTAAACAATGTGTGCATGGAGAGTAACRTGGAGATACCAAACAGCAATTGAGATAAATTGTGTGTTTTGGATCTGGTCACTCTTTGGAARGTAATCACAGGCTAAACTGTTAAGCAGGGCAGCAAACTGAGCATGGCTGCAGATGATAAGAATTAATAACTGATAGGAARGGTTGAAGAGCTTAATGGCAGCCTGGGCTGGAAAGGAGCACCCTGAGCAGCTCTGCTCCAGGCAGGCGCTGAAACGGAACAGGGAGTGCGCAGTGAGCTGGCAAATTCTGCTGAGAAAATGAGTAGTTGTATCCTTTCAAGTCATGGGACAATTTCAGGATGCTTCCCAAAGGTTGTAATTGCTAATGAATTGAGCAGTACTCAGTAATTTATCAGAGACAGCTGCTAAGGACTGCACTCCATAAAAAGAGTTTTAGAGCAGCCGAACAGGCTACCAGGTTGGATATGTGATGTGTTTGTGGGGAATGAAAGTAAAATATGCTTGTGTCACTGGAGAGGGTCTGCAAGGAGTAATCAAAGACTTYGAAGAAAATAAAATAAACTGAAAAAAAAATTAAAAAAATAAATATACTAAGCCAACATGCTTTATAATGCTTCATARTGCTTTATAATGCCCACTAAAAGCAACACCACCCTTCCAAGTGATTTCACTTGGCATATGAAATATGCCCAGTTCTAGTTTTACTAACTGCATCTGAGGCAGGAGATGCCAGGTGCTCCTYGGAAAGGTATACAAACTGTTCTCAGCACACAACACCAGCAGCTTGTGTGTCCCTTGAACTGACAGGGTTTAGAGCTTAGCACAGATTTTGGTTGTCTTTTGGCATGAAAAAAGAAAGTAGTAGAATATATGCATGTATGTGGATGCTCAGTAGGTACTGGCAGGTCAATCAGCTGCTGTAGAACAGGAAGAGAACAGTTAATGTGGGGCAGTGAGTTGATTTAGGGGCTCAGGAGATWTGCTGGCTGAAAGGCAGCTCTAGTGCAAACAGAGCTGGTTGTGCTTGCTTTGGAAATGGAGCTTTTGTCAGGCACAAATTTTATCTGATATGCTTTTGGCTATTCTGCAGTGTGACTGAAATGTAGRGAAAGAGTCAAATTTGGATTATTCATGTATGTATGCAAATAAAAGAATATTTGCCCATGCTAAATTTGAATGTGAAAGGGTTATGAAAGTCACTTTCCAGAGTCAGTTTTAACTTCAATGGACATGCTATTRAAGGGAGAAGGCAATTTTTAAACTGTTTTATCATGGCCTTTTCAGTACTACTTTTATACGAAAGGTTTCATTTGCCTTGCCAAACTTTCTTAAGTACCGAAATAGCTAACCAAGTTTCCTTTTGTGCTAACTATTGTGTTTTATTTTGATAATGTATTTTTCTAACAATTAAGCTGATATGTTTCATAGAATATGTATAAAAAGATCATTTCAAAAGTTTCATTTAAAGGAAATGAATTGAGGGTTGAAATTAAGCGCGCTTGACTAATAAAGTTGCCATTCGGAACATCTAGTTCACTTTTGCAGTAGATGTTGTTCTTTATTTAGTGAGCCTTTTATTTCTAAAGCTATTCCTAAAGACCATTGTATCGAAAATAATAGCTTTGTTCACTAAATTATAAATTATTTGAAGCAATAACTATCAAATTGCAATTGGGAGAAGTTCCACAATGGATCTTTGAGGCATCCCCGGGATGCAGTTAATAACAATTGAGCTTGTTGATGCAATTTTGTTCCCATTTCAACCATAATTTTCTCATTAGGTTCGTATTACTTCGGTATTAAACCTTCATCTTTTAAGAGGCTTCAATTYAAGTGCTGTTATTTCTTTTCCCAGGTCGTTTCTTCCAGTGAGTGACAGTAAGAATGAATGGACACATATCAAACACCCCTCCCGGTGGATACGGAAGTTACTTTCCTCAAATGAAGTAAGGTTATGCCTTAGACTTTCCGTTTAWGGACAAAAAAATAGTGTTGTACTTCTTTCTTTAAGCTTTCATTTCAGATAGAGTTATAATTAGTAGATCCCACTGGAATTGTGCAAAGGCAATTTCTTGTAAAAGAGTAAAGGGTCTGCAAACTGTGGAACCAAAGTGACTGATTTCATCTGACTGATTTTTGTGTAAGGGAAAGCTGTTTTWCTGCATGGACTCAGCTGGAACAGGCAAATAAATTGCTGTAGCCATAACTTCCTTGTTATGTTACTCGGAGAGACCTTTGTGTGCCTGAGATGTTTAAGGTTGGCTCTGAGTGAATGCGTTTTTATGCATAAAAGATGAGGCTGCRTTCTCCATCTGTGGGAACAGCCTGTTTCCAGTAAACAGAGCACAGCAACTGCTACCTGCAAGTGTTACCTTGCCTAAGACAGGAGGGTGATCCTGTAGCAGGAGCATGGCACTAGACTTACTCACAACAATAATGAGRATTTACCTGTCTGATGCCAAAGAACATGTATTCCTGCATGGAGAAGGAGATTTGTGCTGTCTTTTGYTTCTCATATTGTTGTCCCTTTAAGGTGGACTCGTATATGGCTCATTCTCGATACACTTGCAGTCATATTGCCTTTTCCTTTGTGTAAAACCATGACAGTAATTTTAAGTTTTAGATTAGAAATGGCTAAAATTGTTTAAAGCAATCCACACTTGTGTACACAGAAAACAAAYCCCAAATCCTACCCAATTCTTTGGCGTAGTCATTATTGTTATTGCTCCTATTATTATCATTATTATAATTATGCAGTGAATTTTGTTAATTGAATTATGGTGGTATCTGTGTGTATGCCACACCCCAGTTGTGCATAACCTTGTATTAATGCAACAAAAAAGAGCTCAGAAAGGCCTGCAGCCCAAGTGAAACATTCTCCATCATATTTATGGTATGGAACAAATATCCAGGATCATTCTCTGTTACTAATGTTGTAGGTATGTGTAGTTCTACATAAGGGAGGGTTTTGTTTTTTCCAGTGCCTGTTTCTATGTTCCAAATAAATCTATACAAAAGATAATCAAATTTTTTTCTTCCAGTGGCTATGGCTCCCCAACGYTTGCTCAGGCAGAGAGGGAGCAGAATTCAAGAACAAGTGCAAAAGCTCTCTATGGTAAGGTGGCAAAAAGTTTCTGAACTTCTATGCTAAGTTGCTGTTTAAATATTTGATCATGATGTCATGGAGGAAATATTTTACATGTATTAGTCTGGAAGTGTATGTAAATACACATGGGTGTGTCTGTCAACTAAATTAAAAACCAAAGTGATTTTATTCCTACTAAAGTGAGCTAGGCTAACTAGAAAATGCTCAGTTTACTTAAGTAGAGAACYTCCACCTGCTCATTTTCAAGGCAGCCATGTGTAAAGCATTCATCACCGAACTCCAGGTGATCCTTTAGCTAAGATATGCATTCAGGAGTTTAGCTGTGCTATGGGTTTGGTTTGACCCTCTGCCTCCCCACCTTCATCCCCTTCCAGCAGAAAAGCATTTACAATATTATTCTTCTCTGGCACAAGGATTTAATGGAAATCAGAGTTGGTGAAGTGGATTTGGAGCCCTGTTTGGCGTTCTGTTTTCAACAGGCTCTGTGACTGTCAGATGTGATGYTACTTACAAATGCCTAAACGTATTTGCACTCACCAGCTACAAATGGTAGTATTTGTCTTGGCTGTACACACTACTCTCCAGCCTGRTGCCAAATCACTGTGGAGGAGAAATGTAGTCATGTTCCTTGCCAGCCAAATTGCCCCATTTTCAGGTCATCCTCCTCCACTGCGAGTACATCCCACTGATAGCTGTGCTGGAGTGGAAGTAGAAGCAGCAGTGAGGCGGTGAGAAGTTCTGCTTTGTAAATCTGTGCMTGTTGCTAAATGCTCTTTTGAAAGTCAGTATGACTGACAAGACTGGAAGGACAAGGCTTCCCCTGAGGATCTGGTCCTGTACAGAACCCCTCAGACATCAGCCTGCTCTCCCTCTGTGTATCTGCCACTCTTCTGCAGGTTAASCAGCTGGAAAGCTCAAAGAGAGGTGGCTGATAACTGCAACATCCAAGTAGTAAAAAAGAGTGATTTCTGCATCCTGTATGGGTTCGCTCAACAAAACAATTGCAAGTGTTGACAGAAATAGTAGGTGGTTACGGAAACCAGCAAGAGACATTACAAAAAACTCTTAGCAGTTTATTTCCTTATGATTTTTTTTTTTCTTTATGTGGTTTCTTTTTCATTTTATGTCATCATCGTAATTTTTCAGGAGTACATGTTTCAACAGTGTGGCAATATCAGTGTCTTAACCATGTCCTTTAATCTTTGTGGGCTTTTAAAATAGTATCTCTCTGAGCTTTTTCCTGTCAAACATGATGGGAGGGTCACGTGTCAGGAGAAGCTGGGGACAAGTGAGTAAATTTGATATGTACAGCAGTGTTTTTTTACTTCCAAAATACTTAACTGAATTCAGGTACTGATTGAAAATGCTTGCCATGAAACTGATGTGTGGTGGCTCCTGTAAAATKAATTGTCCTTAGTTCACTTCTCTTGTTGGTAGATATATCACAGAACTGTAGTTGCAGTTGCCAGGAGCTGAAAGAAGTGGAGGAATCAGTTATTTTGGAGCTSCAAGTGGATATGTGTTGGCACAGCTTTTAGAGTGCAGTTTGCACATTTTGCTACTTCTGCTCTGTTTTATACACTTAAAGATCCAGGCTGTTGCTATCACCACATACATGAGCTGGAAAAGACAAGGGAAACATCTAAAACCTTTCTCAAATTCAGGGCAATTTAATTTTCCTAATTTCCTAATTTTTAACAACCAAGTTACTACTCTCTTGCATCCCACATGTGCGTTGTCTTCCTTTGTGATGCTAAACTTTTTGTGCATAGTGTCCCAAAGGGGGTGGAAAGCATCTGAGTGATACTGGAATTGTTAAAATGCATTAAAAATTCTCATTAAAAAGTATGTTATTTATAATTAATAACTGACTAAATTATTTTATTTGAGATTCATGAGACTGAAATCCTATAAAGCAGGAGGGAGCTGTCTTAGCTTTACATTTTATGTTGTGTTATGTACATATGTTTTAAATGTATTATTTTATTCAAGTTAATAGATTCAGTTATACTGGAAAAAAAATACCTATAATTTTACTGTAAAAGTAAAATGGACTTTTTTTTATTTTGCTGAAATTTGATTACATGACATTGGCAGCAAACTTTTGCCTATGAAAAATTTCCTTTCCTTGGAAAACTTCAGTGTCATTTTGACCAAGCTACCTATTCATGACTATCAATGAGTGAAAACGGTACCTGGGTTCTTAAGTGACCACTTGATCTTCAACTCAATTCCTTCCAAGCATTATAAAGACTAAATTGAAAAAAGGAATTATTATTATTATTATTATTATTATTACTACTACTACTACTACTACTACTACTATTACTATTACTATTATTATTAATATTATTATTAACACCACATTGATAATAATAATTATTGTTATTGTCATTATTATTACTACTACTACTTATTATTATTACTCCTTTATTATTGCTACTACTTATTACTCCTTAATATTGTTTATTGTTATGTGTGTGTRTTTCTATATATACAGAGGCGTGTTTATGTCGTGGCATGAATTTTATGTCTTAGATCCCAGTGCTGAGGTGATTCATGATTGTTCAGCCCTTCAGTCATCAGACAGGYTGGCCACAGTGCTGTGGGAAAAAGGCTGGAATTTTATTGGTGTTAGCCCCAGTTCAGCTGTAAACCAAAGTGGARCCATCACTATCTCTGATGTGTCTGTCTGACAGCGAGAACTTCCTTGCAATTGCCTTTTCTCCTGTGTCAAATAATCCCTTTGTTTTCTCTCATTTCCTTCCTGAAATGACCCKTTTTCTGTTTGCATGACAAATCTGTCTCTGAACCAGGAGGGAAGGTGCCCTCTGCGCATCCTTACAGGGTTTCTGTCATCACTGGCTTCCCAATCTTTCCACCTGCAATGGGCTTTGGCTCCTACTGTCATTTGTTGACGTAGCACTCTCTTCTCCATCTGCCTTGAGTAGTTCTGCCCTGGGCAGAGGTGCAGCMGTGTCAGGGCTGTGCTGGGGCTGTGCCAGAGCGGAGCGGCTGCGTTCCTCGGGAGGAATCAACCAGGAGCTCGCTCCACATCATCACATTACTGTGCAAAATAGAACTGAAAGATGTGGCTAAAATTGTCTTCACACACCTCGTTARRAAAKACTGAGTACARTCTTTAGAATTTAACTTTTGTMYGCCSAGTTTATACTCTGGTGRCTGTGATTAGGAGCTAGAAGTGGAATCGCCTGTGTGTTTTTGCATTGCTCATGTGCCTCATTYGGAGCAAGAGCTGCAGTGTAACAAATTCAGGGAAATCTCAAGCAGCTCCCAGGCAGGTAAATGAGTCCATGGAAAGAAGCCATCCATRTAATGTGCTTGTAGTGTTCTGATTCTCAAATTAAGTTGACAATTGACTTATAAACAGCACACTTCCTTTGACTGCTAGCTCCACACAGTCATCAGAGAGAAGCCTGTGGTGTAAATCTCTGAAAGTGATAGTGTTTGTTCCTCTGAAAAGGAGATTGGTTTTGAACTCAAGTTTTGACCTTTGTCCCCGGATGTTTAGGTCACGTCTCCTGCACTTTGCTCTGCCTCAAGCTGATTTTTTTTTTCCAGCTGTGCTGCAATCTGTTCTTAAAAGGATATCAGCAATCAGTCCAATGCAGATAAATGGTAGTAAACGAAATATTGGGCTTTTCTGCTTGATGACGTGTGGAATYATTTTATACTGTCACTCCAGGATTCTTAGGGCGGCTTGTGACGGAGATTCTCATTCCATGTCCGCGTGGGTTGCCATCAAATTTCAGAGCAATCTACAGTCCTGTTTTTCTGYGTCATGTACTGTCTGGGAGTGTTTTTACTTGGCTAAAAGTCTTTGGTTTAGACATTGCTTTTTCTTTTCTGGTGGTTTGAATGCTTTCAGAAATGAAAATAAAATCAATGCCTTTCAACATCTGTTTAAAAGCAGAAATGTGGTCTGTTCCTGATGATTGGTGAATTCAATAATTTTACAAAACGTGAATGGCAGTAATATCTGTCCACATAAGACATCAAGAATAGAACCAGTTTCTGTGGATCAATGTTCCTGTTCCTTCAGAAGCTTTAGTAGCTGGTAGATCTTACATTCAGGACCTATGTAAGTRAAATGTTGTGCTGCTTTTCACTTTATTGCCTTTGTGTTGTGAGAGATTTTATTTTAATCAGATTCTTCTGGGTTGCATTTGCTATAGATTGTGATTAGAATTTAACTGAAGTGCCTTTTGCCATGATCCTCTTTTATTTTTTTTTTCTTTTACCAGAGGGAAAATCCTTTAGGTAAATGGTGTGCAGCATACCAGCAGAGTTTGATCTTACTGGTATTAAGGCTGCACTGTATTTTAAGTGGTGGATGTAAGAGTAGCAATGAGTAGAGTATGTATTAAAAAAATCTCAATAACTTTGATAGTTTGATTCATATTTTGATAGTTTTATGCATTATATCTGGAAGTGTCTGTTGCAGCATTTCACTTCAGCTTCAATAGCTTCTTCATGCATGATGGGACCTGTGAGAGGCTGAGATTGATTGGGAGGATTAGGAGAGTGAAACAGAGCATACAAAACATTAGTTTGTTTTCATTGTCAGGGGCTGACCCCAGCTGAGGACCTGTCCATTTGTTTGCTCATTCCCCCTGTCTCCTCTCTGCAGCAGAATAGGGGAGAGAATTTGAAGAGCAAAAGCAAGGAAAAAAAYGTGATAGACCAAGATAAAGATGGCAAAATAAGTGAAGGAAAGARCAGGGAGGAAAAAAGACTGAGTAAGACAAAGGCATTTGCTCACAACTTCCCATAAGCAGAGCAATGCCCAGTCTATCCCAAGWCTCCTTGGAAAGACTACCTGCCAATTTTACTGCTGAGCAGGATGTTAAACATTATGGAACACCCCTTTGGTCAGACGGGGTCAGCTATGTCCCCTCTCAACCACTTGTGCACCCCAGACCACTCACTGGGGCAGCAGAATAAAAAATAGAGGAGGCTTTGACATGATTGAGCAACAGCTGAAAYATCCCTGTGTTATCAGATCCCAAATCACCTCCTAGCCAGACTGACTACATTGAGCACATCAGCAAATTCTGTTCTTATTTTTAATTATGGTTTTAWATGTGTTACTTGCATTTGAAGACCATTTAATAAGTGAAGAGATGTTTTAAGGTTTCTCTAAAAGCAGTCAGATTAATATTGATAGGTAAGAATCCGCCACTTTGATATGTGAAAGAGTTGAKAGATGGAAGCTACATTTCCAGAAGAATGGAAATGAGCAACTTTGTAGGAAGAGAAGAAGAAGATGTATACWGATGAGAAAAGCTGTGAGAGTCATGTGCTGAGATCTGTCTCTGACTTGGGGGTGAAAACACAGAGGTGCTGTAGGAAGGAGCAGCAGTCCCTTGTGTCCCATGGATAAAGGAGGACAGAGAACAGGTTTATATCAATATTTGTAGAAGCTCAAGACAATGGAGCACTTCAGCAGGAGCAGATATAAAAGGGTTTGTGTCCTTTCTGATGGCAAGGTGAGGGTTTTGGAGGGTTGTAGGTAGGACCTGGGACAGGAGCCAAGCACTAGGAGAAAGCAGAGGTTGAMATTTCCTTTTGAGCTACTGGCAAAAACCATGGGACAGAGCATGTATTCTAGCTGCCAGYCTTTTTCTTTTATTTCCTTTCCTTTTTCTATTTTTCTTTTTTCCTTCCCCTTTCTTTGTGCTGTGTTCATATTATCACGGGGGGACTGTTCATCCTTCAGTGCGAGTCACACCAGGCAGCCAAGGAAACCACGTCTCAGGGAGCCTGGGTGATGAGCAGCTCCAAGGGAAAGGAGACTCACTTGTAAACTGTTGGATTGCAAAAGGTTTGAAAAACAAAGGTTGAAGATAAACACAATTGAAGAGTTTTGCCTGATGCCAGGATATGTTAGAAGATGTATTTTGTAAGGTGAATAATTTCAGAGTGTAACTGCAGTACCCACCTCCAGATCTCCTATAGCAGTGCTTCAGTTTCAGCTGAAATGTTCTGTTCTACCCTAAATGATAACTTGGGTTTCTGGCAGGTTCTAATTCTCATTCTAACTGCATTGAAGTAACAAATTGGTAAATATGAATTGCTCTCAGTATGGACCCTCAGTTTCTGTGTCTGTACTTTTTATTAACATAGACACAGATTGACTTTTGTTAAATGTAATTTTTTGTAAATTATTATTATTATTATGTTGTAATTAACAATGCAGAACTCGAGGGGCTGTCCTTGGCTCTCAMGTGTAGGCAACCACAGATATGATCAACACGCAGAAAGCTCTGTCTCTTCTGTAAACACTCTTGTTCTCACCATGACAGTGTGTGTTGAGCACCTTTCCATCATGTCTAACTGGGAGCACTGTGCTGCTCTGTGGAAGAGGATGTGTTAATCAGTGCTACAAATAGTTTTGAAATTCCCGTCTTAGCACAGAACAAAACTGATGTGAAGCAGAATAAGGAATCTCTTGCAGAATGTACTCTTTTCTTTTAAATTCCTTTGGAGCCTCTACGTATGCCAGATTTCCTTCATTTATTTAAAGCAACTCCAACTGTTACTGTTTGCAGGATTCATAAATTTTACAGTGGWTGTAAACTTTCTTATGCTTGTTTAATTTAATAGCATAAAACGTGCATTTTTGTTCACCTAAAAGARGATAACGCTCAAAACTGAGTATCTTGTACATTGTTTACTGAAACAAGTAATTTTTTTTTTGTTTATTTCTTTAAAACACATATTCTGTCTTACTGGACAGTATTTAAGTATCATTTACAGCCCATAAGAAGACTGCTAACTGATCCCCTTAGAGATGCAAATAATTCTATGGGATTAAACTAGATGCTCCTTTTTAATCCCCTTGTTTTGTTAGGAACAGATGGACTTTACTTCTTCAGATCATCATCCAAACAAAAAAAGAAAGGTAGCAGATCAGACAGTGCTGCTTTACTGAGTGTGTTCCTGGGGTGTGCATGTTTGTGTGTTGTGGTTAAAAAGACAATTAACTGAAAAAATAAGTAACATGCTGCAAAAGCAGAAATAGCAGATGCAGATGGAATCACCAATGCTGATCCTCTGCCCTGTGATTACAGAAAAATGGATAATGAAAGTAAGATATTTTATATCTTAAGTATAAATGAAATAATGAAAGTAATATATTTTATATATTTTGAAATATTCACACACCTGACTAAAAAATCGTATAATAGTGTTCTTAGATTTGATTGTTTGCACTGCACRTTTCCCTTGATAAAGCAAACTGAGCAGCTGCTGTGCAGGATTGGGATGGCTCTGTTGCATGAGTGGCATTTGTCACCGTGGGAGGGGGGCTTCAAGCCAGTGATGTATTTCAGAAACTTGTTTTTGGTGAAAATCACTGAGAAGCGGAGGGATAATGGTATATTTATAAAATGTGACAAATGCTTCTACCAGTATCTCGTGTCTTTGTGTGCACCTGGAATTCCTCTATGGAGGARCCCTGGTCACAGAAGAGACTTTATGGTGTCCTCACTGCAGATCTTTGTATGTCACAGATCTTGTGCTTGGTAGTGGTTTAGCATTTAGCATTTTTTATTTTGCAGAAAGTAATTTAACCTTCCTGTCAACAGAAGCACTTTTATTTCATCTGCAACTACTCCAGGTGTGATGAAATAGGTGTATCTTTTATGTACATGAAGTACTTTCCTTCTGAACAAAATCTTCAATTTTAGTTGAAGATCAAAAATCAAGATTTTTAATGAACTGTAGGAAGAAGAATTGCCTGCTCCCAGAGTTTCCTTAGACCTCTCTGTGCCATGTCATCTAGTGACTTTTTCAAAACAAAGCCCCTGGTGTTCCAGATCAGGCACTTAGGTAGTTTTTTAGTGAAGAAAAAAACAAACCCAAAAAAACCCCCCAAACCTTTCAAATGTTGCATTCAGTTCTTTTCCACTATATTTGAAAAGTGTTCTTCGGCATTCATCGAAATTCATTATTTTGTGGTGTGGGTGTGTGTTGTGTCTTCATCTTACTTTTCCCCTTCGCCTCCTGGTTTAACGTGAATTTATTGTACAGAGTAAAAGGCACACGATGTTTCTGGTTTTGCAGCATTGTGTCTTCTTAGCTGAAAAATACTGCTGTTTAGAGGTATTTTGCTGTGTATATGTGTATTTCCATGCATGTTCCTGCATTAGCAATTCAATGAATTGAATACTTTATGAGGAAACAAAGGATGAGTCAGGTCTTCTTTTGTGTGTGGCTTTGTTGTCTTGCAGATTTAACATAAGTATTTCTACATATCAGAAAATACTTCTGCTTTGAAGGAGGTTTGTACAAATCCAGTGAGCCCAGTGCTCATTATCATACTGCCACCAAAGTAGTAAGCCAAAGATTTTAATGATCAGGCTTCCCAGAGAAGTGTTTCCAGTCAGAACAYTGCTCCCCTCCAGTGTCCTGACTCACTGGATGATAACTGGCTTTTGTTTGCACCCACCAGCTCTCTGTTAGCGCTGTTGACGTAAGAATGGTCCTTGTTCTGGCCTGTGTGGGGGTGGAGGCATTTTCTGCTGAAATACAGAAATTAACCACAGCTTATCTCCTCTCCTCATATATACAACTTGTCCAAAGCATCTCTGAGAAGCAGTCAAAACACCAGGATAAGACACTGAATGAATAATTGCTCTTTCTTTTCCTCCCATCTCTAGAACAAAGGAAGAATTATGCACGAGACAGTGTCAGCAGCGTGTCTGAAACGTCACAGTATCACGTCGAGGTGAGATGAGACCGATCCCCCCATCACAGCTTTCAGTTACACGCGGTTATTTTTGCCTGCGTGTTTTTTTGGGGACATATCAGCTTGAAGGCACATGCATCTTCCAAAATATCCCGCCAGCCTGGGGTCACTTCGGAATGGATTACACTGAAATGTCTGAAAGTCTGTAGCTTTGCCATAAAGAGCTGAAATTTGGGTGTAGAGGAATGKAAGCAAAGTTGTGTGTAGTTTGGCAAATGGACAGGGCTTCCCGACGGGGTATCAATTCAAYGCCTTGCGCTGCCCTGTCTCTGAACCTGGCTGCTTGCAAAGATGAGGCAGAGCTGAATAACACTGTGCTGCTGGCAGGGCACACTGGATGATATTTAAAACTAATACTCTGATCAGATATAATCAGCAGAGGGATTAGAATATTCATAGAGTGCTGAGCGTTAACCCCTCAAAGCCCCACTGAGAAGGACACGTAGTAGCTGAACACTTTCTGCCTGCACAGATTCTTCCCCAGCATGAAGAGCAAAGTGTGTGACTCTCTGCCTTAATCTGCTTCACAGAATTACTGCTTGCTGCTCTCTGAGTATTTAAAATATTCAGCAGAGTAAACCTGGGTGCCTCTGTGGAGCCTGTTAAGCACTTTTTGAATGTGGTGCCTCCTTTTGCAGCCTTACTTTGKCTCAAACTTTCTCCTGCTGCCATCAGACCACTGCCATGGGTTAAGCCAAGTCTTGCAAACACCACAGACACTCAGCTCTTTTTTGCTGTGTTTTAAATCATCTCTGAATTGTGAGATCATRTGCAGAAGACTCTTAATTTTAAGTGCTTCAGTCCTATGATCAGCTTGCAAATGAGCACATGTGCTGCTTCTAATTGCCTGTATTTGTGTGGTTTCTTCACAATGATTTTGGTCCTGTACTGGTGTAACAATCATTTCTTACAATGGGAATCTGAGCATTCCTGGGTAAGCAGCCAGTACAGAGTTTGTTTTGCTTTACTTCTTTTAAATACTTTGATTTGCAGCTTACACCTACTTTCTTATCTGTAATTACTAAGTGCTCTTATTCTGTAATAGAAGGAAGCACAGTTAATTCTTTTTTATTTTTATTTTTTTTAAAGTTATTTAGAAGACAGATATGCAGGCATTTATTAGACATGGTTCAGCTTGAATGAGTGTTACCAGTTCTTCAATAAAAATTCGAAGGTGGATTTGTRCCTGAACAAAATGAAATAATTTTCTGGGTTTTTTTGCACAGTTGATATTCTGAAGGAGAAATTGCCACAACCATAATGGCAGGGAAACTAGCTRAGGGGACTTTTGTGAGGTGCTGTTTAGTTTCTATTGAATTGGGAGAATATTCCAAGTTGATGGTGAGCAAAAGCAATAACCATTTTCTACTGTGTTGTACATAAAGGTGAYCAGCCTGTCCATAAGGCATCCCAGTTGGATGCCAGCCCGTTCTGGTTTCATCAGCAGTCTACCTGGCAGCTCTGGGAGAGATGAGGACACTCCAGGTCAGGGTGGTGCTGGAGCTGCATTGGCAGTGAGCTCCTGGAAAGCTTCTGCTGGCACCTCCTGGATTCAGCGTGCCAAGAGAGRCAGGTTTCCACTCCTCAAGAGAGCTAATTAAAACTCGTGGTGTAATTCTAGCTTTGATACCTGAAGGATGTCAGAATGTGCCTTCAAGTCTAACCACTTACAGCAGTGAGGAAGTGACAGTGGGTGTCAAAAGGCAAGCTGCAAAAATAAGTTGAYTTAAAATGATATTATGGACTAAACAGTCTTTCTCATATCTTAGAGGTGGGCTCTGTCATGTACAAAGGCATTTTTACTCATGAATAATTTGTATGCTACTTCCTGACAATTCAAGTACTGACACTCCTGAACAATAGGGAAAATTGCAATCATAATTTCTTTTAAATGTATGTCTCACTCRCTAGCACTTGACCACCTTTGTTCTGGACCGAAAAGAGGCAATGATTACGGTGGATGATGGAATAAGGAAGCTGAAATTGTTGGATGCCAAAGGCAAAGTGTGGACTCAAGACATGATTCTTCAAGTGGATGACAAAGCTGTCAGTTTGGTGGACTTGGAATCAAAGGTAAGATCTGTGAGTGACAGTCTCATTTTCAGAGAGAGAGARAAAGGGAGCGAGCAGAGAAACGATGTATGTGAGATTAAGGATTTTAATTAGCTTATTATCACTTTCCCTTTTTGGCTCATGCAGTTTTTCTGATACCAGAATACTGTATAGTAAGGTTGTATTTTGTGTTTATTYTTTTTTCCCCCTCTTCTGACAGAATGAACTGGAGAATTTTCCTTTAAGCACAATTCAGCATTGCCAAGCTGTGATGAATGCATGCAACTACAATTCAATTCTGGCACTAATATGTAAAGAACCAACCCAAAACAAGCCTGATTTGCATTTTTTCCAGTGTGATGAAATTAAGGTAAGATAATAATGGAGGTCTGCAATGACTTACTTGAATAGGGGAGGTTTTATGGATTGACCAGTATAGTGGATAAAGAAAAATGAGCTGATTCTTAGAAAATAGTTCTGTACTTTTATTCTTATAAATGTGCTATGTGTTTAATGCACTTATGATATTAGCAGTACTTAGTATGTTAGTAAATGTAGTGTATGTACTGCATAAGAGTAATTTTGTATGTTCAAATATTTTCCTTACTGTAAATATTGATTTTTGTAAACGGTAATTTAGGTTTGCAAATGTATAAAGCTCTGGAAAATGTCTATGGTTTGCATTCACACTTCTGAAAAAAAGTGGTGTAAAATAATTTAGTTATATCAATTTTGCTTTATAATCTGCAAAGAGCTCATCTGARTCTTACCCACTTTTTCTTTTTATCACTGAACAATTAAACCTTCTCCACATTCTCACCTCTGCACATGTCTACTCTGCAGGAGGGATCTTGAAAGACAAAATATTCCTTGCATGAGGGGAAAAACAAAGCAAGAGATTGATTGTCTCTTATTAAAGTATTACCTTCAAGTGTAATTTTTTAATGCATTCTGCAATACTTCTTTATTTCTGAGATTATAAATTTTAATTTTGTTAGTTATTCTCTGTAATTTAAATTGACAACTTCATGGGGATTTTTTAAATTCCTCTGTAGCAGTTTTTATCATTGTCTTGAAACAACAGATTATTAACCACACTGTGCAACAGTTTTGGAATTGGTATAGTGAGAGTGGTGTGAGGATGATTAGGTATTGTGTGGTTTRTTGCACAGAATTTGCTGTTTTAAAAGAAAGTGGGATCCTGTAAGAAGTTCAGGTGGTACTATGCTAAATAATGTAGGGATTCTTTCTGAGGTCTCTTTTGACCCAGCTTCCCAGGGTGAAGAGTTGGTCTCTTTTAATTTTATTTTTGAAGTAGCTCCTCTGTGTGCATATAAAAATGTAGAGTACCTAAACATGACGTGGATGTCCAGGATCTCCCTTTGTTCTTAAGCATTGTTTGAGTCTGTGGCCATACTCTGGGCTTTTTCCTTACTCATGAAACTTTTCCGGTTTTGAAAGTTTAGGTCTTTCTCTGTTGGCTTTTCCCTGCTTTTCTTAGAAGTTACAACCAACCCCAGGAACCTGTGCAATGAAAAAAAAAAAAAAAGTAGTTAAAATCAATATTATTTGGGGCATTCTAATATTTTATAAACAAGAAAAATTTAAATAGTAAGTACCAGGAGTATTGGTTTAATGGAATTCTGGGTTTAAGTTCCTTTGATCCCGTAAAGATTTTCCTATTAATTCTCATAAATATTCTGTAGTGCAGACCATAATAGCCTGAAAAGTCCCTTAATTGCCTTGGATCCGAAATGCAACCATGTTTTTTGTTCCTAGCAGAACTTACATATTCTTCCCAAATAGGTACACACTTCTGCATGATGAGGGCACTAGGAAAGGCATGGTCCTTGCAGAGTGAGCCAGACACTGACAGATKTGGGCTTTGACAGCCTTTGTAGGAAATTAATTTGTCAGCTGAAGACGTGTAACAGAGCATTCCAAATCCTACGAGAAGCCATGACCTATTTAATGCAAGATCTATTAAAATAATGCTTTAGACGTGCATCAAAATTTCACTTGTGGGGCCACTGGTGGAGGCAGACTGCAGTTGTGGAGTGGCAGGAACAAACAGATTAGGGGATGCTCTGAAAAATTCATCTCCTGGTACATCAAAGAGAAATTGGAGGCTGTCATTCTTTCTGAAAGGAAATCGTATCTTTACTTTCTTGATGCTTATGCTGCTGCCATCTGTAGTAGTTTTGCTGCTTCTATATATATTGTAGTTTTTTTCTAATAGTGTGAGACAAACAAAATGATTGAGACAACTAATAATTAYGTGTACAGAGGGAAAAAGTAGCTTATGCAATAGTGGCTGACTTGAGATAATTACATCTGTTCAGACAAATTTGGTGTCTAGATAACAAAATTGTATGATGATAATGCTCAAGGTTGAAGTAGTGGCAAAAATACCAAATCCCAGATTCTCTTCTGTTCTTTGTTCTGTTTATGTGTAAAGTGATTTGTCCCAGTGCTTTTAAATAAATGGGGTTTGATAAGGTAGTCTCTAATCTAAAGRTGCTCCATAGAAAATGCATGAGGAGATATTTATTTCATGTATCTGGATGCAGTAGATGATACCTGGTATTTTCTGCTTCTGTCTCCTTAGGCTACCTTTATTCATGAAGATATTGAAAGTGCAATCAGTGACAGCAAAAGTGGGAAACAAAAGAAGAGGCTTGAAACGCTGAGGTAAAAATCCAGCTTCTTGGTGTGTGTCACAGCATTCACAAGCTCTCCAGGTCTGCCTGCTRTCTTTTGGGTTTTTTGGGGGGTTTGAGTTTTTTTCCTTCTAGCTAGTAATATAATTCCAAAGCCATGTGGGRAGGTCTTGCTTTAATAATTATCTCATGTTCCATCATTTTTTAGTGTCAGTCTCACCTTTCCCAATTCCATCTTAGTGATGGGAACAATTGAGATGAATTCCACTTGCCAGAGAATGTCATGTCCTGTCTCTGTTCTGCATATGGGTCAAGTAGCTCAGAATTTAAATTAAAAACACAAATTCCCCATAATTCCAAGTAAATAAGATTATGCTAAAAGGTTCTGGGATCTGAAGATGTTAAATAAAACAGCAACTGAAGATGGAATAATCTTTCTGCCTGCCTGTTTAATGATGCTCAAGACTTCTTGTTTCCCTGGCAGCAAAAGCTTCTCTGCCAGTTGGAAAATGTGGGGGAAAGAATCTGTTGGGTTCAGAGAAGATTGATACAGAAATGAGAGGTAGCAAACAGAGGCATAGGGCACAAATATGTTAGATACTGAATGGTGATGGTAGTAGTTTGTTAGAAAGTTTTGTGTAACTGCATGCTGGTAGTATCTCTCTAATAATCATGTTTACATTAGAGAATAGAGAAGTCTCTGCAGAACAAAAATTAGAATGAATTTATAATAATTCTGGATACCTGTTAAATTCCGATGTGCAACTTGTAAAGATTTGCCAGAGTAAGGGGCACTGCTGTATAAACAAAACAGAAACTGAACTGTTCTGACTTTGAAATTAAATAAACAGACTTTACCATTTGAGGGACTGTTGCAAACCAGGTTGCACAGAGAGGCAATCCAGAGGGACTCAAACCCATTGGATGTGCTGGGAAACTAATGAGGTTTAATTGGGAKAAGAATGTAGGTCAATTAATCTGTTGGGACAAATAATCCAAAATATCAGTCTCCGAGGGCTGTGAGGCCCAAAGGTCAAATGTGGGTGGCAGCTGAGTGCTGGTTCCTCCCTGCTGGATCMTGTGCCTGCTGGCACTGGGTCACTGGGACAGACCCTCCTGCCTACTGAGGTTCTGAGGCATTGCTGAGGTGCTGCAAGGTTATTGACAAGTGAAGGGAGTCTGGAGGAAAGAAAGGCAAAGGAAATTTTTGTTTTGTTGTTGTTTGCTGTTCAAAGACCAAACGACATTTGATATTTTGTCGTCTTGTTGTTGAATGCCCTGAATGAAATGGAATTATAAAGAGATGAATTTAAGGTGAAGATCTTGTTTTTAAATAGAGCTGTGGAGAAGGAATGGGGGATATGCATGATAGAAGCTACTGTGGTAGGGTTTTTTTGTCCATTGGTTTCAAGCTGCAGAATGAATTCAAAGACCTCTTTCCTTACAGTATTTAAAACCACACTAAGAACTGGAAAATTGCAGGTGGGAACAATGACATGTTTGTATCAAGACAGGATGACCCTGTTACAAAACAGATCAGCCAATGAACTTTATTTTGATGGTAGGGTTTTAGAAGGAAAGTGATTGACAACTGGCCAGACTTAGGAGAGTAGGTACTGAAGGGTTGCTGAGAGGTGGCTTCAAATCTTCTAATTTTCTCACATGCAAAAGGCAAGTCCAGCCCATAAAACTGCGTGTGGTGGTAAAAACGYCACCTACTAAAATCAAACCATTGAATTTATCTGTGTGAAGTGGCAGGYCTCATCATGTTCTTTGGCCCTGCTGGGGATTTCCCAGGTGACAGAGATGTGCTCACACCCTCACCAGAGGATTCCCCGCTGTGTTTGATGTATTTACACATCACTCATCAAGTCAATGGCRTGGTCTGCAGTCCAGGAGCTCCTTGTGCAGCCTCCTGGTTTTCCTTGACGAAGCACCAGGGCGCAGAACCATTTTCCTTCAAGTGTCATTTTGGCTCTCTCCCCTTCCTCCAGGATGATTTCAAAAGCCGACAGTGCCATCCCACCACCCCCACGGGCGCCTGCCCCCGTGCCCCCAGGGACCATCACACAGGTGGACGTGCGGAGCCGCGTGGCAGCGTGGTCAGCGTGGGCRTCGGAGCAGGGCGAGTGTGAGTATGGCTCTGGTAAATCCACACAGGGGGTGGGCAGGGGCTTTTGGGCTGCTTGGTGGCAATAGAAATAATTTAAGAAGACTGCCGTTGTGAGGATGACAGGAGCTGGATGAGCAATGGCCACACAAGGTCAGCCCCCCGCCCTCTCTGGGAGCAGAGAGGATGATTTTCCARCCCAGTTTGGAGCGCCCCAAGCCACTGCTGCCTGGCCTGGGGATTAGGATCTGTCTGTCACAATCTGACTTGTCATTTACTTGCATTTTCCCRTTTTCTGAATTCCTGTTCACAGGGCTTATACTTGTTCTTAGCTGGGTGGGCGTTGCAGGTTTTCATCTGGGCTTTTTTGTGACCATGGGAGCAGTAATACAGGGACCGGTCCTGTCATTGCTGCAGTCATCTAAGGATGCTCTCCTCAGAAATAGGGCCAGATGTTTTGGACAATTAAAAAATATRATCATGGATTAAAAGGTGATTTGAGATACTAATGATTTATTTATATTATATTTATATTTATAATGACCAGTATATATTTTTTATTTTTATTTTTTTAATTTTTTTTAAAGCTTTACCTAGGAAATGCTGTAATTTTAACATTCCTAATGGGGTTGTATTTTTCTGTTTGATGGTTGTTTGCAGGTTTTTTACATCCCTAAGAGATCTATATTTTGATCAGATTTTTTTAAAATAAAATTTTTTTTAGAAACAATGAAGCTCCTTCTATAAAATTTTTTTTTTTTTTTTTTAAATTTTTTTTTTTTAAAATAAAATTTTTTTTAGAAACAATGAAGCTCCTTCTATAAAGCAGACTAAAGAGGTTATGATGAGGCTTGTTTTAGTTTGTTTACTTGGGTTCTTTTAATAATAGATATTAAGACTGTACCATTAAAAAAACCCTTGGATTCCTTATCATTTTTGTTTTATTAAATTATATCTTTATCACTTAACAAAGTACACAACTATGCAAAGAAAACAACTACAAATCTTCAGAGAAATCTGAAATGTTAAGAATTATTTACTCTATGTACCTACAGGTACATCTGTTTTGAGTAAAGGCTATCTTGTTCTTCTGCTTGAGTTCTCACATCAGAAAAGTTTCATTAGTTTAATGTCTTGTATGACAGTTGTGGATCTGAGTTCCTGCAGCTCCTTTTATTTTACTCATGCAGGTCTTTTCTAAAATCTCACCTTTACTGAAATCCCACCTGTTCACAAATGCAGTGCAGTACWTAATGTGGGTTAAAAATGCAAAAGTTACATTTCCTCAAATGTCTTCAAAGCCATGGCAGCACTCTTACTTGGTTCTACTGGAGTAGCTTTCACTATATTTTGCAAAATGGGATGATTCCTAATAATTTTATTTATAATCTGCCACTTCGTGCTGGTTTTTTTTGGTTTTTTGTTGGTTTTTCTTTTTGGTTTGGCTTTTTTTTATTTTTAAATTTAAAACTTTTTTTTTTTTGGTTTTTCTTTTTGGTTTGGCTTTTTTTTATTTTTAAATTTAAAACCTGGTACCACACTTCTGCAGTTGACTTCTTTTAGGCAGTTGCCTGAAATCATATAGAGAAACCTTTTTTGTGAGGCTTGGCAGGATCAGGCTTTAAGGTACGAGGTTTTCAGCCCGTGTGGAGTCCTCGCAAAGGGAATGGTACAGCTCTGTCCATCTTTTTCTTACAGTAGTGTACTTTAAAGCATAAACTCTATAGAAATTGCTATATACTAATATACTAATTTCACATRTATTCATGTCTTGATTCTCTTCTTCCCTTTTTGCAGACGAGAAGCACAGACCATACCAAGAGCAGGAAGAAACAGCAGAGATGATAGCAGCCAGGATTGACAGAGATGTTGTAAGTGAGAAACTACAAATTATGTTGCCTAATGTCTGAAATGTTGCAGCTTTACTTTATGGGAGGACTTTTTCCTCATGGGAAATTCAGTTCTGAAGAAAAGCTTTCCTCTGCTTGTATGGTAGATCTAAAAATGAGCAGGTGGTAGTTTCTTTTCTTAGTTTTCTTTTTTAAAAAGAAAAAAAAAAAGCAGGGCTACACACTGAATGTTGATCACAAGTTTTCTGCTGTGAAGAGCTAGAAATATAAATTGTAATTTTTAAAGCAGTTGAATTTCAGCAAGCTACATAAGGATAAAAAGTTCCACCAATTTAGCAGGACTTGGATATGTGTAGGTATCTGGAAAATAAACATGATCATTTCTGAAGACAGGTGGACAGTGTTTCTTTGTAACTTAAAGCATTCTTGCATATGAGCTACARCACTGGGCATGTTCTGTGGTAAAAGCAAGATCAAATATTGCCCATATCACTAGTAACTCTCTGCTTTTCCACTTTGCTGTTGCCCTCARCAACATCAGAGGGTCTTGAGAAAAGCATGTTGTGATCTGTTGGAATGAGTGTATTTGTGTTTTCCCCAGGGTTCATTCATTCTCCTCCAGTTACTCTTTGAAATCAATTCTTCAAAGAGCACTTTTCTATAAACAGCTCAGTTTGTAGAGAGCTTCACCAAATAGTTTAATGCTTAGTACTAAAGGAGATTATGAAGTTATACTCTTTACAAAAATGCTGTCCATTCAAATAATTACATATTTTTTCATGTGCTCTCAGCAGAAATGTAAAGTGGAAAAAAATTGTGTAATTGCAGTCTGAACTTAACAGTCTTCTTACACATATTTAAAAAAGTTGCAGCAGCTGTAAGTGTTTTTTTACAGGTGTGTGAAGTTGAAAACACAATGAATCTAAATATGGACTGTTCCAGCATGGAATTTGTTCCAAGGAAGGTGCTGGKGTCTGAGAGTCTGGACATTTCAATTTCTGGAGTATTTCTGCTATAGATTGTGTAGAGAAATGGTTCCTTTTTTTTTTTTTTTCACCCACAGCAAATTCTGAACCATATTTTGGATGACATAGAGTATTTTGTTACCAAACTTCAAAAAGCTGCTGAAGCGTTTGCTGAACTTTCAAAGAGGAAGAAAACTAAAAAAAGTAAAAAGAAAGGACCTGGAGGTAGGAGTTCTTACTGTACATAATTCTGTTTCTTTGAGGRCCATTGAAGGAGCTAGGAAATAAGACTTTCTGTGCTGGTTTTTTTCATCAGTGTAGTAAGTTTCTGTCAATTTGAGCACAAAAGTTCCTATGTAGTATATTCTTAGAGGGAAATCTGTGAAARTAATTTTCTTGAAGTCAGTGGAGGGTTAGATATTAATTAGAGATATGACCACACAGTATGCTCCTGCCTTGGTTCTATATTTCCAAAATTCTCTAAGATGGTAAATTTATTATGTATTTACATGTTTACTRCATCTGGAATATTTATAGAGGTTATAAACACATAAATGGATATATAAAAATCTCCTTTTGTTCACCAGAGGGTGTTCTTACTCTCCGTGCAAAGCCGCCACCTCCAGATGAATTTGTTGACTGCTTCCAAAAATTCAAGCATGGTTTCAATCTTCTGGTAAGTGACTGCCAGTGGATGTGAGGTCTGAGGCAAGAGCAGGGCTGGCCACCTCTGGCCTGGAGCTTTGGGGAGCWGCTCCTCAATTTCTCATCACAATGACTAGATGACCTGTTTGTTTTCCAGCATTGTTGTGTTTCTCGTTTTCACGATTCTTTAAAGCCTTTTACTTGGGAAATTTGATTTTGAATTGTAAAAGGGTTTCTAGGAAGGTCTGTGGGGATCACAGCTCTGTTGWGTGTTTGCCAGCATCACCAGCTGCAGCCTTAATTTGGTTTTATTCAGCGAWGCCCACCAGACACCCTGTGCTTGTTGCCATCATTGCACAGCCCCAGAACATTCCATCCAACAAATTGCTGCCTCTGAAGGTTCTCCATAAGCAGAGATGATAATCCAAGAGCCTTCTTCTGGCATCTCCTCTTCTGCAAGTGGGAATCTCCTGTTGAAGGGAGGCAGGAGGTGGGACACCTGCAAAGCATTTGCTGTCAGACACTGACTGTCCTTTCCAGCTGCTGGGGAGGCTGTGCCCATGGAGAAAACTCTTCTTGCATTCACTGAGTCAAATCAGCTTTTTTTCTTCTCTTGGGGAATGAATTCTGWTTGCAGGGCTGTAGGAAATATTTAGACATGTTAAAAATATCTTTTTGTTAAAAAAAAAAAAAAAGCTACATCGAGTGCTGTGGTTCTGACCTTAAGGGATTGTGTTTTGAGGGAGGATGAATGTCTTGTAGCATGCTTATCCTTCTCAGTAAAAGTTGTAATGTCGAGGGTTTTTTCCAATTTTTTTACCACATTCTGCATTTAAATTAGTAGGTTTTACCCAAGAACAATCTGTGCATCTTTGAGTCTTTATCTTCTGTGCTGGAGAAGTCACAGCTCTTGTTTTGATGCTCAGCAGCATCTAGGACCTGGTTCTAGTGCTGCTTTTGAGTTTTGCTGCCAATGCTTTGCTTCAGCACCTTTGCAGGAGCAACAAAAGCCTGGCATCTGTGGTTTGTGTCAGACAAGGACAACTGTATAAAATGAAGAATCTGGTTTAAAAATAAAAGGAGTAGCTAGAAGAATAAAATCTTCGAGTAGAATGGAAATAGTTAAAAAACCCCTTACTGGAAGCTTCCAGAAATGCCTGCCATCTGCCCAAAAGCTTTAGACAGACTGAGAGTAAGTTGTTATGACTGAGGAACAATGTATAGGAAGTTATTAGAAGTAAAAACACATCCTCCTCCTTTCTTCWTTTGGAGGGACATTTGGATGTGAAAGCAGAACAAGGGTAGCCAAAAGCAGTTTGAGGAACAGATGGCAAGATRCAATAAAATCTACTATAACTCTTTAAAGCACATTTGGGCATTTTATTTCTGGAGCCTACAAAGCCAATGGGTGATCAGTAGATAAAAGAAATCCTCCAAGRAGCAATATCAGTGAATTTTAATTGTTTGGGGGTTTCAGATTTGTTTTTTTTAATGGTGGTGTTTGGTCATAGATTGGACTTGATGATCTCAGAGGTCTTTTGTAGAAATATCTTACTGTAGCAGAGAAAGTGATAGATGAAATTCAGTATTGGTAGATATGATAGGCATGGATGGACTGGTGAGGAAAAATCTCATATGTAAAACAAATCAGAAAATAATGTTGATGTAATAGAGATTCCTGGGAGAAAAACATCTGTGTTCATTGTGATCAACCAAGCAAATGATAAAAACCCTCTGGGAAAGAAAAAGACAACAGAAAATGAATAAGTGGCATCAATTTGCCATTGTGTTACCTGGCCTGATTTTTTTGCCAGTGTAGCAAAATTGCAGAAGATGCAGGGTGGACAAGAGTGCTCAGAGGAATAACTTCAGCTTGGARAAGGCCAGACTCAGGAACAGTGTAATAAATCCATAAATGGATATGAGCATTGCTAGAAAAAGTGAGTAGAGAAGGATAACTCAGGGTTTTTTTGAGAACTCACAGAATACTAATGGGAGTAAGAGGTGTCAAATTTCCAAAGGAGATGCCTCTTCACAAACCATACCATTTGGTTGTGGAACTTCTTGTTTTGCACAATAGGGGCTAAAATATGCATGGATTCAAGAGCAATGGGATGAATGAATGAGCACTTGCACTACGTGGGTGTTGCAGACAAAGTGCTGGGCTTAGGTACCCTGAGCAGGGATGGCCATTCTTGTTTATTGTCTTAATTGTTAAATGTTTCTTAAAATGCATCATTTGTTTTATTCCTTCAGGCCAAGTTGAAGTTCCATATCCAAAATCCTAGTGCAGCTGATCTGGTTCATTTTCTCTTTACCCCACTACATATGGTAAGGTTTTACAATTTTCTGAGTGTTTACCTTCAGAACTCTTGTGTTTAAATGCTCTGTAACATTTTCAGTGATAACAAGATTGAAATGTTGTGTCCCTGGGAAATAACTAAGGAGAAATGTGTGTGTCTCAGGATGAGGTTTTCTTTAGAAAATAATTTATATCCTTTTCTACATAATTTTCCATGTATTAAATATATTTATTTAAATCATCTTTAGCCTTGTGCTACACTTTGTYACTATAATTTTTAACCAGCAATAAAAAATTGAGATTCTCTGCATAATGCAGGAGGATAGTTGAAAGCATATTTAATGGAAGTATGCGTGGCTTTGATCAGTAAAGCAAAAATAACATTGCCCAAAGTGGGTCTAAATGAAAAAAAGATTTGTGACCAGAACAACAGTACTTAAGTAACAAATAGTTCAGTTATTTTGTAGGACATTTGGACACATTGTTAGATTCTTAGGTTGGTTTTTTTTTTTTTTTTTTTTTTTTTTTTGTGGGGGGATGGTGTTTTTATGAGTAATAATTCTTTCCTAGCAGCAGTGTGGATAACATAAAGTCACAGTGACTTCCTTACTGACAGTGTGTGTGTTCTTGATGTGATTTTAATCCTTGGATTTAGGTGGTGCAGACAACAGGAGGCCCMGAGCTGGCTGGCACAGTGCTCAGCCCCCTCCTGACTAAAGACACCATCGACTTCCTGCGCTACACCGTCACCAGTGAGGAAGGGCAGCTCTGGGTCTCGCTGGGTGATTCATGGACCAAAGCCAGGTGGGCACAAGTCTTCATATTTGAGAGAACATCTCTGAAATCAAGTTTATTGATGTGAYCTTAGCCAGGTTATCCAGCCCCAAATAAAATCGGTATTAGTTTGTTAGTACCTGGACTCTTCAGAACAGTTTTTTGAAGGTTTTGGAAAGGAAATGTGTAGCTTCAGTGGCATTTGGGGTCTTGAGGAGAGAGAAAATACAGAGAGAATTTGTTCATCTGTGATATCCAAAACTTATTGACCTAATCTACTGGAGTATCATTTTCTGAACTGTCCCTTGCTTGTTTTCAGTTGTTTTTCACAATTTTTACCTACTCCATCTATCTGGACTTTATTAAAAAACAATTTGAAGATGCAATAAAAAGTGACAAAATATTAAATACTAGCTACAAATACCTGATTTAAATTTCCTGTAATCATTAAAAGTTAGACATTTGCAAGATCTTCTTTAAAAGCATCATAATGCTATTAAAATGTTTTYAATTTTACAAAAATGTTTATTGACTGAACTGTGCCACTTGTGCATACCCTATAAATTGCATTTAATGGTTCAGTATTAMGGTTTTGCTGAAGGTTGACTTCCTTATGCATTTGTTTGGTTTGTGTTAATTCTGTAGTTTGAAATTAGTTGAATTGAACATGCAGAAGARAAATCTTACATTAGCAATGTGCATTTTGACTCTGTAATCTATGGTAGATAATTAAGCACATTTGATGATGATGAAGTAGGCAATCACTTAGTCTGGAAATGCAACATGTTYTTTGTGTTTATTCAGCCTTGCTCTTAGGTTTCAAATTGCAACATAAATGTCTACCAGATGGATTTTTTTTGTTCATTAATTAATTGGTTGATGAAAAGTTGTGGAGTATAAGGAAGGCTGTGTGGAAGCAGTAGAAATGGCCTCACTGAGTCCTGTGCAGGGAAAATGGATCACTGAGGAAAATAATGGGCTCCTTGTCTTGGGAATTACTCCATTTGTTTAGTTCATCCTGAAGAAAGGGTAATGGAAAGAGAGGAATGAGGCACTTAAAATGTAGTGGGCTGACCTGTGCAGATTAGAATTGATGGTGTGATTGATCTCAGTATCCAGAGGTACCCTGGGGTTGGATGTAGGGGAGAGGGGAATGACAAAATCAGGGATTACTGACTGAGCYCAGGCCTGCCAACAGGCTGGGAATTGCTGACTGCACCTGTAACTGGCAGCATTTATCCCTTGTTTTTGAGCAGTGTCAGCAGCCAGCCTGTTAAAACATTGTGATGTGCATTCCTGTTCCTGCTTCCACTGTGAAGACACAGTAAYTTAATTATAAATTAATTTATATTGGGACAGAGTGTTGTGTGTAGTGCAAAGGCAGAGCAGGAAARCATTAATTTGGGTGTTTGGTATTACAATAGAGGATGCTAAGGGAACCCTGAAAAGTAGTACAGTATTTTATAAAGACCAGTCTGGATTATAAAATAGCAAATGTGATGATAATTCTTGTATCTTGGAGCACGTCGAGTTGGGTGGATTTTATGTCTGTAAAAGCTTTTTTTTTTTTTTTTTTTTTTTTTTTTTTTTTTTTTTTTTTTTTTTTTTTTTTTTTTTTTTTTTTTTTTTTTTTTTTTTTTTTTTTTTTGGTGTAGCTAGGCCCCTAAGCTTCTGTGCTTCATACCTGCAGTCAGGTGTTCTTTCTGGCTATTTCTCTTTTGCTGGTGCTTTCACACAAATAGAGCGTTGCAATATTTTTCCCCACATCTCACCTTTAAAACAAGATTTGCTTTGATTGATTCTTCTGTTACCCATCCTTTGCTGTAAGGCAGAAGTTTGTTGTGCTAAAGTACTGACATGTCCTTACAGAATGAGCATTTTCTTTCTTCAGAAAACAGGGAGGACAGTTGTGGTAAATAAATGTTTTGTGCTGATTTTCCCTGTTCTAGCAGGATTCTGCCTGTACTGTAACCCCAGCCTCTCCCCTGCACTAATAAAAATCCTAAAGCATTTCAGTTTATAGGAACCCTGYTAAAGCAGCATTTGTATGACCCTTAACACAGGTTTCTAATTTGCTTTTCCTACAGAGCTGAATGGCCAAAAGACCATTTCATCCCCCCTTATGTGCCCCGTTTCCGAAATGGTTGGGAGCCTCCTTTGCTGAACTTCATGGGAGCTCCAAARGAGCAAGAGCTCAACCACTTGGCCGAGTCTGTGGCAAACGTTGCAGAGCAACAGCGGAAGCAGGAGATGAAAAGATTGTCAAATGAGGTAAGTTACTGCAAGAATTAGCAACATCAACCACTTCCTTGATAAATGAAATATTCTGGGACATTGCTAGAGTCACCACYCTCYRGCACYRGCTCCATCAGTGCAAGCTCTTTGCRCYTGACATTGAAGTTAYMAGAAACCAAATATCTGTTCAGCCACCAAAAATGCAGTTAGGAAAAAATAAAAGGTTTTTTGCTTGCTCTTCTCCTTCCCTGCCTCAGATAGGAGGACAGTCTAAGCCCTGARGTTCAGTTGGATTGAGCTCTGCTATCAGATCCTGTTGATTTTGATCATAAATACTTTGGGCAATATTTGAGCCAATGTGTTCTCAAATGTGCATCTATTCGCACGCACACAGATAAAGAAACCACCCTTTCTTGTGGAATTTTGGACTTAAACTGCTTCTTCACAAATGTGGAATTTAATATTCCTTCAATTAATTTATTGATAATTTCACTGTACTGCTTATAAGCGTTCAGGGGTGCTGTCAGGGCAACACCGTATCAGGTAACTTAGGCCTGCTTCTGAAAAATAACTGCTGATTAGGAGAATTATTGCACAAAACATTTTTCCAAACTTTTCTTCAAAGGAATGCCATGAATTCAGCAAAAATTAGGTTATTCTCTTTAAAGAATGGAAATATGCACCAATATCTAAAGCCTTCAGAGAAACCAAGGTGCATTTTCTGGCCAACTTTATAGCCAGCCCTGTGTTTCTAAACCAAGATTCTATTCTGCTCTATTTTCAATAGAACTTATCAGAAAATAAACTCTGATTTTTGTGAAAATTTAAAGAACTTATGTGGATTTTTTTGGCTTTTTGATTAACAAGAAACATACAGAAGTTTTCTTTTTGGAAATTTTTTCTTGGGAGGACATAAAATTTAATTTAAATTTTGAATTTATTTTTCTATGCTGGTTTTAGTTTAAATCAAGTGTTAGCTAGTCCAATGTACCATTTAAGCAGCTATGAGATGAAAGTGTACCTAAGAATTTTCTAGTCTCACTTAAGAATCTTTTCTATCTTGGGGAATTATTATTGACTGTTATGGGATGTTGTTTTCTAGCAGATCAATTCTCTTATTGGAGATAAAAAAGCCTTCCCAGCTAAAACTTGTCAAAACTTCCCAGTCACATTAAAACTTTATTTTCATGAAAATCTCTGTTAGTATAAAAAAGGTCTACTCAGCTACAGAGATTAAAAAAAACAGGTAAAAAGCCTGCCAAGCAAAGGATGATAACATGGTACATATTTGRTTACTTAAAGCACTGTTTGGCTTTATGCCTAACAAGATATACAAGAATAAATGTGACATAAACTAARTTATTGCCAGTGATTCATTTTGAGAATAAAAGCATTTAGTAAAGTTAATGGTCACAGTAATGTGAAATGCAGCTTTTGCCATTGCTGTCAACCCCRTTCCTTAGTGACCTCCCAAAAAACATCAAAAATTGTCTCATTTTTCACTGCTGGTCTACATTTCCATGTATTCTTTTATTAATATTGTGTTTCTTCTCAATAATAACAACAATAATAATAGTACTAGTAATAATAACAACAAGAACCACAGTAAAAGACAATGGTATTGAAACCTTCTAAGTAGTATTGAAAAAAGATAATTTTTTTTTCTGCTGATGATTCTAAGAATTTAATGTTGCTTATATATATAATAACCTAAAACAAATCTGAAGGGGGAGAATATATTGAGGTATTTCAGTTGCCTGTGTTTCGGGGCGTCGATTTCATTTCAGTCTTTTTCGTGGACTCGTGACTGTGCCAACTTAACCTCTTTGTCTGAACCTTCAAGAGCCACACACATATACACAGAAAAAAAAAAAGTGTGTGTATATATATATATATATATATCCCAGTTCATTGAAGCAGTTTGTGTGCCTGGCTCCTGGCATATCAGGCATTGGTTTCATGACTGTCACTGATTCCCCCAAGGTTTTGGACAGGTGATTTAACCTTGGTACCTTGGCTCCCTGTGCYCATCCCTGGCACATCCCTGGGAACAAAGGCACTGAGCTGCTTAGTAACTGAGAAATAACTGCAAATGCTCTGCTGGAAAAAGCTGCATGAGTGCAAAATGCTGTTTGTCTGCAGCAGAAGCACCGCCCTGGAGTGGGTGATACCAGAATAATTATTCTTTCATAAGTCTGCTGTAACTGCTTGTTTGATGAGGAGCGCTGAGAATGGAAATGTTCATCTCCCACTGCTAATTGGCCTCATGTGTGGGTGTGGAATTCTTCTCCCCAGAACCAAGGCTGCCTGTGGAGAKCTGTGCTGGGAGTGCAGAGGGGGTGCATGGCCCTGTTCTCCCTGCTGGGCAGGGCTCTGGCACCAGGAAAATGCATTGGAGCTTCCCACTCATGGCAATCTCTTTTTTCCTCTCCATTCCTTAATCTTAAGATCCGGCCACACGTGCAGCTCCCAGCAGAGGGGTTTCAAGGTGGAGTCARTTCAGCAATGAGGACTTCAAATGGTGGTGAAACAACCACCAGAGAGTCCAGTGAGGTTAAAGTAAYGCAAATAATTTGTGTGTGTGTGAAGTAAAATTAATTCCTGCTTCCTGGATGTCTTTTGATGTAAGGCATAAGCCAGGTGACACTGGAGATTTTTTTCCAAAGAAGTCTTAATAATACATTTTTAAAGAATATTTTATGCATATGGAGAGTTCTGTGTGGTTTTAATTSCTTTTCAAAAACCCTCAGTCCCCTWAGCAAATGTCTCTGGGTGCCAAGTCAGACACCTGGAGGCAGAAGTTATGTGAGTAACTTTTCTGTAGCCACATTAGCAGAGATAAGAGAAAAATAAGCCAAAAGCAAAAACAGTGCAGGAGAAAACAAATGACCCCCAGAAACCAGGCTTAAAGATTTGGCAATTTTTGGTGACTGTCAGCCAGTCTAATTTGTGCAGCTGGATGGTATAAGGAACGGATATAAAATCAGCTATTTCAGTATCATAATACCCACAAATGAACTGTTAAGCTTGGTCTTTTTTTTTTTGGAAATTGTGATTAAAATCATTCTTGTCTAGAAGGGGAGTGTCAATGCTAGATTTAAGGTGTTTGTTTTTTTTAAAGAATTTACCAAAGCCTTGAATGATCTTATGTATGTTCTTGTGATAAAGTTTGATTATTTTCCTTAATGAAAATCCTTAATTATACCAACCATCATACTCCTTTTTGCACTTCTTCATGGACTATAGCCATATTTAGTGAGCGTGACATGAATGAGCTCTTTGATATTATGATAATTTTACTTTATTTCTGACACTGTTGGCTGGCTAGAGGATTGTGGCTTGAAGTGCACATCCAGAGCAGAAGCTCAGAGCAGTTTTCCTGCACAGTTTATTTTAAAGCAGCTCAGCCATTGTTTGTAAGTTGTGTTGCTGTAGTGATATCTGAGAGATGACACGGCCCCTCGCCCCAGAGAACTGTTTTTCTGAAGAATATCTGTTGCAATATTAATGCAGCGGGATGAGTCGGGATGGAAATCCTTTTATTCTTATCCTTTTGATCTCAGCCTTTACGCGCTCAAAATGCAGAAGTTATTAACTTTTCATGGCCCRACCATGGGCACCTGAGGATGGGGGAATGCTGGCTGGGTGACACTAATCCCCTCGGTGGCTTTGTTCCCTTTTGTCTTGCAGCCTCCCGGCGTTCCCGACTACCCCCCGGCGGATGGGTATGCATTCAGTAACACGGTGTACAAGAGGGGGCCTCTGCTGGACCAGGGGGCAGCGGTGGCTGCCTTTAAGCAAACTGTTAGCCGACATGTAGATAGGTAACCCTGCGCCGTCAGCGGCCGTGGTGCTGTGGAAAACTGTCCCCACTGCTGGCTCCTGGGGTGGCGGGTCTGTGACCGCCGCTGGACGGGTCTGGAGCGGTTCCTTGTCTCTGCTGGGGAGGTGATTCTCTTCAGCACGGGGTATTCTGCTCTTGCTTCTCTAAGGTGTATCATTGAGATTCTTCTCATAGAATTTCTGTGAGCTACCCTGTTTGTCTATGATGGTAAATTGATGCTTGTGTCAAAAATAATATGGTGGAGTTCCAACCCRATTACAAGTGCAGAATCCTCCTGCTTCAAATTTTAGTTCTGATTCATTTCATGGTTTTAAATACACTCTTTTCTCTCTTCAGCATTACAARTAATGGCAAGTTTACTCTGAGATTCCGCTGTCCTTTTGATTGATTGTTTGATTTTCTTAGCTGCTCCATAGTCTCCTGCTTTTTGTTTTCTGGGCTGGTGTATAAAYACCCACTTTCAGAACAGTGACACCTTGTCTCTTCCATCCTCTTTCAAATGTTACAGAAAACACTCAGAAATGTTTGCATAGCAACCAGTGTCTTTTTGCACGTTCTCTCTCCCCCCATTCATTTCATTCTAAAACTGAACAACTTGACAAGATGAAATGCAGTGATCCCTGCCCTTGTCTGTGGGGAGAATTTATACCAGCACAAACTGTGGAAGCAGATCAGTAAAGAAGCACTGGAATTGCTCTCCTGTGCCAAACCGTATTCTATATACACAATACGAAAATATTTTGTCTTATGAGCCATGGACAATGTTTAAGCTAAGTTTTGGGGATCAAATTGCTGGTTAAAGCATCATGGATAAAACCCTTTTTAAAAACCCTTGGAAGAATCCCTAATTTTTGAGCCATGTGCTAAAAGACCCTGTTGTTAATCTGCATGCAAATTCCCATGTGGTGTGCAGTTTGAAGACTCAATTATTTTCCTGAACTTTGGATTTACTCTTCATAGCAACAACAGCAGAGTAGTCATCTCCTAATTGTTTTCTCAAATTTGATTGCCTGTTGCATTCTTGTCTTGGCACCAAGCAGCTTGAAATCTAGATGATCTGTGCTCTGAATTCTTTTCCCCTATCTGTAATGCAGTAAGACCTGGTTTGTCCTTTCAGAGTAAGCATATTCCGTGCAAATATTTTTGCCTGCACTTCAGTTTTAGAGAATGAGTCTAACTGCATTTATTGATCGTTGTTGATGAGTATCTGCCTGGAGCTGAAAGAGTTCCCCAAGCCTGCTRTGTGGTGGGTAAAGAGAAATGGGTGTTTCTCAGAAGCAGTGCGTGAAAGGTGAGGTTAGTTTTTGGGAAGCTGTGGAATGAGACCCGCAGTGGTAGTGCCTGGTTGTTAATAGGTGTTACCTCAAGCAATTTCAATTAAAAGTTAAGTTTTAAGCATTTGTGAACAAGTAGGGAGCAGGCACTCACGAAAAGGAGTGAGRAATTCAAGCTGAGCTTTTCAGCCAGCATTTGCTGGTTCTTGTTCCAAGCTGGCATCCCTCAGGATCATCCCTCCTTCTGAGGGTCAGGTAGGCTACACCCTTTCTAGGGAAACTTTAATCACAGGGAGTTTCAGTGAGACTTGCTCTGAGATGCCACGATGTCCAGTAAGGCATGCTTCTCTTGGGTGATGAAAATAAAGTGTCAGATCTTAGCCTTTCAGTGTGAAATTAGGTATTTCAGGAACTCTGAAGCCACAAGAGCACTGAATAATTTTCAGCAAGTTTTGTGSTGTTTTTAAGTAGCAATTTTTGCTGTGTAGTTTGGTTTCACTATCATTTGAAGAGGATCTCTCTTAAAATCTGTGCAATCCTCTAGGGTTTCAAGCAATGTTCAGTGAAGAGCTGAGGGCTGAGATTGTGATATATTTAGTAGGGAATAAGAAACACAGGAGGGTGGATGGAGGGAAGTGTTCAGAGTGTGCCCAGAGTAAATGGGCTTGTTAGGCTGGGCTTGAAGAATTAGGGTCTCTYTCAGAAGCATGCAGCCATTGACTGTCTCATGTTCTGGGCATGTTGATGAGTGGAGTTAAATGCCTAAAATATAGGCAGAGTTATATTTTTTGTAGGAATCAGGATAGTTCAGTGTCGACAAAATCGGAAGACAGTTATTGAAATGGTTTTGGAAAGGCAGCCTAAAAGTAGAAGCACTGTCAGAGCTACATTAGTTGTACCTCTGAGATAGGAATTCAAAATTATATGAATTTTAAGTGGGTGGCAGGAARAATTGCTATTACACATTGTTCAGCCTCATAATAGCTATTCTGCAGGCTGGGGTCAATYCCCTGCTTTTCACTCTCTCTTGGATCACTGGTAGTATTTTTTCTTTCTTTCAAAATGATCCTTCAATCTAAATATGACTCTTCCTTGGTTCTCCTCTTCAAGTCAAGTGAGACAGTTCTCCACAGCCATGCAATAGCCAGGTTAGCTGCTGGATTGCTCAGGCACCCCTGGAACCCACATTTACACAGCACCAGCAGCAGCAGCCACCGTGTTCGTATCCCTGAGCTCTGACCTTGTACCCAGCATTTCCAGCCATGGATTGCTTCATGGTGTCATTAGCTGATCAGATTTATTTATTTATGTATTTATTTATTTATTTATTCATGTGGGGTTTTTTTTTGTTTGTTTGCTTTCTTTACTGCCTGGTATGGATTTATGTTGTTGGGCGTAATTTGCAACAATCAGCACTGTGGTCCTGCAGGTTCTGAGGTTGGACTTTGGCCGAGAATTGTATCCCTAAGATGTGCTAAAAACAGAAACTAGTCAGAAAATTTAAGTGAAGATCGACAAAACAAAAAAATATATTACCAAGGCAGCATTGCAAATGGCCTTAGGCTAACTATGCTAAAAAAAAAAGAGAAAAAGTTGAAAAAAACCAAAACCAAATGAAATGGATAACAAAAACAGAGTAAAAAACCATAAAATTAATGACACAGCCGCTTTTCCAACTATTATAAGGCACCAATCATATACTAATAAGTGGAAAACAGACTACTAATTAATCAATAAACAACTATCATTTACACAGAAAACTTAGTATATATGCTGTTACTAGTTAAATAACAGGGGCTCAGCCCAGTAATAAAGGAGGATCAGTGCTCGTTACTTGCGTCGCATTGTCCGTCTCTACTGCGACGTGCAACGAGTGAATAAAGTTGCTGGGGGTTTTCGTGGACCTGTTGGGACCTGTTGGGTTGGGGACTTCTCAGCTGAAAAAGTATTGTGTCAAAGAAAGTAGTAGCTCCTCAACCAAAGGCMTTCTGGACAGCTCTTTCCTCATGGAAACAGAAAGATACAGAGCTTGACTGTGATACGCCTTGCTCTACGGTGAATCCTGTGTACAACCTGCAAGAAGTTATTTGTCATTTTTAATTGATAAAGTAACTTGAGGTTGTTAAAGTTGATGGCATCTTATAGTCAATTAAGAAAACTGATATATAATGGGTAACTTTTTTTTAGAGTTTAACTCCATTAGTGCTGATGGCAAAAATTTTTTAATCTGTTATGTATTTGAAACAATCTATGTTGAACACTGGAAATACAATTTCATACAGAGCACAAGGTGTCAATTATGTCCTGAGTATAGTCATTTGTTTATATGGCAAATGACTGTTTAACCTTGTGCAGGAAAACAAACTAAATGTAGAGTACATGTTTATTTTAAAACAATAGCAGCTCCTAATCTGAGTTGTTATCATACATCTTGCAAGCAGTGAGCTGATAAAGATTACCAGTTCTTGAGGTCTGTGCATTTTGCCTCCTCTTTTGTTTCATTTTTACTTTTTTTTTCTTTTTGGCACTTAAATCAGTGCATTATGAATAGATAGTTCTASAGCAGCATCATATTATGGTTGAGAGGTTTTTGCTTTAATAAATGTTTTGCAGGTTGGTCAGAGGGCATTTTGTGTTTACATTTGYTTGACTGTCTCATTGAACAAGAGTCTGATCTTTGCTTTGCAGAAACTATGAGGCACACAACAAAGCACAGAACAAGAAATATGCCAAATGCAAGTATGAATTYGTGGCAAGAAACAACAGTGAGCTTTCTGTCATGAAAGAAGAGATTGTAGAGGTAATTTCGTTTRCAAAGACAACACAGAAATTTCTAGTGCTACTCAAAGCTGAGGGTACCCTTCCTGTGGGCAGTGTGGCTTTCCTTAATGTTTGCTTCAATGTGTTTGACTTGTCTGCCCTGGTATGGAAAGTTCAGTTAATTTGTTTTGCAGCATTTTTGCTGACTTAGGAACGGTGCTTTTGAGATCCGTGCAGAAATACATTTGTGTGTTCCCTCCTTTTTTCCAGTGTTGCTTTTAAACATTAAGTAGTGTTTAAATAACATTCTGTGCACAGAGGGTACACAGAGGGTACAGCCTTTCCAAGAGGATAAAATTGAGATAGATTTGGAAGGGGTGGAGCAACAAAGAGAAAATGCTGGGGCAGGTAGTTGGATTTCTGACTGCTCCTGGCCATCCTGCTCCTGTTCCCTGTTTACTAAAAAGTGCTGTGTCTCCAAATTTGAGCTCTCTCAGAACAATACCTGTACTTGGGTTATTAGTAATTATTTATTCCTTTGTCAACAGCATATGGGTTGTAGAGGTGGCAGCATTCTCTGTGAAAGAGGCCTCTGGCTGATCCAGCACATGCCCAGGTTTACTGAATTTCATTACACACTTCTCTTATATATTCTTTCTTTAGAACCCATTTTGAAAAGTGCTTTAATTATGAATTAATGATGGTGATAATCAGGGAAGATACAGGGGTTTCTCAGRGACACATCTGTGCACGATCTGTTGGCAGACRCAGAWCCTGGMAAAGTTCTGGTTTTGTTTCAAAATRGTGCACAGCCTAMGTACTGGCAGGAGGAAATCAGAAAAAATTGGTAATTAATTTACCAAACTGTTTCAGATTCTGGATGACAGAAARCAGTGGTGGAAGGTTCAGAACAGAAGTGGCAGCACAGGCTTTGTGCCAAACAACATTTTGGACCTGCTGAGGAATACAGAAGGCGGTCAGGGATGGCCGGAGCCTGCCTACACCCGCACCATCCAGGTACTGTCCATCCTGGGAGCCAAACCTTCTYTGGGAGTGTCAGAATGTGCATGTGGAGCAGGAAGAGAATCACAACAAGCTGAGATAACTGCGTGTCCCACCAGTATATCACAAACAATTCACGTTTCTTGTAGAGGCTGAAGGTGGTGTCTGTATGTCAGAGTCTAACTTGAGGATATAGTTGATAGAGATACAGCAAAACATTTTACTTCAGGTTTTTTTTTTTTTTTTACCTGCTTATTTGCTTAGAGGTGGTAACATCAGTCCTAATGGATGTGTATGCATTTATTTTAATTGCAAATATCCTTTGTGAATTGATAGCTGTTGATGCCAAAGAAGGAGTTTGAATTATTTAAGGTAGGGTCATCTTTGTTTATCCTAGAAGAGTGAACCCAAGCTTTTCTTTCTATTTTCTGTGTTTGTGTGTCTCTATCCCAGTCTTGAATTTATGTAATTATTGTAATTTTGTAGTCATGAAAAAGAGGTATATTTGCTTTTGAATTCACAAAGCAGGTATTTTTCAATTACTATGTCTGTACATCAACAGCGCTCTATTATCCTGACCTAATTTTAATTTTCTTTCTTTCATGTAGTGGTGTGGAATTAATATTTTTGTTGTCATTATTTCTTTTATATGTTGAACAGAATTAGATTGTAAAATACTGTGAAAAAATTTTTACATCGGTGCAWTTATCCACCCAAGTAAGGATATATGGGATAAAGTTGGATTGTGTATTTTTAGAYGAAATTTAAGGGGGTCAGAGGCTACCAAAAGAAGAAGTTATATTTTCTAAGACCTCTTTCTTTCCTTTTATTTTYTAATGATCTTGAAAGGTTAGGCAAACAAGTTTGGATTAAATAGAAATTCCAGGCCTGCCTATGAAYTGCTAACCAAAGACTTTTTAACCAAACTTCTGTTGAAACTTGAAGTTCAATTTAAACTAATATTCATCCATTGAATCTGCAGCTACCAGCTGATGACTGAAAACCAAGAAATGCCACAATGCTTTGTAAAATAATATAGTAGAGTTGTCTTGATCTCTTGGTGGGCTTGGATCAGACCATTTCTGAGCTTTTCCATCCCAAACTGTTTGCCTGTAACATATCAGCTTGTTCTGGATTGATTGTGGATTKGCTTTCTGTGAAATGAAGCATGCATCTAGAATGCTTTTCAAATCCTGATTTAAGGCTTGTTTTTTTCTTCCTGTGCATGTCATTTTGTGTGTTTGGAGTTTTTACAGGAAAAACTCAGTCCTGAGCAGGCTGAAGACAGTTTTGAGTAGAGGTTCCYACACCATTCCTTTGTAATTCACTGCAGGGTTTGAAATTTTCTGTTTGAAATAAAGACAGGACATGGCATATAATAAAATAATCATTTCCACAAAGCATTCTCTGTGGACCTCTGAAAATTAGGGCCAGGGAACAAGGTTTAAGATAAGTTTGTTACTTTGCCCTCTGACAGGTTATTCTGCAGCTTGATCATATTCAAATGTGAGCTTGAAATACTGTGAAATTATTTATGAATGTAATTAATTGCACAGGATAAACGATGATGTTACCAAGACATGTCACTAATGCTGTTCTTTATGGTGATTATTATAATTTTAGCACTCCTGAGTGTGCTCATTTTTCTTTTTCCCTGTGATGGTTCATTTGGGAAGTGTTTGCATAACTCYGTTTACTCTTACAGCAGCGCTGTGAGACATTGCTGCTATTTCAGAAGGAGATGAGGCCTTGCCCAAAGTCAGACAGGAGAACTTGTGGGTAAAGCAGGAAATCAAAGTGGTTCCCATTGGTGCCTTTGCCAGACCCCGAACAGGAACAGGTGTTTATAGATTATTAGAAATGATTAAGAATTTCATTGAAGGAGAGGATTTTTTTCACTTGATTGTGCTACAGATACCCCTTCTCTGAGAGATGGATACCTCATTAGCACAATCATTCTCAGAGCTGCAAAGTTCATTTTGCTCTCACTCTGTTCCCCTTCTAATGATCTCTGAGGCCACACATTACTGTAAATCCTGATTTTTCACTCTGTTGCTTTCAGGAGCCAGGTCCCCAGTAGTCACTAAGGTGACACTTGCAGGAGTTGCCMGCAATACCCCAGTTATTTAATCAGCTTCGTGAGGCAGAGGCTGTAACACTGTTTGTCTCCTGGTCAGTTGAATTAGTTCCAGAAAACAGTATTTTTGCTTTTTGGTACTTTTGTACTTTTAAGACAGCATTTTGCTGATTTCTTTTATTTTTCACTAATGTTAATTATTGTTTATCAGAGGTTTTTTTGGGTGTTGGTCATTTAATCTGACTTTTTATTGTGAGCCAGCATTGGTATTTCACCATCCTCTTCTATCGGAACATAAAGGGTTTCCCAAGCACTCTGATTTCTTAATTTGTAAAAACACTGGTGAACCTGTAAAATAATTCATAGTATTTCCTATTTTCTCTACATTTCATTAACTTTTTTTTTAATGCTCTTGGGAATGAAATTCAAAGAACATAATTAGGATAGAATTGTGTATCTTGATGGGCATGTTAATTAATCCCCTGACACCCTTTGTGAGGTGAGACAAATGTCATCATTTTTGGTCAAGGGCCAGCATCCCTCTTATCTCAGTTCAAATTTTCATCAGACTGAGAACAAAAATGTTCTTTTCTGTCTGGTTCAACAGTGATCCAATCCGAAATTATGGGATGCCACTTGTTACACAAAAAAGTACTGAGTAGTTGGGAAAGGATTTTATTAGTGATAGGGCTTAAAAGTCCCCAGTTTGTCCATATTTTTTTTCCTTTTTAAATGGGGACTAATCCTAATGACAATTTGAATAAGTAAATTCTGTCTAAATTTTCTGTCAATTCACTAAACCCACAAATGTGGTACATACTACAAAGAACTGTTTAGGTGGCTTTTAATGGGATTTTAATAGGCAGCTGTTTGCATAATAGCCAAGCCCACCAAAGTAAACTCTGGGAAATGACCCCACTTGAAATTTTCTCCTCCAGTCTTGGTACCTCAGCGGCCCTTTTGGCTGAAGACAAGTGGCTGGTTCTCTCCTCTCCCTTCAAATGGGTCTCAGGAAAAGATCCAARCCACAAAGCTGTTGACAAAGCAGTGGCTGAAAGCTCTGCAGCCCTCTTGGTGGACTCTGTCACTGTGCAAACAGGAATGTGTCTGAAACCTTCAGAGAGAGAGTAAATGGAAAGCTCTGTGCCTCTGTTAACTTAATGAGAACACTTCCCAGTGCTAACACTAGTTTTCCCAATGCCTCCTTAATTTTGTCTGTTTTTCCCATAGTTTGAATATGTATATTCCCTTTCTTTAACGCCAAAATGTATTTGAAAATATATTGTTCCCAGTGTTTTACAATGATCAAGAATTAGGGTTGATATCATTTTGGCTTTTACTTAAAATTATTATTTTGCTTGTATTAAAAATAGATTGAATCATACTGAATCTTATTTTTTCACCAGATGCAGCCTGTAATGTGTTGTAAACGACTTCGTGACTTATTTTTTCTCCTGTAAAAACAATAATTTTCTGGCAAGAAGTAAGAAAACAAAATTTAGTCCCAGTAAGCTGCTATGCTGTATCCAGATTTTTAATGAGTGCATATCATCACCATTCCAAATAATTTAAAGGATTTGTTCCAATTGAGGAGTGCAAGTTTAATCTTGAAAGCAACAAAAATATGAGGAAGAAGGAAAAATAAATCTTATTTATTTTTCTTTTTGCTCTGAGGAAATCAGGAGCTAGTCAGCAAATTGTCCAGGGAGGGGATTCTGCCCCTCTGCTCCGCTCTGGTGAGACCCGTGCAGTGCTCAATCCAGCTCTGGGGTCCCCAGGGAATGAGGGACATGGAGCAGTTGGAGCAAGCCCAGAGGATGCCAAAGATGATCAGAGGGGTGAAATATCTCTGCTGTGAGGAAAGGCTAAGAGAGCTGGGATGGTTCAGTCTGGAGAAATCTCTGGGGAGACCTTCTAATGGCCTGTCAGTACCTAAAGGAGGTCTGGAGGAGAGCTGGAGAGGGGCTTTTACAAGGGCATGGAGTGATGGAACAGGGAGTAATGGCATTAAAAAGGGCAGGTTTAATACAGTGTTAAGAAGAAATTCTTCACTGTGAAAGTGGCGAGGCACAGGTTGCCCAGAGAAGTTGCAGATACCCCATCTGAAGTTCCAGACACTTCCACCGGGAGGTTTTCAAGAAGGCTGGATGGAGCCCTGAGCTCCCTGGTCTAGTGGAAGGTGTCCCTGCCCATGGCTGGGGGTTGGAATCAGATGGAGCCTTCAGGTTTCTCCCAACCCAAATCATTCCATGAGTCCCTGTCTGAGAGCAGTGATCTTGAACTCATTCGCTGAGATMACCAACATTTCTTGAGCTAATAAAATAAACACCTTTTTTAATACCTACTGTGACTTAACTCCTACTGTTCTACAGTTGCGAGTGTTTTTCACATTCACCTGATAGTCTTCAATTCATTGTCAGTCTTTTCCTTGGGTTTTGTTTTTTATGAAACCTGTTCTYAGTTTCTGTCTGGGTAGGTGTTTTGAAAAGAGCTGATTGCTTGTACAGTTTCACATGTGTATGTTTTATAGCAGCACTCTGTTCCTCATTCAAAATAAGAATATTAGAATAACTCATGTTAGTTTCCTAGTGAGTAAGAAGAGGTAATTACTAACACTGACTTTCCTTTAGTTTAAATTGCTAATGTGTATGAAATTTCAGGAGTGATGTGTGATGAGATAGTTACTTTTTACCTTTCTAACAATACTGTTTGATGTGATTTACTCCATTTTYCTCACAGCAATTACTGGGAGAGCTTTCAGAGGTAACTGAATTACTCTTCTGATAYTGAATCTCAAAAATTCCTCTTTTGGACTAAGTAATCACCAAATTCCATAGTGCATGCTTGCTTCTTTTTATAGCAATGAATAGAAGTGATGGGATGAATGCGTGGATGTCCTCAAAAGATCYGGAGTTAAAAAAAGAAGTGTTAAAAAAATAAATATTAAATAGGATTCAAATATATAATTGGCTTTTGGGCACTGTTCAGTAAATGCAAAATGTATTTTAATGTGGTTTCTACCAAATTTGTAAATTTAGAATTTGAGTGATGCTTCCAGATGAATTTTTGTTTTCACTGCAGCAAGTTGTTTTGATGAGGCTCATGATTGCAGTACAACATGTTTTTGCAGCTACTCCAGTAACATCCATTGAGAGTTACATGTAGTTTTTAGCTCTCTCWTTTTCTGGATTATGATTCTGGTAATGTGTCATTGATGCTTTGGTTTGTAATGATTCCTATCATAAAAAAGTCCTACTTTTCTTTGCGTGGTTTTTCCAAAAGGTCAAAACACACATGGAGGTACGTTGTGRGGATGACAGTTCAGTAATTGGAGTCTGTGAACAGGATAAAAAGATGTGAATATCACTGGAACATTTTAGTATCTGTGAAATTTTTTAATTCATTGAAAATCTATCTATAGTACATCTGTATATAATAAATTATGGTGTGTTTGCTTTGCACCTTGTAGGGCACTCTCTTTCCACCTAAGGGCAAGTTCCATAAATATATTTATTCTGCTTGTTGACTTTTATATTATACATTTCACTTTTCTTGTCATTTGACAATTAGAAAAGCATTTATTGTCTTAACACGGAAGCCGTAGAATACAGACAAGTCAATCATGATTATTATTTTAATCTCCCCACAATGCACTGCAGAGCAATTGAGATGGATGCCTTTGAGCAACTAAATGCTGAGATTAAAACAAATGAACAGACAAAAATGTTTAATGGGAATTGTTTTACAGGGATCTATGTTTGATTTAGTCATTAACTATTATGGTTGAGGTGAAAAATCATYCAAAGGAAGCAAGGCTCATTTCTCAGGCTTAATTGATTGGCYGGATGAGCAGATGGGATACTTTTCCTGCTGGTGTAAACCAGTACAGCTGCAATGGTTTATACTCACTACTAAATGTCTTGTCCACCCACTYGACTTCACTGAGCTGGGGATTCCTGTACAAGGGCAGTTGCTGACATTTAAGCAAAGTTTGTTTATTGTCAGGGCAGTGATCTGCTGCTCAAATTCTAACATAAGGCCCCTACAAATATTTCCCTTCTTGATCTGCTGTAAACCCTGTGCCTCCAAGGAAATAGGGAAAGGTATTTCAGGAAGGARYAGTGAGTCTGGGGAATGTGTTCATCTATCTTCRTACCAAAGTAAGCAGACTTCTCATAAYGAAGAAATGAGGCATCCCTATTGARCAAACAAACTTTAAAATTGAACTTTCAAGCTGTGCTAGTCCAAAATTACAGAGAGGGAACACTGTTAAGCAGTGAGATATGGAGTTTGACCTGCTTGAGATAAAGGGCTAGCATAGGTTGCTTGTGGGTTTGTGTGTCTTTATGATTGCTTTGGAATTCTTCCTGTAACTCGTGCCATTCTACAGGTAGAGAAGAAATTTCTTTCCAAAATTATTCTTGAGACACCTGCAAGTTAGTTATTAGCAGCAAGAAAACTTACATGTTGTAAGAACATTGCATGAAGTGGGGGAGGAAGAAGTAACAGTCCTATTCCAAGAATKGTGGAATTTGGGGCTTGTTTTATAATTGGATTATTGCCCTGAGATGGCTCGTAGAGATCACACCAGCAGCTGAAAAGGCACAGATGAATGGATAGGRGCAGGAACCCCTTAAATGCTGTTTGCAGTTCAAGAAACATTGTGTTATCTTGAACTCAGTGACATTTATAAGTTAAAATATTAGTTGAGTTTAGGCATGGCTGGATGTGTTAACTTTTCACTTTTTTTTTACGTAACATCTCAAAAGTATACGTTTTTACACTGATAAACTTCAACAAGTCAAAAATTTTGAAAGCTGTTGAATAGTTAATAGAAGTAATAGAAATCTGGGATTCAAAAAAATCTCATTTATAGAATTTATCTGCTTGAGAGAAAAAATGCGCTTCAGATGATTCCATTGCTGTGAGTCTTTGTCCAACAGAGAAGGAAATTGATGCCAAACATTGATGCCAGATCAAGTTTTGGCAAATTTCGGAGCTGTATCTGGCGAGTAAGATGCCTTTGTGGAATGAATGACACCACTGGGTGCAGGCTGTGGGTTTTTTTGATGTCTCACCCAGATTTTGTTGTCTGACCGAGCCTCTCTGCATCCCTGCAGAAACAAAGGACGGACTAYGTGGCGAAACAGCCCGACCCGGTTCCTGCTACTCCTTCTCCGCCTCCCACGCCCGCTCCTGTGCCCGTGGCTGTCCCTCTGCCCCCCAGTGCCCCWGCACCCATCCCAGTGCCCGTGCCCAAGGCGCCAGCAGCCGTCAGCCGCCAGAGCAGCACCTCCAGCGACAGCGGTGGCAGCGTGTCCCGGGACACCCAGAGGCAGAAGCAAATTCCTGTGGATCGTAAGTTTGCCTTAAGAAGCAGGATGAAAAGCTTTCCTCCAGTTCCTGTGTGTTTTGCTTGATTCCAAAGTGCCTTAAAATTTGCATTTCGGATAAATTTTCCTGAAAAGTTTTGTTTTAGCCTTATGTTTAAAATAGAGGTTTGCTATGCGTGCACGTTCTGACCCTCATCGCAACTACCATAATGTAATTAGGGAAAAACACTTTACACTTTGCCCATCCTGAATCCCATCCTTTTATGAATGTCTGGGATCTCCAGTCATAGTTTTCAGCAGTGGAAACGCCCATGGTAATACTCTGCCTAATCCAGCTTTTCCACCTGAACTCACTGCTGCATTACAGCCTGAATTGCTTATATAATCAGTTACATTGTTTTTACACTTCAATTCATGATCATCCAAGTTTGTAGGTCATTTGCACTGTTCTGAAACATTTATTCAGGGCTTCAAGAACACCTACAGGCCTGGCTGATGYGCAGGAACCATGCTGTAATAGTTTTTGGAGTCTTACCTGACAGTCGGGTCCCCCTGGCTTGTCAAAGCAGCAGCAGCTGGCAGGCCATGGGACAAACATTCCTGTCCTTGTCCCAGGGGGACACATTCCAGACCTCCATAACTGGAAAAACTTGGTAATGTGTAAAATCCATCCAAAAGTGTATGGCTTTCTTGAGAATTTCTGATTAAAGCCACCTGGTAAATAAATATAAAGCCCAACCAATGCTGAGGCTGCTACTCTCTATTTACTGAAAAGCAGGTAGGGGTGGAAGGACTGACTTAGTAATTTTTGTCCTAAATGCACTTTAGGCAATGTGATTGCTTGGCTTAGAAATCACTAAAACACACAGGCAAGAATTTGCTATAGCTTTTAAAATAATAGCTGTTAAAATAATGAGCTTTTTGTAGCTCAAGAGTTGACAGTTTTTCATATCCTCTGCCTCACTGCCTTACCAGAAAATCCTGCTTCCACCTAAGGATAGAAAGTGGCATTGAGCATAATCCTTTCTGGGGAAGGGCTTCTTTGCCCCCTGTTCTGGTGGATGGGAAGTGTTCCTGTGTGGGTTATTTATTGGTCACTCAGTGGAGCCTGTGTTGGTGTTTCCTGGTGGAGGACGAGCTCTGGCCTAAGCTCAGGAAAGCTCTGGGAACTTTTTAGTGTGTTCACCTAATGGACTGTGTGGAAATTATCAGTGGAGAGCAGCCAGGCTGGAGGAGCAGGCTTCACTGCTGCTTACAAAGAGTTTGTTATTTGAATAAAATCAGAAAGCTGAACAGGTACAGAAGATGTGGAAAGTGAGGGTGAATTTCACATACACATGCACTGAAATGCTCATTTCATTTCTGTGTAAGGACTTTGCTACATCATGGCATCCTTGAGTCTACAATGGCCTTTTCTATGCATTACAGAAGGAAAAGGAGAAGGCTTTAGGCACAGGCTGTGAGGTGGGAAGGTTGCTGTAGACTGAGTGGTTACAAAGCATCTAAAATCCAGTTAATGGGCTTTGGGCACCTCAAAGCCCTCACAAAACAGGGGCCTCTGCAAAGGTGATRGGAAACCTGTGCTCCAAGTACCCCCCTGAGCCCTGCAGGGAACTCTGCAGAACCTGCACCACACCCAGGACATCCTTTTTATTCCTGATATCACATCTAACAACAGGGAGAATCTGTTATCTAACAACTCAGTGTTTGTCTCTTGATACAGTCTTGTCCTGGATTAAGCCTAAGTCTTTCAAAATCTGTGTAAATAGAAGGAAGATGGCAATGTTCTGTCTCTTCCTGCTTGGGAAAATAGCAAGCACAAGCTTTGATAGCATTGCCTGAAGGCTTTGCTCAATCTTTGCTCAATCTGTCAGATCTTCACAAATCACTGAGCTCATCTTATTGGGTTTCTGATTCACACTTRGGGTGGGGGGAGAGGGGGAAACCCTGCACAATAGGGCCTGAATGCCTCAAATATTATACCAGAGATATTTTGTCAACGTTCAGCCTGAGGCTATTTCATAAAAGAAAAAACGACATGGTTAAAGCAAAGTTTTTCCTTATTTTTGCCATGGTGATTAAAGAAATAATCCTAGAGGCCTAAGTAAAGCTTGTTTTTATTTGTTTAACTGGCTAGATATTGATCCCTGGAGAGGTTCTGAGAGAAGCCCTGGAGAGGTTTTGAGAGGATATGAAAGGAGAGAAAGCAACAATATTTCTATTTTACAGGATTGTTTTTTCTCATATTGAAGTTGTGTTTTCATCTGTTCGTATCAGTGTAATGGAGAAAAAGAATAAGTTTTGCCATCTGAGTGTATTGAGAGGGTGGTGTAGTTACTGTTTGTGTATCAAAGTGAGAAGGTTGAATAAAGATCACTAAAAATACCTTGGCAAGGAAATCCTGAGAATTTTTGAGATAATTGTTTGTCAGGAGATTTTTATAGTCTTTTCAATGTTATGGCACAGAGAGTTTAACTGTTCTAAATCAGTATCTTCTCTGAGCCCAGAAGGTTATTTACAGTTTTTTAGATACTACCTGTTTGTGTGAATTGTATAAAATGCATTTAATTTGCATCCCAAACAATTTTTCAGGGCTGTTATAATTGATCTTGTTGAACTGACCAGAAAGCATTTCAGTTTGTTGCCTKCTAATGAACAGCAACTGAATTAAATGTTTCAGACAAATGGGTTCTGGGGGATAATGAATTCTTAGAGTTTTGTTTAAAATGAATAAATAAATAAACAAGTCTTGCCCAATTCTTGAGTCTCTGGTGAGAGCAGATACCCTTTCTTTTCATCCCTTTTTTAATGTGAAGTGTGGCAATGTTTCAGCTAAGCATCCAGGCTTGGAGTGRATTCAAATTTCTTAAAACCCCATAAAAATGTGATCGCTACAATACCTCATTAGATGTGAGTTGATATTTGTCAGCAGCTGTGAGATCTTTTTTTTTTCTACATTTGTACAAAAAGGTTGAACTTTTGATTAAAAAMCTGTTTGTGGAAAGTACTACCTTTCCACAGTGTAAACAATCTTACAACCTTCCTCATCTTTTTCCTGTTTTTATTTCTAAACCCTCAATTCTATTTGAAGAAAGGCAGATTATGACAACGGAACAAGCTTCCATTCCCATTTTATTCTACAGTTTGGGTGCTGTCACACTAATGTATGCCTCTGTGTGACATCCAGCTCATCTCTCCTTCCTGGGGTCTTAGTTGACTTCTCTTTGGGGCTTTTTAGGTTGTTTATTTTAGTTTTGTTTTGCAAAGAGATGATTTGGAATATTGAAATATTCCCTGGGGATAAAGGTGAATAATAATTCAATCAGATCCAATGAATGAATCTGTAAAGAAAAAAAAGTTTACAATTTAAAGTGGCATATAAGAAATGAATTGTCTTTGATAAAGCAACCTTGAGAATAACTCCTGTGGGATCTCTCTGTCTCTCTCCAGGCAGGAAATCCCAGATGGAGGAGGTGCAGGATGAACTTGTTCACCGGCTCACCATCGGCCGGAGCGCTGCCCAGAGGAAATTCCACGTGCCACGGCCAAACGTCCCTGTAGTGAACATCACTTACGACTCCTCTCCTGAGGATGTGAAAGCCTGGTTACAGTCCAAAGGATTCAACCCTGTGTGAGTTCGAGGGCAATGTAGGAAAACTTCTTTAAATTGTTTTCCTGTCAGGAAGTGGGATGTGGTCTGACCGCTTTTTAAAATCAAGCAGCCTCCTGAAAATCAAGAGGTGTCAGCTGCACTCTTGGAAAAAACAATTTGTTTTTACATATATGTGTATATATATATATATATTTACACTCACATAGATAGATATATATATATATATGTGTGTGTATAAGTGTACCTAATACATTTATAAAAATATATGTCAATGTGGTTATAGATCTACAGAAGTATGTGTGTATATATCTATCTATATATCTATAAATATATCTATATGTATATTTATATATATATATAGATATATAGATTTTTTTTTTTAGCCTCTACCAAGTGGTGCTTGTATACTCGGTTGACTTCAGGAGTCCTGCATAAACTTTGCTCTTAATTTAGTAGCAATGTGGGATGAACACATGTGCTTTGCCTTGGCCAGTGTGGTTTTGCTGATTTGCTGTTTGTTTGTCCCTCCCCAGGACTGTGAACAGCCTCGGTGTGCTGACGGGGGCTCAGCTTTTCTCCCTCAACAAAGAGGAACTGAGGACTGTTTGCCCGGAAGGGTCGAGAGTCTACAGCCAAATCACGGTACAGAAATCTGCCTTGGAGGTAYGGACAGCCCTGATTACTCACTTAATCTGGCTCACCAATTTTGAACCTGTAGAATTAGATAGCTYTTTCTGTGAGGCAGTTGGTTTTTGCTCAGTTCCCATCACGCTGATAAACGTTACTTGTGTGTGAGTTGTTTGGTTTTAATTCATTGGAACAGCATTCATAAAAATTTCAGGTGCAATCTCTCCCCACGTTTAAAGCAGTGTGAAAAGCATTAGAAATAGTATTGAAGTTGAAGACATTTTGTGCTGCAATGAGACTGCAAGAAGACAAAATCARCCAAAAAGAGCTTTGGGGAAAACAMTGAGAGYAAAATRCCTCTTTTCTTGTCTSTTRCTTTGTCTGGCACTTGGATAAAWAGGTACTCCTGATMATTTTGTTGGTGATAAGTGAGTTTAGCTTTATCTTTGTCAAGGAGATTTGATTTATTAGACAAGAGAAATTGATAGAGTGAGCCCACTGCTCTTGTCCTTCCAGGTCGAACACTGGGGCTCCTGTACTGAAGGGAAAACACCCTGGACTCTGTTCTAGCTGAGTTACTGAGCCAAGGATGAAGTGTTGTGTCTCTACTTATTGCTCTGCAGCAGGTTACTTTAATTACAGCAGTATTGTTTCTTAAGCACCTTAAAGCTTGTATCCAGAGCTGTGCTAGGGAGAATTCTTGCCAATTTTAAACCAGTAGAATTGGAATTGGAGAGGCATCTACTTCTTTTTATTTCAAAACTTGCTGTGGCAAGTGGAGAAATGATCTAGAGGTGAGATTAACCCAAATGAACAGCTATATCCTCYACACAGAAGAAAATCTTGAAGAGGTTTAAAATGTATTTTTTATCCTCTCATCAAGTTGAGACTGTCTCATTTGAATGATTTTAAGCATTAATCACCAGGCATATTTTTAAAGACAGCTTTGTGATGATGCATATTTTACACTYTACCTGATCAGTGTGGATCAGAGAGCATCACTTTCTAACACTATTAAAATTGCCTCACATCACTGCTAAATTACCTCAAGCCCTTCCTAGGCTTGGAAGGGCAAAGTATTTTACCCTTTTTCTTAGGAATATAATCACTATCACAATCCATCATTTCYTAGTGAAGATATTCTTTAACTTTTTTGATTGTCATCCATCTTAYTTCAGTGTACTGAGATGGAAGTACTTTTGCAGTGGAAGCTGGTTTSAAAAGCAGAGATGCACTGGATTGGAGGGTCTTTTACCCTCTGTGCTGTTAYTCTGCTTGCCCCAGTTAGGCCTAGCTCTTCAGGAAGCCAAAAAGTCCAAACTTGTCTAATAAATGCTCTACAAAAATTAATTAACAGGTACTTAAGGTCTAGGAAAGTAATTTTTTTGTTGAAGAAAAGGTAGTTGAAATACTTATTTCTGCCTCGGTTATTTGAGCCAGAATTTCAGAATTTATGCAATTCCTGATGGTTTAGCCTGTTGTTTGCTGAATTATATCTTCAAAGAAAGTTGCATCTCCCTTTCTCTCCATATAATAGTACTGTTGAGCAMTTCAGGCTCTGCTCTTGAGGAAAATATAATAAATTTTTCTTGCTGCAGAAGATAAGTGTAGAGAAACAATAACCTGAACACCTCTCTCCAGAAGGGAACCCTTGAGGCTCACACTCTAAACCTCTTTCTGGTGCATCAGTAAGAAGCCCAGGCACACATTACTTTAAAAGGGACAATGTGAAAATGGTTTCTCATATTTGCATCCAGTTGCCTGAAAGAACAGATTATTTCTTGGACACCTTAGAGAAAGAAAATTCCCATGCACAGAAGTGGGATTGACTGGTGGAATTGCTGTTACCTGGTTAGAGACTAAGCTGTGTAAATCGCTCTGGCCAAGGTCTGTCACTCTGTTCCAAAGATCAAGTTCCCAATAACAGCCCTGGGCTGTTCAGCTCTGCTGTCCCCTCTGAGCAGGATGTGCCTGTTGTGCTCTGCCATAAGTGTGTTGCACTTGGTTTAGGTGAGCAGCATTTCAAGCTCATCAGTCTCCTTGTCACTGATGTTATCAGGAAGGCAAATTCTTTCAGCTTGGGCTGCTCAGTTATTCTCAGAAAAATATTTCTGCRTGGCCTCTGATAAAGAATGTTTTTGGGTATCTGCTGATGTTTTTTTATGCATGACTTCAGTAATGGGTGCTGCACTTGCTCTGTATCTGGAACCAGGAGGGCAAGGACAAGATGAATTAAGACAAATAAAGCTGCTGTCTCACTTTCAGAGAGTCATTTATAAGCCCCTACTTTACCCTTCCTCTTTAGGAAAAGAGAGCAATGTTCATTTAAGTAGGAGCATTGTAATTAATTCAGAATTTTTCTCCTTCCCTGTGGACACCTACCCTGTCTGCCATGTAATGGCATCTGGTACTGCAGTGTAATGGACATAATGAGTAAATCTATATTAAAATTTATGAAATTAATAGGGTATATTTTCAGRGTCCAGAATCAACTGCAGGATTTTCCCCTTAACAGTCCTGAATTTTGTTTCAGAAATTTCAAAAACACTTTCTGCTTCTTATTCAGAGGTTATTTTTGGAAGCTGGTTTTGAAGTTTTGAAGGTCACATCATGGCCTAAGAGTACAGTAGCAGATATGGCTCTTGGTTTATAATCTCCTGGTTTTATTCAAAGTCATGCACACTTTGGGAAGTTCTGCTCTAGTGGATTGGTGTCCTGGCCTTGCTAATAATTTCATTTATGTTGTCAGAGCAATATTTGCAGCTGGTTCAGCAGAGCAGGTTTTCACTCTTAAAAGGTGAAATAAAGCCTTGTCCTCACAATACATCACTGTTGCTAAAATTGTAATATGGTGCAATTCCTATCACTGTGCTCTAAGTTTGACCTCCTGCCTCTGAGCAGCATTGAGAAATGTGAGAGACTGAGCCTGAATCCTTGCTTAGGATCCTTGCTGAATCCTGCCTGTGCTCTCGCATGCACATGTTTACATAAATCTAAAACCATCAAAGATTTCTGTTCAGATTTTTAATTTYTAAATATTATTGCCCTGATTTTTAAGTGTGGAATCCTAAAAGAGTGGCTGAGCTTTAACCCTGCTTTTACTGAAGCAGTATTTCACTCCGTAAATATCCAACATTTTCAGGCCTTGTGTGAGAATTAAAGATGCTCAGCATTGCTGCAGGGCAACTTCATGCTTTTAACAGTCTGCAGGGTTTTTTTCTGGTCTGTATTTAAGGATAAGTACTTTCCTATTGGAGCTGCAAGGTGAGTTTATTTGTTCAAACACTTGTCTTAATAAAATGCTGACAGAGTAATTTCAGTACCTGTAAAAAAAATAAACTCTTTTTATTTTTGTTTATAGGCTAACAGTGGTAGTTCAGAACTGCAAGAAATTATGAGAAGACGGCAAGAAAAAATCAGTGCAGCTGCCACAGATTCAGGTGTGGAGTCCTTTGATGAAGGRAGCAGCCACTAAATGTGTTTCCTCTTTTCTTTATTTCCATTGTCCATAGCATTAAACCATCSAGCTTTGCTTTAGGAAGCAGTGAAGGGGAATGTCTTATTAAAATGTAAACTAGAGCCAACATAAGGAAAATTGACAGTAGTCTCCACAGAGTACCCGCTGCTGGCTAYTCATCAGGAAAAATGAACAGATGAGAAATGCAGTGGAGCTTCCTGACAGGTGAAAATATTGGTACGTGATTCATTTACATCCAGAGATGAGTCTTGGCTTTATGGAATTAACATGACAGATAAATTGGAGCACATCTCTGTGATTCAACTGAGGGAAGCTGAGCCAGCAATAAAAAACCATTTGAACCCTTCAGTAATAATAAGATTCTGAACCCCATCTCTTGCTGTAGTGTGCAATTAATGTCTTTTTGGCTCAGTCTTTCTTGTCAGGCATTTGGCTGCAGGATGTTTACTTAAGCTGTTGACTCCAGCAAATGTAGAGGAAATCTTTAGGGAATGAACAGCAGCCCAACATAGACTGGATCTTTCCTGCATCACTCCCAAGATGTTTATTACTAATGATGCTGTTTATAGCAAAATAATACTCTATACATTGATTTTATCCATACTTCACCTGTGATGAACTATATAATATTGAACAAGAAGGAGTAACTAGAAAACAGTAACACAACTCAAAGAGGTGATGAGATCTGCTGTAGCCATACAACTCACAGTACTTTAAAAAAAAAATATAATTACATTTTTTTGGTCAGTAACTTCACTCATCAAAAACAAGTGTATAATTTAGATTTCTCTGTGTGTTGATCCCAGATATCAGTTTTTCCTTATGTAAAAAGCCTTTGTAATTTCCTTTATAAATGTAATCTTTTGGAGAAGTGGATTCCGGGTGGCAAAAAAGGAGGGAAAAAAGAAGAGAAACATCTCTTCCAGAAAACATTATTTTTGAAGATGCAATGATTTTTGTCACAAAATGTTCTGTTATTTCACATGGTCATGTGATTTTATATATAATAGATGTATTATATATAGTATATAATATCACTTTAGACAAATTTAATCGTCTAGCTTGATTAAGTTTCATAGTGCCTTTTTCACATGAATCAGCTTAAAGTCTGCAATAAACAGTATTTCTTGTCTGTTAAATTGTGGTATCTTTGTGGCTACRAAGACAGTATTGAAATAAGAAAGTAATCTTGTTTTTTGCCATTAGTTTGCTTTTCCTCTGCATACAAGGGAAAAAAAAAACCTATTCATTTTTCACAAATGAAGAACTAAAATCTTAATAAAGGTGTTTAGTGCCATTTATTGTAAAAGTCCTCACAAATGTTACCTCTGTGTGTTGGTTATGTGTCCATGTATGTTTTTAGATTTATTATATATATTATTTATGCCTGTCTGCATAAGCATGGCCTTATTCAGAAATGAGTTGAGACATGATAAATCCCATTACGTGGAAGTGCAGGAGAGGGAGACTCTTTAAAAGGTCTTTGAAACCCCTATTTAAAAATTAGAGTCACTGTTTTTTCTCATGGAAGGGTGTCTGATTCGATAGAAAGCACTGTGGTGGTAACCTGCACTTCTGCTCCCCTAATGATTACCAAAATAGGAAGCCAATATTCATCCTCACTGCTGCCTTATTCCAGCATTCAGCACATGGTTTGCTTTTGCCCAGAAAGAGGCATCAGCTCTGGGACTTTTCAGACTTTGTGAAATTTGGCATTCTGAGGTCTAGGAGGAAGAATCCTCTGAGCGAAAAGGGGTGGCTTCACAACTGTGTGTTTYCTTGAAGCTGGTTTTCTGTGTAGCTGTTGTTTAGAAAATGCCAGGCGAGTCTGAATGTGGYCAATGTGCTCAGAGGCAGCTTGGGAGACACCTGGGGGGGAAGAGGAAACCCCTTCATGCACAGAAGGGATAAGCAGAATCTCCTGGGGCTTGGGGGGTTGTCTATTTTTTTATGTCTGTTTTTTCATAGCTTCTAAGTTAGCTCCTAATGACTTAACAACCTTGAGTTGTATTTACACTTTAAACTTTGCTGAACTAACCATTATGATTTCTGTGTTACAGTCGGTGAAATGTGAATGGTGTTGAGCCAAATATTTCCCTGTTTGCTGAAATTTCCTTGGTGGTTTAAAGCACTGCAGGGAGCTTCACCCCTATGCTGTGCAGTTTTTGAATTTTCAGTTTGTTGGCAGTCGTCAGAAATCAAAAGGAGATTTCAAATGAAATAAAATRTTTTAAAACATTCCATGGTTTAAATGAAAACAGTAGTAAAATGCAGTGTTTAATTCAAAATGGGTTTTTTAAGGATTTAAGCAATGAGGATTATTTTTTTAATACTTCTATTTTAGAAGGACACTATATGTCTTTGAGAAGGGAACAAAGCAGCTTTTTAAATGTCAAAATCAGTGCCTTATTAGACATTTGGTAACAGAGGGACTAATTTACTATTTTTCTGCCATCAAGCTGCCTTTTTAACTGGGTGGAGAGAAGGAGTTTTTGCAGCCTGTGTTTGCTCTGTAGTTCTATGTTTTCAAAGCACAAACCTTTTAACATCAGCAAGGCACTTCTTCCCATTTCTTCATGCTGCTTGTTCCCTTGGGACACCACGGGGAGACCAAACCACTGTGAAACCTCACATTTAATTCAGGAAGAACTTCTAACCAGTATTGATAGAAGGGGCAGTTCACTTACCATCTAGCAGTTCAAATATTAAACAGGACTTTGCTCAGACAAACTGTGATCTGTGAGATTTTATGCACACTTTTATTGCTCCTAAGCATTGAACTGTATAAAAGTTGCTGGTTTGGTTTTTCTTGTTTCTTTTTTGTTGAATAAGTRCAGATAGCTATGACTGGTGTGGGCAGAAATAATTGATTTATGAGGCAGTGGATATATCCAAAATGACAATGCTGTTCTGAAATGTGCAGAACTCTGAGTGTGTTCATCAATGTTTGTGAACTCTCTTGCAGTGCTTTGCTGGACAGTAACATCAGTATTTTGATAATTTAAGGGAACAAACAAAATATCCATGAATAGCTGTAAGATGTGAATTCTTTCTAATTAGGGAATCGGTAAATCACAAAAGTTTTATTTTAATTGTGGGAGAGAAAGCATTTGGAGCGTTCAGGTCACAGACAGAATCAAGCTATAGTTTGAATACCACTTCTGTTCAAGGAGGTATCACTTGGACTGCATTTCAACCATGAAGAAAACATGATTATAAATGGAAACTCAACTTTCTGGCCAAACTTCCATTTTATAGGAGCCCCATTTTTCCATTCCATTTTTTTCTCAAATGTGAAATTGAGACTGGTTTCTAAACCAGCTCTGTTTAAGGATTGGTTCTGATGCATCAAGAGTATTTGAAGGAATACTGTGCTCAGTCTCCCAACTCCCCATAAAAGCAACAATATTATACATGAAAAGTGCAAATGWGAGGGAATCTGTATTGGGTTCTGTGTTTAAGTATTTCAGACTTGAAAYTTCTACTGCAGCTGTGTCATTTTTTTCCAAGTAAGTGCCTTTGGAGTACCTTTGTCTTTTTTCWGTCTCTGAGTTGCTTAGGTTGCAACTTTGGCCTCTAACAGCTTCGTCAGTATTCAGAGCAAAGTGAGTATCAGGATGTGAGTCTGTGCTTCTACTCCTTGGTAATATTTGTAGATTAAAAGAGGAGATGAATGAAAATGGGGAGCCTTCCTGGAAGATTCCTAGCCCCCACTCATGCCTGTCACAGCAGCAGCAAAGCTCAACCCACCCTGCTCCCATTCATGTCAAGAGCACCAACAACATTATTCTTTCACAGTAAATGGCTAAAATAACAGCTCTGGCCTGTCTCATTAAGAGTTTTCACACAACCCCTTTAAAAAAAGTGAGAAGTGGGAGGGAGGTGGTGTGACACTGTTTAATGGAAGGAGGGAAGGAAGGGCCATTTTAGAGCATCAGATGCTGATACTGGCTATTTAACAGGGGAAATTTGTMTTATTTAGGTGCAGGGAGAAAAATAAAACATTAAACTGAAATAAAGCACAAATAAGGCTTCCTGACCTTTCTTAATCCTTTYGTGAGGTTTGAAGGAAACTGTTCTGAAGACCCAAGGATGTCGGAGCTCACTGCACAGGATATGCTCAGGGAAGCCATATTTCCACACATACCTCTAAAAACTTCTTACCATTCTCAATCATGTTCTTGAGTTTACTTATTTTCTGTTTCCATGGCAGCAAGCACAGCATGAAGCAGCAAGGAGAAAACCTACCCTGGTTTCAATTAATGGTCATTCACAGCCYACTCACAGGGCTGCTTTTACAGACATCTGGGTCAGATGCTGGAAGAGCAGCAGATCAATACAGAGCATCAATAATGCCAGCAGAGCTACGGACATGAAGCCCATAATTTAAAAAATCTATTACTGAACCTGAAGCTTCAGACAGCTTTACAGCTGTGATGACTTGAGAGCTTAACTTTGACAGATGCTGGAAACTGTATTTACATGAAGCGTGAGTCCAAACCATTGTTCTTTTGGACTTACTGTGAAGGTGTGTGACAAGGTAAAGCCAAAAGGATGTCGTGTCAGTTCAGGATAAAAGGCTCTGCATGATTCTTCTGATCCACAKCGTCTCCCAGACTCATTTATGGCTTTTTCTCATGTCTTGAATGCTGGGAGAGGGAGAGGTGGCTTCCACTGTCATCGTGACACACCCTCTTACAGTTTGCAAAACCAAGGGGTAGGAAAGGGTATTACTCTGATGGAGTTTTCACTGTAACTGATGTTGTGAGTAACTACTGAAGGAAAAATGCACACCTGCTATTGGGTAAATGGAATAACTTTTGACAGGCATTCAAAAACTCCCTCATAAATCCAGGCTGCTCAGGCAGTGTCCTTTGCACCAATGCAATTTTGGCATCTTTGTGGCAATCTTGTACTCTGTCATGTTCAGCCAAGGTTTTTACAGCTGGCTCGTGCAGTGACATTTTATGGGCACACATGAATGACCTGGAGGTAACCTGCTTAGTCTGCTCTGTGATACAGAGTAAATGTAGACTCAATGGGCAAGGGCCAGCAGGAGGGAGGAGACAGCAGATGAGAAAGCATTGGGTTTTTTTTCCCCCACCCAGTTCCTAAAGGGATATAAACATATTTTCTGAGTAAACATGTAATGAAACTCTGAAATATATCTTTTCTAAAAGCATGGAGGTGAGGTCTAAATGGTCAAGTGCTCATTTATAATTCTACCTCCTGTTCARTTTGGGCCAGACAAGTCTTTGCTGTTCCTGCTGGAATGGCAGGCCCTCCAGCAGAGGCACAGCAGTGAAGCCTTTTTTGTTACCAACCTGCTCCTGAAACACAGGGCTCTGCTCTTCGAATCCATCTTGCACCTGGAGAAACAGCATCCCTGCTTTAGGACTGGGAAATGCACATTATATCCTTTTAGTTATGACARGTGGGGTCCTCTTTCTTTAGTACCCCTCACAGGGACCTGTTTTATTTGKGGAATTATGTTAAATCTATGCAGTTTTGCATAGTATATACAGAACAGTTTGAAGGAAGTTTTCCACTGTAACCAATATCATGATGAAGTAGTTATTAAATAAGTACACACCCTTTTACCTGCTAATGGAATAACTTTGGAAGAAAAAAAAACCAAACAAACAAAAAAAAAGGAGTATCAGCTGGAAGGAGATTATCAGGATCCTGGAAGCAGCTGAGCTGTTGACCTACACCCTGGTGCCCTGCCAGGGATAGCAGAGCAGAGGTGAATAAAATAAAAAGTGCATGCAGGAGTGTTTGCTGTTCTGCTGACAGTGACTTCTCCACAGGTAAGCAATCCAGTGTGTTTACTTTCAGTTCAAGTCTGTTTTGTTTACATTGAGTACCATTGCTGCTAACTTCCAATGAGGTGACACAAAGCAACAGGTTACAAAAATGCCATCAAACATCCATTCTGACAGCATCCATGTCACAATACACAATGATGTACCGGAATTATACAAAGACCGAAAAGAAAAAAATATATATAGCTAATTATTTTGACTAGAACTGAAACGAACAGCAAAAAAGAAAAGAGCCCCCCGCCCTGCCCCCAAAGGCCCTGCAGGAATCCATACTGACACTTTGGCAGCCTTGTAGCAAATTGATAACCAGCCCTTCACATGCCAAAACCTTGAATTCAGAACATTGTAAATTCCTGGTTCAGAAAAATAATTTCATCTATTAAAGCACTTTTTTTTTTTCTTTCCACCCCTCCAACCTGAACCAGCTTCACCTTTTTTACACAGGGTTAATAATTATTAAAAATAATAAATGAGTGAGGGGTATAGGCACCATAGACTGCTCAGACAGTTAAATGCTAGAGAATATGTGCTAAGATATCCCAGCTTGAAGCTCAGTTGCCCTGTGAAAATTCATCGAAAACARGAGCCTGATCAGTGGCATTACTGAAAAAGGTTGGCAAAAAGAGCAAATCCTCTGCTTAATTAGCAGCAGCACAGTCAAGAACCAAACCCACCCCCCTTCTCTGAGTGTCAGCTGCCCATTTCAGCTTCGGGCTTGGATTTCTGTTTGTCAGTCCGTTCCGCGGGTCTCGTGCTCCCCCCAGGCCCCACGTACATCAGTGCTGTAAGGAAACAGTCAAATCCATGTACCCAGCAACCCCCCCGCCCTCCCATCCCCTTTTCACAATCTCCAGGTTTCTTCATGTATGTTCATGCCTCGCTATTCACTAATGAGGTATTATTAGATACTAACAATGCCTGCTCTCCTAGGGACGTTAGCACAGACCAGTGACACATGAAGAAAGCTCTTCAGTCAACCATTAAAAAAATATTGCACTTACTTCAACCTTAAGCCCAACCTGCACTGAAAAAAAATTAAAAATTACAAAAGAAATTAACCAAAAGTACCAAACAAAACCCCAACACTCTGGAGCGATCTATCTTATGCACATATAGTGTCTTTTCCTTCACGTTGTTTAGTTGATTTTGGTCCAGTRTTTAAAAAAAATGTCCAGAAATTAAACAGTTCAAAAGACACCGCAGGCTCGTTAAGGCTTTGTCTCCCCAGTGCTTCAGAAAGGTAAAAGTTTCTCTCCCTCATTGTCCGTGTACYGCAAAGCAGCGATCTCTCGTGGCACAACACCTGCCCATTCAAACCATCAACAGAAAAAAAATCAGAAGCAAGGGAAGATGGGTGTGCTTCATGGTCTCACCTGCAACCAAACAAAAGAGCGCTTCAGAAAGAACAAAAGGAAATAAATACATTTTTTAGCCAATATAGTTTTTTAGCAATTGTTTTCCTGACCCTGCATAAAGGTTGTGAGTGCAGCCCACCAGCACAGATCAAACAGTAAACTCCTGAAGGTTAGGGACAGTAGGGCAAACTGGTGTTGCCTTACAGGCAGGGGAATGATGCACACAAATAAAGGGACATGTGCAACACCAGAGACACACGGCAAACACAGCCCAGCCCTCCACCAGCTGCTTGAGAAGGTTGTGTCCAAAGTCTGCAGCTTCCTAATCCACCCCAAAAGGGAATATGAAGGTTATGGCTGGATTATTGCTGCCACCTAATGAACCAAAGCTTTGTAGCTTAAAGAGCACCGAAACATGTCCTCACAGCTTGTCCCCATCAGCAAACCTTGTGGCAGGTCACAGGTCACAGCCACAGCCTCAGGCAGGGGGCTCAGTGGGAAGTCAYGACCAATGCTTCATTTATGCTACTGGTGGCACCAGTTTGAGACCCTGCAGGTTCCCTGGTGCTAGATCTATGAAAAAATATCCCACTCTTCCATGTCACATCTTTTTGGTTACCAACGCACCCTCCAACAGAGCATCCCGTAAACTTCTGCTGGCCTTGGTAACCAGGCAGTTGGCAACTGACTTGAGAATTACTTGATTTGAAGATATCAAAAATTATCACTTCCTTTAAGCTTTGTAAGGAGTGTTAGGATGACTGGCAGGGAATGGTTAGATGGCTCATTAGGAGTTCTGGATTCTCTTTAAACACGAGTGATCCCATACACTCTCACAGTACCATGGAATGGTTGTGGATTATTTTCTGTGAGAGTCTGGATGGATTTTCCCCTCGCTCTCCATGTGAACACGAAAGAGGAATGAGTCCCAGAAAGCCCCAGATTGCCAACAAAGCTTCTGGAATGGGGATGTGAGGCTGTGGGCTTGGCCCAGGGCCAGGCTTGCCTGACTTACCACCTGTGCCTCTGAACTAGGACTTGCTGACATTCTCATATATGACATCACTGATGCAGAACTGCTGCTTCTTCTTTTGCCACATCAGTTGCACACACTGGTGAATAAAAATGTACTGCTCCTAGAAGGAAAGACCAAATAAGTGGGCATTTTTTGCAYCTCAGAAAGCATGAGAGAAACCCAACCAGCAAAACAGTTTGATAGTTCACAGCAACAGCCTGCACAGCTCCATGTCTCCCAACTCAGCCCCTCACACTGCACAGTGAGCTGTCAGCTCCCAAAATAAYAGTCCACAATTGTTACAGATAGCAGATGGGGAAGCCTGGAATCCACCTGRCACCATAATCACTTATTAATAACCTGAATAATGACAGAAGAACTGAAGCAGAGCTRAAGTGGGTCTCCTTTATACTGCCTAGAAATGAATTACAAGAAAGGGATCTGAATGCTTTATGTGCAACATATTGCACCTGAAATCTTAATGAGGTTCATGTTCCTTAGTATTTGGCATTACTAATAACAAGAAGAAACACATCACCGTTTTCAGGCTAGGTCTGGCAGTTCATTTGTTGCCAAGGATTGTTGAATCCAGAGCAAARCCAAAAAGCAGAGAGAGGAGAGGAGAAAGAAAACCTGCAGTGACAACAACTACCCTATGAAAATGAAAAAAAGTAATTTTCAGTCCATTCTGGATTGGAGAGATGCTCTGACTTGTTCTCAGAGCAGTTAATTATTTGGGGAGACCCCCACCTCTGTGCAAATGACACTGTGAGTTGGATCAATCATGTGCTGCTGTATCTGTGGACAGKTTTTTTTGCCTTGCCTTTCAGTTTGGTTATGGACTGACTTTTATAAGCATTGCCATCATACAATTCAAACATTGTAATCCAATTTAGAATGAACCTTAGTTGATGACTTTTCAATTTCAAGGAGAGAGAAGAAATCCCTGATGAATTCTAGCACTAACCTTTATGTGCACGAGGCACAGGGGCTGAGTGAATCTCAGACAAAAGCRGCTGTCCCCAAACCCAAGGCTGCATTTCACCCCTGTCCCCAGTGGCCTGCTGATGCCACGAGATAGGAGCAGGAGTGTGAGGTACATTTCACAGCACAGAAATGACTGGATTTCCTCACACCCACCAATTTGGAGTGACTGGGGTCAAGTCAGGGTGTTCCTCATCCTAACCCACTTTTTGGACCTRTGCCATTTGGTTTTTTTTAAACTGCTCATTGAGACACTGCCAAGTTTCCATCAAACAAAGCAACATGAACTCAGGTGAGCTGTCAGTGGTTTCACATTTTGTAAGGAAAATCTTTTCAGTGGCTTCTGTGCCTGAGTGTCAATGTGACTAAGTGACCTCTGAGGCCAGGCCTGGCCACTGCCTGGAGCTGCAGGAGCTCAGTAACTGCCCTTGACATCAGCCCCAGGCAGGCAGTGAGGTTCCACGTGAAAAAAATAAAATATTTAAAAAAACCCACTACAAAACCCCACATGACCTCTGGAGTGGTAACAAGAGTTGCAGCTGAAATCAACCAACCATCAGGATTTTTTTTTCTCAAATGTTTACCTAAGGATCTKCCTTTGGATTAGTACAGGGAATTGTGATAAAAAGTGGCAGTTTGATAGGAATGATCCAAAATGGACTGAAAATTCCTTCATTTCCAGATGTTAGCTGTTGTCACTGCAGGTTTTATTCCTCCTCTTCTTTCCGTGCTACAAATTCTTGGCTTTGCTCTGGATTCAGTAATCCTTGGCAATAAAAGATCTGCCAGACCTAGCCTGAAAACAGTGATGGTGGTTCTTCCAACTCCATGGAGGTTGGCAGGTTGTACTGTGTCTAACCAAGGAAGAACTGGCACAAAATATGAAATCTTCCCCTCATTACTAGGTGAACTGGGAAGGCTTAGATGCATAAAAGCTTCTGCTTTGAAAGAAGAGTTTGTGATTTTTTTTCCCCAGTATATATTGTCTAGATATTTCTGTCTTAAAGACAGAAAAACAACTACCCAGTAGAGAGAGGGACAGAGGAGGGTCTTTGGCAGACTCACAATCCTTTTGTCTGTTTTGCTTGTTCAAWATTCCATTGTGTGATGAGTTCCTTCACTTGGCCAGATGGTACCAACATGATACATGAGCAAAGCTGCCCAATACTGATATCATTTCATGAGCCATTAAGCCCCTCAGCAAGCCCAACTCYTTTTTAGTGGTGTTTAAAAATTTCTTATGTTAATCTCTTCTAATGCATTGTTTGCRTATTAATTTCACAGAAGGTGAGAATGACTCATTTCCTCTGGATGATGTTGTAGATATCTGATCAAACCCACCTATGGGGCAGATAATTAATGTGACAATATCACAACAAAGATGAAAACTGGATAATATCAACGCACAGTGGTTTTGTCAGACGGAGCACCAGTCACTGGACACGAACACGCTGAAGAGGGTTATGAAATGGGCACAAAATACTGTCACAGTGTTGAGTGAGCAGCCCTTACCTCTGTCTGCACCATGGACATTCTGTAGGACCTCATGTCAGACACCAGGCCCAGAATATCCACGAACTCATGGTCACGGATGTGCTGCAAGAGCCGGTCCAGGGCTATGAAGGTTCCCGTCCGTCCCACGCCAGCRCTGCAACACACACAGACATGCACCTCATTGTCTGAAGGGACACAGGACAAGCAGTGGCACTGCAAAAAGCCTGCAGCTGCAATTATCAGATGTAACTCATCTGAGGTCAGGCAGGCTGGTTAATCTGTGGGATTTACTGGGCACGCAACCCATCATGCACTGGCTGGGCAGAGTGGATGGACAGGATGGCACTGCAAATATTCCACCTTTTTATGCTCCTCTTCAGGCACCCACACACAGACCATGGACACACACACTGATCCACCCTCAGCTATCTGCCCTTCCTGCCACCACTGTCCCCCACACAGACTTAGAGATTCTTGTGTGTGCATGATTCTTTTCACTGTAATTTCACATATAAGTTCAAGTCTGATTTCACTGAGTGTAGTTTTAGAGGTTTTACAGAGCTTCACAGAGCATCCCAACACCTCACCTACTATCAAGGGTAGAAGTGTGTATCTTAGCAAAAGTTGTTTTTTCTATTTTGTCATGCTTTTTCTGAAAAGCCTTGAAATTATTTGCAATAATGTTCAATAGTTCATCTCAACATAGCTCAACATAATTGTCACAAACCAAATCTCTATTTTGGCTTTTGTTAATTTCTCAAATGAGGTGAATACAATCCAAGTTCTGATGAGTTAATTGGRCAGATTACCTGATAAATTCATTCCATGCCTTCTTTAACATTTGAGAGCAACTGCTGTAGGAGTTGGTTAATACATTCTTTATCTGCCCCCCACTAATTTCATAGCCTTTTTAATCTATGTGGCATAAGATCTACACTATGGTCTAAAACACTCTCTGAAAATATCTCTCTTTGCTTCTAGAAGCATCCTAATTGAAAAAAAAGGGAAATACTACAGTGTTTGCCTAGYTCTTTGATACTTGCTTCTTTTCCTTCCCAGAACAATTAAGTAGTAAATACAGGCTTTGATTTCATACTGCTATTTATAAATTACTCCCCTGGCTTACAAATGTATTTCTCAATATTGAGACTCAAAGAACAATATCCTCTATGAATTTCTCCATGAGGTTACTGGGGAGAGCTGCATCACTCCATAACACCAGACAAAACCCTCTTTAGCCAACAGGTGAGCAGAACCCCCAAATCTTTCCTTCTCATGGTTTCCCAACCTATTTATTGTCACACCTTGTACTTCTCCTTTTCCCTGAAGCATTTACCTGCAGTGTATGACCATGGGGCCTTTAGCCTTTGCTGATTTCTGCCTGACCATCTGTACAAACTGGAGRATGCTCTCGGCAGCGTTGGTGGTGGGGACGCCGTGGTCTGGCCAGGCAGTGTAGTTAAAATGCATCACATCCTGCACCTCATCGGCCTGGGGGGAGAAGCACAACAGCAAATTCATAGGGTTTCAACAGTGTAACCACACTCTGCCACACTGAGGGCTTTTTGYCATTTTGTGGTATTCTTTTTTTCCCCACATACAGCCTAAAATACTGAAGCCAGTCAAAAAAATGGCAAAGAACAAATATATTTTTGATTACAATGCAGGGGGGATATCAGGCCATCATTATCAAAAGGGTAAGAACTTCTTGTTTCTACGTTTGGGATTTGTTTTATGCTTTTGTCCCCATGGTAGTTCAATTTTATTTTGCTTTTAAAACAAAAACAGTTGCATTTTTCAGCTCTGGGATTTTTTCCTCTTTTTTATTCCATTTCCTCTCCTTTTCTCRCTTTGCCACAGATAAAGAATAACACTGTTGACAAACAGTCAAGCCTGGACTCTTGAGAGATTTTCTTTTCAAGTTTTAAAGAAAATAACCCAAAAAACAAAAGGGAAGAAAAGATCATTATCGGGAGAATCATTTAAGAAAACACTCATTATAACAAAAAACATTTACAATGCTAAAAATTCTACTGGCTTTAAATGAAGTAAGTTCCTCAATACAACACATAAATCCTGGGCCAATGGTGAATTGTCAGGGCATGGATATTTCCRTATCTCCTCCATATCCCTAAAATTTCCTTCATGAGATGGTGCTGGCAACGAGCTGGTGCAGGAAGTAAAGGTGGAAAGAAATGCTTGAAAGTCTGGATAGCTATCATTTGGAAATCACATGCTCTTGTGTTTACTTTATAGCAAGATATGACTATTGCAGAATTGCCCTTTTGAAAAATGTTTTCAATTGTTTCATTGGTACTTTCAAGTTTTGAACAATTTATAGCAAGAAGATGTGCCTGAGATATAGAAAAGGAGAGATTCACATATTTGCTGTCAGTAATTATTGCCACCACAGAACTGAGTACTACTTTTGTTTCGGTCTTGCACTTTGCTGAGAAATTGAGAGACAACAGTTTTAGGGGAAAGTTTTCTGATTTAGTCGTTTGACCGTATAGAGAGAGGGTAATGATGTCCATCTCCTTTAGGTGTTTTCCACTGGATGCCAGAAATGGATAAAAGTTTAAAAAGAAGGCTGGACTGGAATGATTCCCTGGGCCAGGCTCAGTGCCTCACTCACGTAGCTGATTCGGAAGCTCCGGTACACCCAGTCCGTGTGCTCCTCCTCGCTCAGCATCTCCACTGTGATGTCCCCATAGGCAACAGGATCTTCCGTAAAAGGCCAGTAATGATCACATTTCACCTGAAAGGGATGGAAATCCAGCCCTGTTTGTATTTGCATGAAGACACACATATGTAAAGAAGCACAAGCAAAAGGGCACAGAGCCTCAGGTTTAGAAATGCCTACAGCAATGTTCACTTGCTGCTGCAACAAGAGATAACTTATCCTGCAATGAATTCCAGCCTGACCACTCCTGTTTGACTGTGGCCATCGACTGTGTATTGGTTTTCAGAAGGGCAGCTTTAGCACAGTGAAAAATKAGAAAAGATGCCTTCTGTTAATCTTCCTGATATAACAGTCTAAATGGAACAAAAGAAGGGTGAAAGGAAGTACCCATATAAACCCCCCAATTTCGATTCCAAATATTTCTCTTATTATATCAAGGGGAAATGTAAAGCACAAACCATGTATTTTATAATCATTTTAAACTTAAAGGTGCAGAATCACGGAATGCCTGAGGTTGGAAAGGACCCAGCAGTGTCACCTAGAGCCAGCTCAAGACAATGTCTAGGTGACTTTGGAATATCTCCAAGGATGGAGACTCCACAAGCTCTGGGCAACYCRTGCCAGTGYTCRGTCACCCTCACAGTAAATGTTTCCTGATTTCAGAAGGAATGTCATTTTTCAAATTGTGCACCCCTTGAACTGCCACTGGGAAAATCACCACTAAAGCAGTCCCTTAGCTCCATTCCCTCCCATCAGGTATTTGCATACAATGACAAGATCCCTGGAGCCTTTGCTTTTCCAGGATGAAGATTCCCAGCTCTCTCAGACTCTCCTCATGTAAGAAGACAGGCTTCATAATAAGGTCAGGTAAGGTAAAAGGTTAAAGAGAGTCAGGGRAAGTCAAAGAACATCAAAGCAGGTCAGGTAAGGTCAGAGAAAACCAGGAAAGCTCAAAATAGATGAGAGAAAGTAGAAGAAGGTCAAAGAAAGTCAGGGAAGGTGAAAAAAGGTCAAGGAAAATGAGAGAATGTTGAAGAAGGTTGGGGAAATTTGAAGAATGTCGAAGTTCAGGGAACATTAAAGTGTGTCAAAGAAGATCAAAGAAGGTCAGAAAAGGTAAGAAGGGGTCAAAGAAGGTCAGGGAGGGTCATAAATGGTCAAAAGTTCAAAGAAAGTTGAAGAAGGTTAGGAAAAATTGAAGAAGGTGCAGCAAGTCAGGGAAGGYCAACGAAGGTCAAGAAAGGACAAAGCAACTCAAGAAAAGTCAAAGGAGGTCAGAGACAGTCAGGGAACATCAGGGAATGTTGAAGAAGGTCCTGACATGGGAATGCCATTCCAGGGCTGGCTGTGATGCTGCCTCGTGATCAGAAATCAATGCAGAGGCATTCACTCAGCACAAATGGGCTGTTTTCAGAGCAGTTTCTTTTACAGCACATACGAGATTTTGTTACATACCCGTCTTTTCTCATTGCACTGAGTGAGCATTACAATAATTTGTGAYTTTTGCTGGAGAACCATCTTCCAAAAGTCGTTCCTAGTTTCTGGCAGTGGTCCTTGGGTTGCAATGTATTCCTGGGGTGAATTATAACCCTAAGAAACAAAGAGATAGCTCCTGCTTACCAATGTAGTTACTGCTTCAGAACATGTATTCTTCATATTTTTTTAGCCTGCTAAAGTTTAATTTTTACTTCCAAAAGTGACCTCCAACATAAAGAATTAAATTTTTTGGTATTTATTTTGTGATGACAATTTTTGCCAAATTTTTATGATCCCCATGTATAAGCAATCTAGAATGAAGGACAGAAGATTAAGTTGTTACCATACAAATCATTTGCCCAGAGAATAAAAGGCAGCATTAAAAAGCAAGTAATAAGAATGCTAAAATAAAGTTCCAGCTTCTTCCAGATAATGTAATTTTAGTTGTAGGCATAAAAGCAGTTACAGATGGCCAGTCTGCTCATCCCAAGTAGTGCCAGTGATTTTCAGTCACTGGTGTCAATGGAACAGAATTATATGCACATGTTTATGTAAAAAGGACTTTAATCAATAAAACATTAATTAGAATTCTGCTTAAAATAATAGAGAAGATGCTGAGTCAATGCTCTTAACAGCTGCTCAGATACATTCTATCATGTATTCCTTTTCCTATCCCTATCAACAAGATTTTAGTTGGAAAGACTCCTTCCCCTCTCCATAACYAACTGTCATTAAGACTATAATAGAAGACCACAGAAGGACCCTTTTGGCATCTGCTATAACCATATTTGCTGAGATTGTATCATCAAACTTGCATTTGAAAAGTTATTTTACATTCCTAGTAAGAGCAAAAAATACATTCAACACACAGCATGATCCCATGCAAATTGGGCAATTTCTGTGCCATCACAGTATGTGGATCATAAAATTATTTGTGATTTGGGAGCACTTTCCACAAATGGCTTCCTCCAGACATCTCTACAAATCAGCTYAATCTGATTTTGTGCACTACACAGGAATTTTTGCCTGTTTGTCAGCATGGGCTCTGCCTGAGCTAAGTGACAAATCCCTGTCAGCACAGGGACACAGATCTGGTTTCTGTATTTGGAGGCAGGGACTTAGGAGAAGCGACCATCAGAAAAAGCCCAGTATTAAAATCACTTGTTTATCCTGGTTTCCATGGCCAGCCCTGTAAGCAGAGCTGAAGAGATGTAAAGCAGAACTGAACATCAGAAAGGGACCGCTGCTTATGATCCTATAATCCACAATCCCACATCACASAGGTTTCCTGGGTTCTGCACGGTGACTTTGAATGAAGGAACATTTTTCTTTCCTGATTGTCTGCCAGCTCAGGCACTTGCAGTGTGTGTACTCAGGTTCTTGCTCTGAACACAGACACAGGGACAATGCCACAGTGACAGAGAAGTGGCTTCACTGACTCAACCAAGGGCTCCTCCTTTTCCACAATGCTGACTCCGCTCTCTCCAGCACAGGCAGTGTCAGCTCTATCTAGAGCAAGACTAAAAATGTTCATTTTTCTGTGGTTCCAAGGACAAGGCCTTTTCCTGAAGGGCTGCAGGGGTGTCCTGCCTCCTCTCCATGCAGGGCAGCCCAGCAGATATTGCTTTCCAGCTCACACTGAGCCACAGAACAGGGACTACCAGAGGGAAAATCCTTTGTGACAGTGGCAGGGATAAGCCTAAGTGACTGCACGAGCTCGGGAAAGAGCTGATGAGGTTTCAGCCAACCCCCAGTGTCAAAATATTTGGCTACAGCTCTGTGTACACTTTAATTATCCTGGAACCGTGGGTGCCACTCCCCGTGAGTGGCTGCTCCCCGCCAGGTGGAGGGAGGCCCACGGGAAGCACCAGAGACGAGGCAGAAAGCAGAAGTTCTCTCCACGCACCATCTGGGCTCTGTGTGCTTTGTGCTTTCAGAGTGTCTGGCTTAGCCCTTTTTCCATGTGCGGTAGAAATGGAGAAAAATTTCTCATTTAAACATTTATGTTTTTCCTTGCTATCTTGAACAGCCGCTGAACTGTTTAACGTTTCCTGCTCATCTCCCTACCAGTCCAATCTAGATTTCACAAAGATTCACAACTCACCCAGTGCTACTRTGGCAAAATTTGCCAAAAATCTTCCCCCTCCACCCCTTTTATTTTTTTTCTTTCTTTTTCTTGGTGGCTGTTTCCTGTAGGCAAAATACTGGAAGCTGAAGGAGATGCTGAAAACATGACAGAGCTTCCAGGAGATATTGTGCTGTTTGTAGGGGCCATGATTGCTGTGCAGGACACTGACCATCACACCGACCAGATCTCTGTACTCACAGGGATGTAGTTGGCATTAATGTAGTCAGATCCTTCTTCTTCATTCATTGAGACTAACCGGACACGACTAAAATCATCTGTAAGAGGAAAAAGAAATTAGGAAAAATTGCCTCTCAAACGTGGCACTGATCTCCAACTAGGCAAAATTTATATTAGTCCTATAGAAACGGCCAAAAAAAATCTATTAAAAAATAGAAAATTCTCATATTTACCAAGAAAGAAATGTTTGCTTTAGCAAACACTACATGGAGACACCATGTTCACTGTTCTGCAAACACATCCTCCAAGTGCTGTCCCTTTGGGCTCCCTTAGGTTTCATTAAAATCATAAGAGAAATACAGTAACACTGCTCAGCAGCATAAACGACCTTGTGTTTCTCACCTCCAAACTCTTGCCATGATAAACATTTCCAGGAAGCTACATCTATTCAAAGCTAACAAAAAACATCTCTTGCCTGGTTCTCTGTAAGAACAGGTTTGTAGAGAAGGCTTTTATCAGTCTCAGAAAATCTCCTGATTCTCCAATTTTCTTAGTAAAGCTCCTCTTTGGGGATTTTAGCAGGATTTAGTGCATGTTGTACTTACATGGCAGGATATTTGTGTAGCGATTTTTACAGCGATTCATGGGGAGATCAGCAGCGAAGTGGGGTATGTCAAGCCCAATCAGTTTTAGTTCCTGGGATAACAGAAAGGAAAATGCCAAGGTCAGCCTCAAAAACATCCAGAGAATAATTCTTTGTGATTACCTGTGGCAGGTACCAGACAAAAAAATGCTCATAAATCACTTCATAAACTGACAGCAGGACTGTGCTGATTTTCCTTATTTGATGGCCCTGAGAGCAGTGCTGGGGTTTCTCCTCCTGGTGTTTCCARCACTCTGCTGCCATCCCAGCTGTGACTGAGGACTCTCCTCTCTCAGTTAGCCAAAACACCAGGGGGTTTCTAAGTTACTTATGGAGTGTTCATCTGCCCCCTTAAAGGGACTCCCGCAAGTCCTCAAGTGGCTTTTGGTCTTGGGGAAATGCTTGGAAGACCTTTCTAGTCATTACCTTCAGTGCTTACCTATAATATCTGGTGCATCAGGAAGGGATCATGGTAACACCCTCAAGAGTCCTCCCCACTCCCTCTCTGTGTTTAAATCTYTAGGGAATAGCCCTAGGATAGGGATGTGGTTCAGTTCTACACCATTAAACTGACTTTAAGTTCTGGGTAATTAAGAAAATGCACCTGAACTTGTCTTAGAGAAATCTCCTTGCTCTTACAGAGATTTCTGGTGCTACTTCCTCTTTTCAATTCTTCCTCTCAAATTAATGGCAAAAATATMTATAAAATAAAGCCATTAAAATTCCAAATTCAATTCAGGTTGCCAGCATGTCCTAAACTTAAAGCAAGTGTGTTGTTCTGACAGTTAACTCAAACTGAATGTGATGAGACACTCCAAACAGTTCACTAAATGCAGGATTTAAAAACATCAAGTTCCACTTCTAAATTCTGCAGAAGAGGAAGTGAAGCTGGCCCACCCAGAAACACCACACATTGACCAACACAGAGCACACAGGAGCACGCAATGCAAACTTAACATCTTGAAAAAGCTAATCAGGGAGCGGAATCCTCAGAGATTTACCTCAAATTGCAGAGAAAATTTATAATCTGAATCTTTGGCCATATCCTTGATGTATCCATCAAAATCATCCARTTGGACAGGGCTTTAAAAGAAAAACACATAGAAATTCAGTAAAAAAAAAAATCCAATTTTTGTAGTACTTTAAATTCTGTTTCCCCCAAAACACTCTCAAGACATAGATACATATTTGCAATGAGGTAAATGTTTGAAAGCAGCAATAAAGAAGAACCTTGTGGCTACCAAATGGTGGGTGTATTGCCCATTGCCTGTGCCATGATTTAATACACCAGAGAGGTTGGAAGAGGGCTGCTGACCCCTCTGGGTGCCTCAGTGGGGCAGTGCTGATGATTGGAAGCACCCTGGTTTGGAGGCTGGGGTATTGCATCCACGCTTCTGAGTGGCCCATGCACCCTTCCTGTGATTAATCACTGGCCCCTGGACTGCTTTTACTGGTGGGTACAGCCCCGATATTTGGCTTTGAGTTTTTTACAATCTCCACCTAAAAAAAAATTCCCCTAAGCCAGCAGTTTGGATGACAGTGCTTCCTCTGCTGCCGTTAACAACTACGCATTTGTGTCATTAGAGGTCAAATAATCTTTCCAGAGAAATGGTGGCTAAAAAAAGTGGCATATAACTGTAAAAACCATGGAGAGTTTCAGCAGGTGTGATTTAGCCTTGATTTAGTGACTTCCATCATTCCACACACTTTTTTTGCCAAGTGAGGATSTGTTAGTCAGGCACAGCCCCTGAACAGAACGCAGAAATAATTAGGCTGACGCTCTGAGTAACAGARCACAGGTAAACAGCTTCCCTCACCTAATTATCATACTCTAATTTACAAGCTACTGAGGCATGTACACAGCAATCTTCTCATTTACTTTGAGGCAATATGCCCAAAGGAACCTGTCTTATCACCACTTAATTACTCCTGTTTACCCGGCAGCATTAATGATCTAATGTTCCAGCAACAACTGTAATGAGAGCCCCATGTCAAGAGGGAAATATCACTACAAACAAACGCATCCCAGTCTTTTCACCATTTGCAATTTTTAACTAAGGATAAACTCTGKTGAAATCACTAAGTTGGATAATTGATCTTTTCCCCAGTGACTAATTTTGTATGTTTTACTACAGTCTGTTGTGAAGAATTGCTTTTGTCCAATGATTGTTTGTTTTCTGTCTTCAGGTATCTCTCTCAGGATATCCCTGTCAAGAAGTTTTCTCTAACTGCAATATCATTATGCTATGTACTCCATAATGTATATTTAAGAGTCATTCCTTTAAATATCAAAGAAGTTACATACTTGGTCAGTTTTCTTTTCTTTAATCCATTTTTACTCCTGTAAAAAACAAAAAAAAAGATGTTTTTCATTCATGAAACTATTGTACAACTTTTATGCAAAGGTAGTACTGATTTAAGAATGTATATTTTTTCATCAGACTCAGGAGGATATGGTGATAATAACTTGGACAATTTGAAGCTGATGGCAAAACTTCTGTTGGCTCCTGTGGGATTCAGATCTCATTCTGTGGCTCTGAGAATGACCTGCCAGGGAAATGGAAAATCTGTGCCCAGCAAAAGCAATGGGACCCCTATAAATCCTGACCCAACAGCGTCATTGGCTTTTGGTGGGCTGGGGTTGAGTCCCCAGGGCCTAAGCCCAGCTGAGCTTGGAAATGGGATGTCAACACTAGAGAGCARCTGGGAATGAGAAGCATCTGTTGGGTAGAGGGGCAAGAGCATCACTTGCAAATTCAAGAAAGGGTGAAGGAAAAAAAAAAAGGGCCTGTTCCATAACCTGCTTGCAATGATAAATGAAGACAATGGCAAATATCCCACTGACCTCAGCRGGACTCAAGCTGAAACCTTGGATCATTTAATTGACTTAACAACTGGAGATAATGGTGCCAGTCATGTAAAACAATGGTTTATAAGTGATATAGTGACAGTTGTGAGCTTTTTTTTTGACACCCAAAAGACTGGACTTAAGAACTACACCAATCACCACCAGGTGGCTTTTTGGATGGGGTGTGTGTTCATTTGGTTGTTGCCACAAAGAAGTTAAGCAAACCATAATATTAAATACACAAAGAAAGCACYCTGGAATAACTTGGCTTGAGGTCTAAAAATAACTGATCTACTCTGTTCAATCAGCCACAGAGCATAAACAGATTGTTGTTTACTCAGAAATAATTTTAGTAGTGTCAGTTTTTAATTACTGGGCATTAAACAATATMTGTTAATTTTTTACATTATAATGATGCTATTTTTAATTTTATGACAATATGAAAATGATTTCTAGACCACTTGGTTCACAGCTTCAATCAGTAAATTAAAGGAGATGACTTTTAAATTCAAAATAATGAAAATATACTGAAAGAAAWACTAAAAAGTGCAATGTTTTCATTTTTCTACTATGCTAAGTTTAGAAGTTACATTAAAAAATAAAAACATATTACTTTCCAAAATTAAGTTTCACAAAGTGTTCAGTTTCTAAAGCAGCCACAACTTGTAGTAATTTTGTTTTTGTCAAGGTACATTTCCATTTAGATGAGGAGCTTTGCCTGCAGAATTAACAAGAGCTACAGCAATACCAGCTTTATATTAATGTGGAGATTAATTATTATAAATCTCTTCAGCCTATCATATTTTCTGTACATTCCTATCTGTATATTTATAAACTACTAGAATTTATTTTCCATCTTCAAAGATTTTTTTTCCAATGAAATCTTAAAGTTAATTCCACTAAATTATTCAACATATCTCCATCCCCTGTGACTATGGTAAACCTTTTAATGTCAGGCACATAAGAATTAATTTGAAAAGAAAAAAAATACCTAAATGCTCTTTATGATGGGAATGCTTCTAAGAATGTTTCTCCAAGGAACACTTCAAGAGGCAATAAAACAAATGATTGACATACATTTCTCAGCAAGAATTTTGTRTGCTTTGATAGTCTCAAGAGGCCTTTGTTTCTTAGCATTGCAATTGTTTCCTGAATGCTCATAAATATTTTAAACCAACTTGTGTGCAAAACAAAGACATTTGAAACATTAGCTGGTGTTTCATCTGTTATTCCATTTACTCTACAGATTAAAACACAAAGAGAGGGATTAATCTCATCTYATTTCACTTCAGATCCTGGAAATTTAATAATCTAGACTGAAATAGGCAGATTGATTGAAGAGGAAACCTCTGMAGAAAGATACACATCTGGAAAGGTGAGTCAATGCATAATAAAAGAGAAAAGGCAGAGAAGCAAAAGATGAAGACTCTTTTTGGAGCAGTGCCATTGACAGTGGCCAMCCCACAYGTCCTGACCATGAGAGAGCTAAGASAGATCARTGTGACCTCCAAAATATCCACCCCTGTGCAGCCCAAGAGTTGGCTGAGTCTACACCAGACAAATTCCAAATGAAGATAACGCTGGAGAGGTGTAGAAGACTCCCATGTGCTCCTCAGTGGGTGTGTGGAGAACACACTTTTGCTTTCCTCAGAGAATAAACAAACCTTTCTTTGCTTATATAAACACTCTCCCTTCTAGGCCCACTGAAAACTGGGATAGGTTTTCCTACAGACCCACCATAACTCAAGGAAAATAAGTCTCAGAAATCACTATGCTGCAGATGTTGACGCCTGCCTGCCAGGGCTTTGATGCTGCATGGTAAGACCACAGAAAATGCTTGGGAAATAAAATCTTAACTTCAGTTGCACCTGTTTTGTAAAATCCTATMCCTTGGACTCAAGACCATCAGGAACTTAAGTTTTTTTAATATTAATTAGGCCTTTTTGGATCACAGTCAGCTATAATTATTTGTTAAATGGATTGTAAAACAGTTCTGGTTCTAAGTAGATTACTGGTTTCATTAGGTATTTAAAAAAAGATCAGTTTACTAAGTCCTTATAAATTATTTACAGACTAAAGTATTAAATATACACACACAATGAGATGTGCACACAGTGACCCTATTCTTATGCTTTGGGACTTTTAGTTGTATCAATTCTCAGTGAACTGCTTTTTCTCAAAAGTTTTACTCATGTCAGGAGAGCATAAGCACACCTCTAAAAAACGAAAGTATTTTGACAACACACACCAAACAGGTGGGGCAAAACCAMGCAATTTTAGTAATAAAACAGCAGCAGCAGAAGTCAGTGCCAGGCAATGAACATATAAATAACCAGGACAGAAGAAGCCAGGACTTGTAATGAAGTAGCAAAAATTGCAAAGACAGCAATGAGATGTATATGATGACCACTGGAAGATTAGCTTTTGAATACCAAAATGGGTTGGAGCATAAACAGACAAACCAGATGAAGCAGGGTAGCAAATACTTTGGTACCCACATCCTCGCCAGTCCATGTTCTAGTACCAGAAAATTATATCTTCAAAAGCTTTGACCCGTTTGAAAACAAAGGTATCACACATTTTTCATGTAATAGAAACTAACATTGTTTACACATTGCATATGGAAAAACAAGTAAATCACTTACCAAGGATTAATATAAAATGCCAAAAGATAATCAGTCCAAAGGCATGAGGGTAGCAGAGTTAGGAAAGCAAATACACTTCTACGCCTGTGAGCATTAATAAATAACATACATAAAGATGAAAAAGTGAGGAGAGTTAGTAAGACAAACAGAAACCAGGAGATCAGCAAATTCTATTTTAAAAATCAGCTAAATCCATAAATCCTACTTCTTACTTACTTCCTAAGAATATTATTAGCAKCCCTAGAATTTCTCAAATGACACCCTCTGCAGGATTTTCAGCTATCCAACACAAAATTCTATGTGGCCAAGGTAAGTGTGCCTTATTTGATTCAGGGCTGTTATTCTAAATTTTCAGAGAGTAAAATGGGTAGGAAAATATCATCAACAGATTTACAGCTGTTGCATAGGTGGTATTAAGGCTATTTTCTGATGTTTCAAGATATTCAGTACTGACATGGATTGTTTTTATCACATACAGCTACAATAATCTCCCACGTTTGTTCCTGCAAGTGATCGTGTGGCTATCAGAAGATCTATATCAGAGATAAATTCAGATGCTTCCAACATCTYTTAATACTCTCTATTGAGTCAGATTTCTCAAGGTATCCATATAACATTTTGCAGAGCGCTTTAAATTCTCTCYTAGGTTTTCATCTTAACATTGCTTGAACAGTTCTTCTGACTCTGGTTTCGATGAATAACTATTCACAGCAGATTTTACGGTGACTAAAGGAAATACGAGTACATTATCATTCTAAAATTCTGTATTTGTAAGCAGTTTACCAGCTTCTGCTGTGCATTAACTTAAGAAACCCACTTAGGCCTCTCCTACCTATTGGTGAAATGGGCTTCAGGTACTTTTAATATGAAAAACTCGTGAAATTTAAACAAACTTTGCTCCAGCAGAAGGACTTTTTTTAGCCAAATACAATCTCTGTATTTTTTCCAMTCAGAAAATCTGCTGCCTTAGAAGTGATAGCGTCCTTCTGCAGCTGGTCTAAAGAGGAACCACAAACTGAAATTTCCTTCATCAGTACTGTTGGCTTTTGTGAAGTTGGTAGATACTGTGTTTTCTCTATAAACAATTATTGACAAATGTAATAATATCTGATCTCAATTCTCCAACCAGTGGAAGAAACCTTCTGCCCATGCAGTGAAAACTCCAAGTTATGCCTTATTGAGTTTTGCTGCTGTAATGGGCAGGGTAGTTTCCAGAGGGCACCTTCTGAAGGCTTTGGTGGGAATTGCCTGGGTCAGCCAGAAGGAAGAGCCCTTTCCAGTTAATCTTATACCATAACAACTGCAGAATCAGACCCTTAGGGCACATTTGTTGGTTGACTTTCCATGGGACTGGACTGAGGGAGAAATTTGGTTTTCCATGAACAGATCACTGGTGCCACAGAGGTTTCCATTAGGCTCAGAAGAGAGAAGTGATGATGTGCCTGGAATACTTCTCTTTCCTTTCAGAAACTCCATGAGAGGCTTTTATTTCTTCTTGCCCACAGAGGCAGAAGGAATTATTCAAGCATGGGCTTCTTTCATCATCAGTCCTCACAAGAATTTTCCACACGTTATYGAATCACAGGCCAACATACCTCCAAACTGATTTGTATTGTTCACAGACTAGAAGCTTTGACATCTAAACCAATTGATTTTATTCAACATATGAAAAATAAGTAATTGCCTAATAAATACACTACTGTTTTTCTGCATTTGTGCCGTCTTTCTCAGCTGTACTGAACTTAATTGAAAGAAAGAGATGCAGAGATTGCTCAAATCCTGAAAACTCTGCTGAGCTGAGCTTCCTTTAGGAATTAGCAGATATCCCATASTCCCTTACTAGACACCTGGAATGAGCCCAAACAAAATGTAATTTTTAATCCTTGTAGCTGTCTTTAGGGCMATATTTCCCACCTGCTGCCTTGAAGGATAGTGAATCTGGTCTTGACATTAGACAACAGAGGCACACAAAACAACTCTTAGCGAAGTAAGGACCATAAGATAAAGACACAGTGCCTTCACTAACAAAAAATTTGTGGAGTTATTAAGCAGGAATGTTTTCCTCAGATTACATAATTTATGTATGTATACATATATGCATTTATACACACATACATACATATATAATAAATCAAGCAACAAGAACCTTCCCTTCCACATCCAAATCTGTTAATTCCCTTCCCTTAAGAAAAAGAAGCCTTTTATGGTTTTATTAACATCTGTTGCTAGTCTAATAATTTCATTCAAGCTTGGCTATTTAATTAACACGAGTGTTTGATCTTCTGCCTTCTTTGCCCTTAATACAGTCCAAGCAAGAGAATCTGAGGGATGGTTTCATTTGTACTGCATACAGCTGGCTGCTATTAAAGCTAAACCAAGCAAGTGAGGCTTGTTTAATACCCAGTTAATTAGCAGCACGGTGAGATATTGACAAGATTTGCTGGCCTTGTTAGTTCAGTTTGCAGGCTTTTTAGCAAAAGGCTTGTTGTGCTGTGGTGTCAATCCATTTAATCCCATCCTTGCTGGCAGGCTGTGTCCTGTGAGATCATGGAAGCAGTTCCCTGTGCACAGCTCTTCTTTCCAACTTCTTAGCTGTCAGCAAAGCTGACCATGGGTGTAAAACCAAGGCATGTATTTTATTGTTCTGGCATTCTGGAATGGGGCTGATTTCACAGCTTTAAATATCTGTGTTTGGACTTGCCTTGAAAGAGAAGASGCTTTTGCAGAGATTGCTAATAACAGAACAGTAAACTTGGGTCTGTCATTACCATTCATCTTATGATGATTATCAAATTAGGAATGGAAATGACCACACTGGTGCCACCAGTCATGTAGCTCTCTCAGAGCCTTTTATTTCTATAAAAGCTAATTCTACAGACTTCCTTTGTTCAAATACTTCTCTTCAGCTGATGGTGACAGTGATGGAGTCCATAGTTAGTGCCTGCAAGTCTTGCACATGATTTTCTAGATTAGCAAGACATGTTTGGGGGATTTTTTGTTTTTTTTTTTTTTTTTCAACAGCACTGAACATTAAGTTAGAGTACATATTTGAGTTGGCTTGTCCTTGTCTTGTAACATAAGGAAATACTAATTAACGGCACTGCATGAAGACACTTGCTAATTAGGTATCTACAAATAAGCTTATTCCTGGATGTAAATACATGTAATGGATTTATAGACAAGTTTCTACAGTTATATTATTTTAGGAAATACGTCTGTAAGGGAAAGGAAAAAAATATCCTCCCAAAGCACATCTATGCAACTTGGCTGACATGTATATACATCATGGCCTACTAAAAATAGCAAGTGACAGAATGCATGCCTACAGCCATCATTCAAGAAATAAAATACACTCAAGGAACAAATTACTAAATTAACAACCATAGTAGTTTTATCCTAAAGAGGGACAGCAATGACATTAAAATAAAGCACTTTAAGATTACAGATAACATTTGCCAAAAAGCAGAGATGGGGAAAAACATAAGCTTTGCTTCAAGCACTCACCAGTTATAGGGGAGCTTTCCATCTCTCTCTAAAGATGCAAAATTCACAAAGGTTCCAGCCCCGCACTCCCTGTGCCAGGAAGACCATTAAGTARGAAGTTACTGGTTTTTGGATTCACAACACTTGCAAAAAAGGTGATTTAAGAGAGAACTCTTGGAGTTGCAGAGAAGTGCTAAACACTCATATCTGTGACTAGGTCTGAGATAATCTAAACATAAACGAAACATAACTAAACCCCCTAAACACAGTTGTCTGAAACCAATAAACGCACAACACCACCTGAGAACGCATTACCTAAAAATGCTTAAAAAGAATGAAATTCTCAAATAGACCTTATCTTCCRTCCAGATTTGTGCTTTCCACAGTCTGCCACTAGCAATGGTTTCTGTCCTCAGTACAAATGTTAAATATTTACCTTTCTACACTAAATATTCATTGATCCCACTCTAAAGAGAAGTTGTTTAATTGTGTCCTTTTCACAGGATAATTATAGGTAATTTTGAGTTAAGAAAATAACTGTAAGGAAAAGAAAAAAAAATCCTAAATAACATTCTAGTAGTGTCTTTATCACAAATCCATTATTTTCAGCTATGAATTATAAACTGACTTGACTAGTTCCTTGATTTAAGCAAATGAGTGCTTGAAGCTTCTCACTGGATTTATTTTTAAAATTTCCTTCTGGGGTGTTTATCTTCTGTGGCTAGAAGCAGTGATGAAGAAAAAAAGCTTTGGGCTGGCTGCACAGTAATTAAATAGAAAAAAGAATTAATTTAGCTGGGATTTGCACAGAGTCAGTTACATGTAAAAGGAACAAACCACACAATGTTTTCTTAAAAAGATAACCTGAAAAATATGCATGATGTGATCTGTTGCATGGAATACAGAGCCAAGACACAACACACAAAATGCAGCAATTGCTAAGTTGTTAAGTGGAAGATTTTTTGGAGTTTTGTTACATGAAATTATTTCCTTTCTTGACACAGTAAATTCATATAAAATATGTTACATAGATTATAAAAGGACAAAGGCTCTGTGACAGCTTTAAAACCAGTAGGTAAACCACATATCTAGACTTGCAAAGCATCTTGCGGTCCTGCTCATGCCCAGTTACCTCAGATCCTGATTATCGTTCATGTTCCTGACWCTACCCTTTTGTATGGGACTGCACTTCTTATAAACTCAGCCTTGCAAAGCTCGGAGGGAGACAAAAGTTGAGCCTTGTGAGTCAGGTCAAGAGTGAAAGGAGAYAGAAGGAGATGTGCTCCTCTTAAGTAGCACCCACACACAAAAGCACTCTCAGCTGAAACTTTTGTCTTGATGTTTATTGGTGTCTGATTTTTTTTTTTTTTTGGTTGTAATTAGCATAAATCTGGACTTACCTAGCCATTTGTAGGTGTTTTCTCCTGAGAACAACAAGAGTGACCAGCAGCAGTCCAATCAGGAGGATACTGAGGATGGCCAGCACGGAGATCACCACTACATTGGGGTTCATCTCAGTGACTGCACACACAAAAAATTACTCTCGGTTATTCAGCCCAGAACCACTGACGGTTTTGTTTTGTTTTTCACTGACTTTTGATAATGCCTTTTTTTTTTTAACTTGTCTCAAAGAGCCTGGAGTGTTACAGAGAGAAAAATCTACCACAAGAGATAAAGGGAGCATTTGAGTAGCTACAGATAAAGGGAGAGTTTGAGTAGCTATTGCTCTTAGAAAATTTCTTTGGGGAAATGATTTCACTCTGGCATTTTTGTTAAACTTTGACATGCTCTGATCTATTTTTTTTCCTTTTTAGCTGACATTTATAGCACAAGAGAAAATGGTGAAGGTAATACAAAATACAGATATTTATCATCATCTATGTCTCCAAAGYACATTTCTGCTCTGAAGTTGCTCTTCAACAATAATCAATACTTTTTCTGACCCAAAAGCAGAATAAGCTGGGGCTCTGTAATATATTGGGCTGAAATTGCTTAATTACTCTGGAAAATTACGTGCCCAGGGATCCTCCATCAGAAGCCTTTTGGCTGTGACAGCTGAAGATCCTGCAGAGGCCCTTCCCTCTCACTTCATTGCTGAATGCAGAAAGCCCTAAAAGCTTATGAATGTGATTTTCCTCTGTGGTTTGGGCTTGGCTGAGAAACCTTTTTTTCTCCATAAATATCACCAAGCAGCACCCTGATGCTCAGTACTGACAYCACAAGCTACATCCCTGATTTCTAAAACCCAGTACAGAACTGAGCCCCGAGTTTAGATTTTTCCAAGTCAACCCCCTAGTGGGGCCTTTCCTAAGGGCTTTCCAAAGCTGCTCCTCCATCCCATCCACATCTGGCAACAACCCTTGGAGCCAGCATTACAAAGTGCAGCTTTAGACAGCAAGGGCAAGCAGATGTAGCTGGATGAGGAAGAAGAAAGCAGGGAAGTGCTGCTTACCCATGGTGGAAACTGCAATGAATGTGGGGATGCTGGGGCTGTTGTGGCTGAAGGTGGTCACGCTGCAGTTGTAGGAAGTGGCAGGGGTTAGGCTGGAAATGGTCACGACATGTGAAGAGACGGTAACAGGCTCCTGCAGATGTGGAGAAAAAACACAGGAATTTCTATCTCACATAAATGCCAGAACACAAATCAATGCTCCGTGCATTTGACAGGTAAAGTCAGYTCTGGTGAAAGAAATCTGCACACTGAAACACAGGAAAGGTAACCAGGGCCTGCTCTTGAAAACAGGCAGATAGTCTGGCAGAAAAGGGAGAGGAACAGGGGAGAACACAGCAGCAAGAACATCCCAGAGTACACCAGGGACCCTGCAGCCTTTTGGGGAGGGAAGGACAGGTGCCTCATAGCGGGTGGGTCAGGCATGGGCTTGGTGGGGCCTCCCAGGATATCCCCAATGGTGGGCACAGCTCATGAGCTCTGGTTACTATGCCACACAGCTGGGAGGAAAATAAAGTTATTTTATTCAAAGAACAGCCAAGGCAGTCACAATCTGCTACAAATGAAACCACAATTCTGATTTGAACGCATTGCATCTCTGCCTCTGAGGCAGCTCCTCAGGATGTGAAGAGCTGTGAGCCCTTTTGAGTGGCCAAGGTAAAAAAAAAAGCTGGAGCAAAGCCTTTTGGTACTAATCATGATCACCATCCTACACCTAAGCTTTCTAGCTGGTAGAAACTGTACACAACACATTCACACAATGTGTTAGTTACCATGATCCTCATAAACACTTTTGTGGATTTTAAATGCTCACAGAGCAAGAGAAAACAAATACAACAAGGACAACACATGCATTGACTTAAAGAAAGAGATCCTTAAGGTCTCTGATTTTCTGTACTGTCCAGCAGAACCAAGGGTGGGTTACAGTTGTAAAAATAGGGACACTGAGCCAGTGGTTTAGAAGGGAAAGGAGAAGTTTTGTGAATGAACTCACTMCAGATAGGGAACACAAGATGCTGTAACAAGTCCCAAACACTGGATAKTTGCACGAGCCTGCTGCCAGTCACTGCCTAATTCTGTTGCAGAGAAATTCTGAGGTACCTTATGCAGATGAAATCACATGCACATGAGTCTAAGAGAGGAGACTTTTATTGCCTGGGCTGAAAGGAGGAGCCTTTGGCAATTGGACCTGGTTGGATGTTTCCATTTTCCCCTCTGGGAAACATAAATCAGTCAACTCAAATCCAAGATGTTCAAAACCAGAAAGCTGTTTCTTTTCATTTCACTGATTTAAAGATGAAAAAAAGGGACAAAAATGTTCGTGTAATTAGCATGGAAAATCACTAAGAATTTTCAGCAGTGTACTTGGAAAGCATCCCTTTTCACAGTTCAGAAAGGAGCCTTACCCCTTTTTTCATAGAAACAGAAAAGAGAGAGATGAACTAATGAGAAGTGAACTGGCAATCTCTGTGCATTATCCAGTGCCAGATGTTCATGTCAGCAAATGAGACACCCACTGAAGCATCTGMCAAATGAAGCAGTCTTTTCCTGATYTTAAAACAGRTCYGCTCCRAACTAAAGTTGCAAATCCTGTGGTACTTTCCTTGCCTGATCTCATCACTGTGTTGGATCTCTGGTAAGTGATGAAAATGACTTCACAACCTTTGCTATTGAGTGTGAAAAAGCGGGAATCTAGACATGGAATCCAAACTATCCAAAAGATTAAAGTGCATTTAAAGATTTTTTTCCCCTTTAGTCATTGTCTGTCTCAGCTTAAAAAGAATATTAAATAATTCAGACTGACCTTCCATAGGATTAAAGAGTGTGCAAGTCTTTTGTGATAATCAGTGGTTTAAATAGGTAATTTTTCACTTCTTTCTGAATGATTCCCCATTATGTGTCACTGTCCACATGGGAGAATAATGTTTTGTGGCATGCAATCAGAGTGATTCATTACACCATCAGCTAAAGCACGAAGTAAAATTCACGTGTTGCACAGCATTCAAGTTAAGGAATTAAAACCAGAACTGTTCTCTATTTTTCACCRAACAGCACTATCAATATAAATACTYCTGTATTCAGGTAGCCTCWGAGCACAGGTACCTGACTGGACAGAGAGAAAAGGAGGTTCATTTATGAGGTTCAGAAGGTGGGTCTGGAAGAAAATACCCTGAGATAAAACGCATGAGGAGCAGCCACATTTGCACCACAAGGACACTCTTTGAAAAGCAGGGAATCTCCAACTGAACTTCAATTAACAGATCTCAAACCTAGGAATAAAGTATGCCAGAAATAATTAGATACAGTGTAAGAGATCTCATGGCATGTCTATTTTTCCTATTCCTTATCAAGCTACCTAAGCATTTTCCTTTCTTGTTCACTGACATTCCCTAAGTTCTGTGGCCTGTTAGGTTTTGCAGTGGTGTATCAGAGCCACTTCCGTGCATAGCCAAACACTCACACTGTTGGATGCACAGAGTTTCTCTCTAACTAGTTATAATCTCATCAAAAAGATAGAAGTCAACCTTAACAGTGCAAAAGAATGAAATAATTTAGTATTTGAAGTATAGTTTTAGTGGTTTGGCTTTTAGAAGTTTAATTCTGAACCACCTGATCACATTTGGTATAAAATGTCATCGAGCTTTACACACACATGCCAAGGAGCAGACACAAAACCAAAAAGGTGCAAGGCCCAGCCTCAGCTTCAAAGATGCAGAGTGGACACCAGAGAAGAGAYACWTACCTGGACTTTCATTTCCTGGCCRGAYCCAGTGCGCTGACAATAGACTTCAAAGAAATCRGCCACTCCTTCTTCCACCCACAGCAGAGTCACKGAGGTCTGAGTCTTGTTGACAGCAAACAGTGATTTTGGAGGGGCTGGTTCTGGTGTGAGAGAAAAATCTCCTTTTATTAAGCTTATCTTTAAGTTTCCAGACAACTGAGAAAAATGAAAAAATTGGAAGCAATGCCTGATGCCCTTCTATCTTTCATTTCCTTCAGATAAAGTCTACGAAAGTAAATCCTCTCATGATGATAAACTACCACTGTAAAATGGGAAGAGGATGAAATGTGTTSGTTTTTCTTCTCTATTTAAACTGTTCTCTCTTTTGGGCAGATGGATAATTACTTCACTTCCCTTTTCAGCAGAGCCCTTGTTTGAGGATGATTGGTGGATTCTATTAATAGAACAATGTTAGCAGAAACTTTCATAGAAGATGACTTCCACCTGTTAGCAACACATTCGACCTGAGAAAGCTTTTCTTCAGAAGGCCTGCCCAGGAGATTATAAAGAAGCAGCTTCCCAAAAGTGAAGGCTGCCTAGGTTCATTTAATTGCAGCAGAGGAAATATTTGGCCAATGAGCAGTTTTAAAAAAAACTTGTAGTATTTTTCCCCCCCGCAGCTGACAATTAAGAACCATTGGATCTGTGCTCACTTCCATGAGGTGTAGGAATTTTCTCTCCTCACTGAATGCAGAAGGCCAGATCTCTGGGGTCCTCAATTGATTGCTTTGACTTCCACTGTGTTTGTGCTGGATGAACTGACCATGGGCAAACAAATACAAGGGTCTGTGGAGCAGGGCACAACCCTGTGACAGGAGTGACAGAAGGAGGGTCYCCTGGGAGTGATAGCATCAGAGATGCTGTGAAACACGGATGGGGTCTGCACCCGTGTCCAGTGGCCTTGGCTGCTGCCTCCAAGGCCATCTCCCTGCCCCTGGACCCCTCACTGCAACCACACCCAAACCAACCTGCAGAATGGAAAGCACAGAACAGCGAGGGAAACCTTGAGAACCAGGGGAGGAGCAAACAGCCTGGGCACAGTGTTAGGATGAGAGATATTTTTCTCCTCAATATAATTTATACATCAAGGCTTAATCCTGATTTTTCACCCTGATGGATACTGGCAATCCCTGTCTTTCCACACCTCAGGCCTCCTGGGCTCTTCTGCTTTGCCTTCAGAGAGTGTAAACTTTGGATTGTACATTTCTGAGCTGTTCTGAGCAGTTTTCAGATTTCCAAGTCTATGGATATTTAATTAAAGCTATAATTCTCAAACAATGACCTGATTTCAGGATTCTGAYACACTGCATGAGCAATGAACAAGAAGATTTCAGTTTTATTTTTTTTCTTCCACAAATAAATTGTTATGCTCATTCTGTGAGATGCTGTCACAGGAAGCTTGGCACGAGGGACTTGCTCAAGTAGTTATAGACAATTTGGAGACATATCTGATCCTAAAACAATAAGATCTGTGTTCTAGAGTTGGAAGCTGCCCAAACTATATTGGCATTATGGAAAGAGTTGGGCAGGGACTGAGGCACATTCACGTGTGTCACGGGGATYGCAGTGTACATATTGTCCCAGTGCTACACAGGAAAGTGTCCCTCTCCCATAATTACACACATATATCTGCTCTTGGGCTCAGAAACACAATCTCTCTCACGCCAGGTAAAAAAAAAATGGCCTCAATTAAAACATGAGTTTTGCATTTGGGCAGCGTCCCAAGCAAATCCTCCTTTTGCCTCCAGCAAATGGCTTGATTTTTCTGCAAGTGGAAAGTTGCCAGGATGAAGCAAACATCATGGAGGGAAGAACATTTGGCAGGAATGCTAAAGTGACTGCCAAGTGCTGAGTCGTCTATCACTTAGAGTCAGTTTCCACTACTGCTAATTACAACTCCCTTTGCTCCCCTCAGAAACAGGGAGAAGGAAAACCTCTGGCAAAATACCCCTATTTTTGTCTATTCAAAGTTCAAACATCATAAAGGAAAAAAAAAAAATCAAACTCAACCCAACAAAACCCCCCACATCCAGAAGTCTTGAAGGGATTTATTGAAGTGGAAATCATTCCACCTTCTTTTTGTTGTCACCAAAAGGCAAAATACCCATCCCAGTTTGATGAGGGAGCTTGTCCATAAAGAAAGAACAGGAAGATACAACTCTGCTGCAGGGTGTACATAATAAAWAATAAAYAAATAATACTTTTGSATCTGCCTGAAAGATAAAGCTAGTTGATATTTTGAAATACCACCCTAAAATATTTGGAGAATGGTAGCAGGGGGTTATACTCACCCTCACACATTCACCCTCTCAGTTATGGGAACAAATACACAAATGGAACTGCACAGACACGAGGCGTGGGGAAAATGGGATATGATTCGCACAGGCAAGAGAAAACTCATGCAATTTGTCTACATCTTTCAAATACTGCCTCTGCTAAAAAGACCTGCAAGAACTTCTGATTGTTGTGTCTGTAATGTTCGCCTCAGCACTGTTTAAGAGATCAGAGTAAGAGTTCTGAGAAACATAAATGGACAAAAGTGGTTTCAAGGCTTCTAATCCAATTAGAAATTATAGGGTCCTTTAAATCCACTCCTCTCACAGTGACTCACGAAAGAATTATTATTCAYGTAGAGAAGATAATCCAGTTTGAAATTACAAACTCTTCCTTATCCACCTTCTTCGTGGAGTTTACACCGGTAAAAGCAGTTTCGCACATTTGGAAATTTCACAGTTTTAGGTACCTAAGACTCAAGAATTCTACATTCTACTTCATGYTTAGTTCAGAAGGGAACTAAAATTTCTTAAGGTACAATGGTGCAGTATGCAGTCATTCTCCCAAGCAAAGAAAGATTGGGCAGAAAATTATATTTTAAAGTCTTATATTAAGGATCCAGTTCTCAAGCCTTCTTTTTTTTTCTGTATTACACGTATTTCTCTAAAAATGTAGCTGGGTTCCACATTCATGAACCTGTTTTTATAAAGGGTGCTATCATTAATTTGTATTTATGGGCACRTTTTAGGTGTTGGAAGACTTTGCAGATGTCCAGGGAGAGAGGAGGGGAGACAGGAAAGCAGACCAGGTGGCAGAGAGACCAAGAAACAGGCTTGGCAGAAACAGAAAGGAAGGTCTTGCTTTTTACTGAAAAGTTTATCTGTGAAGCCTGAGTTGCCATTCTCAAAAYCTTCATGGTTTCAAGACCTTAGGGAAGCAACTATGAAGTAGAGTTGYTCTCTCAGCAAGGCACTAAGTGATTTCCACTCTCCTGCTTCCACTAACAGTCAAATTTTGCCGCTCTTGCTCCCCCTTGAGCAAAACCATTTTAGGAGAGCACTTTCACACACAGGAATGAGACAATCTTCACAGCAAGGTGAGGCGAAAATTACAGCTTTGCAAAAGAAATGGGGTCACAGGTACATAACTCTGAAAGAAGTAACTCCATGCTGATGGAGTTACTCTACAGTCAAATGAGCAGAGTGAGTTARTAATTTAACAACGAGCATTTCTTACCCAGTTTCACAAGTTGGGGCACAGAAGTGTTGCTGCCTCTTTCAGTACAAGCAGTGACTGAAAGGTTGTAAATGTCCCCCGGAGGCAAACTCAGCACCGCAGTCATCACATTGCGTGTCACCTGAACAATCAAAGCACATCAGTTTCAGTATGATTCAAAACATACAAATGCCTCGTAAAATTACTTAAAACACTACAAAGAAAGTCCTGTGCATCTCAGCAGATGCCTTCTGCACGCTCCAGACTCGTGACATCAATCAGTGCCCACCACACCATCCGTGAAAGCAGAAGAGCACAATGCAGAAAGAAGACAATCTTTGGCTGCACTTTCCATGTGACCAGTGAGAATTTAAGCAAAAAAGAAAATCTCCCTCACACTACTGAGAATGCTCGTGCATCTAGATATTTCTAGTTAGGCAAAATGCTAAACAAGCCATGGACTTGAGTCTATTGCAATTTTAAAGGAATTTAATTCAGGTCACCTCAAAAAAGAGCACACAAGCCATGTGCAGACAAGCCTTTATGTATCCTACAAACCTGAAAATTAAATCCATCTGGACAAGTCTAACACCTGTTGGAAACCTATTGACTTGATAACAGATTTTAAGGTCTGAATTCAATCATTGCAAGTTTGAAATTGGGTATGATCCCAAACTGAGCTGAGTCTCAAAAGTCTGAGAGTAACTTCTTCCTGTTATTTTAGGGGTAATCTYCCCATTTCTCCAGGGCTGTGGAGAAGGATGCAGAGCTCAGAACACACCGTGCTCAGAGCATTTGTAGGCTATCTATAAGAGGTACATGCAGGAATCTCATTATGGTTTTCATAATCAATTTTCAGGCTGAAGCATTGTGGTGGCTCTGCAAGAGAAACTGACAGTTCTGAATAAAGACTAATACGGCTTTGCACATTATGTTCATCATTTCTCTAAGGACTGACCAACTTCTGTGGAGTYTTGGGAAATACACAAGGAGCAGGAGGAAAATGTCAGCATTGTCTGACAGTGTTACCTATTTATTTCAATAATGTCACAAGAAAAACAACCATAATAAAAATCATAATAAAACATATTAAACAGAGGGATTAAGAGATTAAAATATAGTGTGACTTTTAAAGGAAACAGTTTCTGAAAGTGACTAATAGAGCTTAGGAAAACAGGTATGCCCTGATGCCTGTGAGTATGTACCCATGTGAACAGAACTAYAAAAGCTAGCTATACATAGGTTGTTGAAGGATTTTCCCAAAGAATGCTCTCTGGGTTCCCTTGTCTCACAATGAACATAAATACAAACATTTGTAGAGACATCCCTGTGCTTTAAAAGCTTTAAAGTTTTATTTGTATATACACTTTATTGTGGATACCCTCTACTTTTAATCTTTTGTTTAGAAAAGCAATTTTATTTTTAATTTAATTTCATATTAAATGTTTATTTAATCTACAATTTTTATATTCAGTGAAGCAGATGGTAGACAAATCTGATTTTTACTGCAAAAATAATAAGCTTACAGAAAACATGACTTTTTGAAGGAAGAATAGAGAGGGATATCATTGTGAATTCTTTTTAAATTCAATTGATAGAATATTTTATTTGGAGGAAAAAATTAAAATACAGTTTTCTTCCATTTTTGAAATAAGGATCCAAATTCTGAAAGTTCATGCTGCTCAGAAATGTCATCAGGTTAGTCATGTAATCAGATTCAYGCTGCAACAAGCTCCAGATGGGTGCACGCTCACAGCCATGAGGAATCTAAGGCAAGCTAGGATGCTCCACATAAATCCAAATGAAAATYGCTGATGAATTTGTACTTCTGCTGAAAATACACTTCCAATTCGGCTTCTGCTGAGTCTTAAGCRGAAGGAAAAACTTTCCCTTGAAGAAGACCAGACACTTTTTCCCTGTCAATGACTGGACAGTAACATTGGTGTGGAAGTCAGTCTCAGGCCACAGGCTGGATGAAGCTCCACTGCTGGCCCTACACAACCCTGCCCTGCAGTGACCCACCCCTGTTTCCAACACTTCTCACTCTGTGTCCAGGGGCTGACTTTCATGACTTTAATCCATCATTGGAACCACCAGATTCCGTTTTCTATGTGATTTTTCAAAATGTTCAAGAGAATGTACCAAGAGTATACCTTASCCTCTAGYGAGTTTTTTAAGTGCACACATTCTGGGTGAAATCCTCATCCCATCAATYAGTGGAACTTGTGTTCAAACATAAAATGAAGACTCCGTAATTTATAAGGATAAAGTCAGAAAACAGGAGGTGACAGTGCTTGGCTTGAACAAAAAAAAAACCAACTCAGCCAGTAGTTTACTCTGTTTAGTAATAAATAAAAATGGAAAATACCATATCAGTATATAAGAATACTCTGTGTTTTACTGTTTGAAGCTCAGAAGTTTTTAAGCCCTTTTAAAATTACCTGAATTATCAACAATTGCACTGGATCACTACAGAAACACTTTGTCCACTGGCTGTTTTGAGAACTCAAGTCTTTAGAAGTGCACACTAACATTGGGAAATTACTTAATTGACCAGATTTCTACCAAACCTGCTGAAACTTTGTAATACAAAGTTATCAACTCAGAAAAACAAAACAAAGCAAATAAAAGAAAAAAAAAGGAAAAAAAAAAAAAGCCCAGAGAAATGAATACCACCTTCCCCACTGATACTTACACTCTTCTTGATTTTTTTCTTTCCTTCTGCAATGACCATCCAATGCAGCATTCTGGAATGAGAAAGGTCAGGACCATCTCCTCCATAGGTCCAGGTGACGTACAAAAGGTGGTTGTAATATTCCACAGAGGTAATTTTGGGTGCCACTGGTGCTGAAGRAAGAAGCAAAGTGCATTACAGACAGGGTCTAACACAGCTGATCAGCAAAGCCAGTAAAGGATTACTGTTGTGAAGAGTATCACAAAGCTAGCAGGAAAGTCTTAGTAAAAGTTACTGCATCTGAGCACTAGCTGAAAGAGATGAAAACCATCGTTTAACCTGGGAGATAATCAGAACAAAAATACACTTCTTTGCGCAGTCGTTCAGTTAAAAAAAATCACAGCAGATACAAACCATTATTTGAGTCAATATTTGCAAGTGAAATTCAAAGTCAAGTTAAAAGCCTCAGACACGGCTTTACTGTTATTGAACTGAAAAGAAATAATAAATTGTTACACTGAGTAATTTTGATAGCTTTTCCATGGGAAAAAAAAAAAACAAACAAAACTTCTTTTCACTGAGCTTGCATCTTTCTAGGAGGAAAAGTCCAAAACTTGCAGTTTGCCAAAGAACAACTTTTGCTTGAGAAGTTATGACCACCTTTGTTCCCAAGGTAGAAGGGAAGAAGAAAGGGCCCCACCACAGCCCCTTCAGCCTGTTGGAAATGTTTTTTTTTTATTCTGGAGATGCCAGCAAGTCCTTGGCTCTCTGTGCAGCCCGAGTAACACTGAGTCACTTATGTTGGGAAGAACTTTTAAGACTCAGACCAACACTACCCTCAGCACCACATTCACATCACCTCCAAACACCCCCAGAGACTGTGCCTCCACCACCTTCCCTCATGGTGGATCTCATCAGCTGGGCCCTGCAGAAACACAGCAACCTGCAGAATAAACCACCTCCTCCTAAAAAAGGTATTTAAGATGAGAATGACCTCTGGGAGGAGCCTSTCCATWAACTGCAGAGGGAGCAGAGCTGGACAGTTCACCCTGATTGCCAAACTCAACGGTGCAGGACCCCTGAGAGGAGTTAACACCAAGTGGAGASCCGAAAGTAAAAGTCAGTGATCAGTAAATATCCCAATACCCTCTCAAAGAGGTACGAGTGGGATAATGTGGATATAATGGGGAAAGGTAGGAACCTCTGTGCTTRGCAGATGCTGGAGGAGCAGGGGGAATGGTAGGAACTGACTGGTGTTGGTCTGCACATGCCCTGTCGTGCCCGGTGCGCTCATGCCACACAGGTCAGAGGAGCTGCGGGGCCAGGGGACCCTGCCCAGGAGCAGAGCCCAGGGTGCCAGCACAGCTCTGGGTGACAGGGAATGCAGGATGGCCTCGGAGCTCRGGTCTATTCGAAAGGGCCACAAGATGTCACTGCTGCTTTCACCAAGGCTCCTTCGACTTTGCCATCGAGACGTTTTTTAGCAAACAGATTTACTGAAGTAATCGCTGAGGAAGGCAGCAAATGCAATTTAGAGCCATCTAGAAACGTTTAGTAAGACTATTCTCCCAAATWAATCTTGAAAATGTCCTTTCATGCTGTTGAGAGAAAGCAACCTGATTTAGCATGAAATCTTTAAAGAAATATTTCTTTTAATTTCTCGAGTTCCCAGCCCATCCCTGTGCATGGATCATGTATTCCTGGCCATTTAAGGCCATGACTGACATGAATCTCACACAGGAATAATAACTTCCTGCTGTACCTTATTACTGATGGTRTAATTTCATGACAGTGAATTTCCAKGATATGTCAAACGAGGGCCAGGGCTTGTGTGACYCACTTCTCTAGCACAAGGTTTTAGGGAGGTCAGTGGCACAGATAARCTGAGGGAAGTCACATCCTGCTGCTGACCTGGTCCGAAATGACAGCTGGAGCATCCACAGCACCAACAGGCGGCACATGTGGTGGTAGTCATCAACACCAAGAGTCTGTCCTTCTCACCCCTTTTGCTTCCCCAAAGATAAAAGCATTGTYATTGTAAAAAGAAAATGTTAGTGGTCTAAAGAGCCTTTGCTTATGATTGTTTTAAATCCAGCTGTTTRCAGCAGGTGGCATTAAAAACTCGTTTGTCACCACAGCAACATGGGCAGTGCCACAATCTCTCTCCGAGTGAAAACAACAGCGTGCAACTCCTCCTGCAGGAGCTGAGAGAACAAATGCTGCTTCTGMCAAGTCTCTTGGATCCYCCAAATCTCCCCCATCTCCTGGKACATCTCCCTGGTTGCTGYAGKGGAGAGCTGCCTCTCACCATGCCAYRTCCCACAGTTCAGTAAAGCCCCAGCCTCACTGTAGGCTCCCCAGGAGCAGTGGGATCCTGCCTTAGGAAAGGGTTTGTCTGCTCCAAGCTATCTGCAAGTGGCATTTTCAAACTCCCAGATGATCCTTCTACTCTGTTTTTAAAACTCAAGCTTATGCTCCAGGTGTGGAGGTTGGCTCTGCAGTTACACACAGAAGAGCTGACAGATGGTGTACTGTCAAGGCGACAAAACCTCCGCTCCACTRTTTTTAAAATTTAGGCCTTTTTGGTGTTTTTTTTTGGTTTTTTTTGTTTTAACCCCTGGTAACCTGTGCAAGGGGAGGTGGCATTGTTCAAAATGATGCAGAAAGGGACAAAGTGCTCCATAAAACCATCTGCTCCCTCTCTGTAAAGAAAGAGGCTGAGGGTGAGAAAAAACTCTCAGTCTCCTGGTAACCTCAAGCTGTGAAAAGGCAGCACCTACTGGGGACAAACATTTCAAACCTGCAGACATGACAAATTGGCAAGCCACTTCCTCACAATTTAGCCTGACTGCAGTCCCAGGGCAAAGCTGAAGAGATTGCAGGTAATAAAGCAATCAGAGGACAGGAGTGCATTAAATGCTCACATTCAGTGGTGACCATCCACTGATAAGTGCTTGCAATTTGACCAAATCAGCTTCTTTGTCTGGACTCTTCTCTTAAAAACACAGTGTGATTTTAATAGCTCATTACTATTCAACATTTTCATCAACACACTGGAAATGAAAGCAGTGCTGATGAACCATGCAAGTAGCATGGCAACAGGCAGAGGAGTGCATGATTTGGACAGGGCTTGTGCTTGGAAATATTGCCCCCTATGCTGGGCCTGCTCAAACAAAATGCATTTCAAAGTGCCAGGTGCAAAGTTGTGTCTGCTGGAAAATGGCACGCAGACAACACTTCCCAAATGATAAATCCTGTTAGGAGCCATAAAATAGAAGTAAATCAACACAGACTGCCAGTGTGATGATGCAGGAATTCCAATCATCTATATGCACACACAGGAGAGCTTTGAAAAGGGAGCTGATTTTGCCTCTATGAGTATTCAGCAGGCTGATACCACACTTTCAGTTTTTATGTACTTTAGTAAAGACAGTAAAAATTAGAGAGGCAGAGTGGGAAAAAAGTGACATGAGAAAAAACCAAAAGAGAGAGCACCTGAAGAGTTCAATGGAAGCAATTCATTAACAGAAAAAAAATCAAACCAAATTCTGTATAGAGAGGGGAAAAAAAAAGGTTTGTGTCTCTTCAATCAATAGGATAAAAGTGGAACAACAATTTTGTMCTGGATACTACAACCAGAAAAATTCAGATCAGAAACACAGATAGTAAGATAAATTAGTAAGAGAATAGTAAGAGAAAKTAACCATCAATACAACATTCAAGTTGGATATTTTCACTAAAGACCAGATGACCTTCTCTAAGAGAGGTTTTACCAATCATAGATGGAGGAGATTTAGAGATTCATCCATTTGTGATTCTGTCAACATCTACTAGTTAAGAAATTGATCCATTTTTCATTTAAGAGCAGTAGCAGTCTTTCCTGTCATCATACAGAGATCCAGACTGGTACTGATGACAGGAGAACTTTAATCTCTCTCATTTCTGCTGCAGGTTTTTGGAGAAACAGTACTGAAGCGAGTATCCCACTGGAACATTTCCACTCTAAAATGCTGAACCTGGTACCCAAATCAGTTGGAAAAGACATTTCTTCCCTCATACAGCAACCAACCAGCTGGAAAATTGCTTCCTTRCAGTGCTGATTGATGCCAAAGGACAATGAATATCCCTGGAGACCCTTCAGGAGGCTACAGTGGGTGTKATGAGTTTCTGATACACTGGAAAAGTGCCAGAATTTGTCAGTAGTGTAGCCTGGGRTCAGGTATCTCAGCATGGGAGGGTTTCTGTTAACTGAAGTGGAGCTAGAGCTTAACTTGCTGATTACTTTTCTGTCGTGGCTCTGTCAGRCACAGGCACTGTATAAATCATCACTGCAAATGGCTCTTACTCAGTAACCTTTTCAGATTCAATCTCAGACTCTCACCAAACAGAAAATCTGGGACTGGTGTCTGTTTTGGAGTGAGTGGCTCGGACATTATACCCTGATTTTCCTCRTAATTTGATTCCTACAACTGGAAAAGAAGAGCAAGTCACACTGCATTGCCTCTCACGGTGCAAATTAATTATTTACTGCTTTCAATCACCTAAACTTCAGCAAGGTCAATTAAACAGTGACACTTCAGAGCAAAATGATTCAACGGGGAATTTTGACTTTGGCCAAACCAGCCTGGATGCTGGGAACACACAGCCAGGTGCTAACAGAGCTTCTTTTATGTTGGTCCCTCTATGGCTGATCTGTTGGACATATTGAAGATTMAAATCCAAAGAATCTGCCAAGAGATGCCAGACTGAGTTAAATCCATGGCTGGTCCCAAGTGGAAGAGGGCAATGGTTGTATCAGTTCACCTGTTGGTGATGCACAAGTCATGCTCTGACCTGTGGAGTACTGGGAGGGGCATAGAGGGGGAAAAAATATTTGGAAATACTGCAGATAAMTGGAAAAGTGTTTCATAATATTAAGAAACCTAAGGATTCTGKTTTATTTATTTACCTTTTAACTTCTCCATGTGTCAAAAACATGGTGTGGTTAAAGTTGAGCCCTCAGTGGATCCATGCATTCAGCTGATGCAGGACTGGACACAGCAGTCAAACACTGTACTTGGCATATGCAAATTTTATCTATATGCTCATTTAAAGCAGTCCTCAGAGACTTAAAAATAAAATTTAAAAAAAAAAAAAAGAGAACACTTAGCTGATAAATATCCTAACTTGCGACTATCTGTAAGTGAAACACAACACTGGGCAGATTTTCTCAGTGCTTCTGCTCCCAGGAGCATTCCCAAATTTTTTTCAGCTGTCTGGTTACCTGTTATGAAGCTGATGGTGGAGCTGTCACAGCAGCTCAGCTCTGGGTCCCCCCAGGTCACCATGGTGACCCGAAAATTGTAATACCAAGCAGGCAGCAGGTTGGCTATTCTCTGTAAAGGGACAAAACACAAAGAGCAGCTCAGGAGAGAACTCATCAGCATAAGGCAGGACTTGTGAAATACAACACTATTTATAAATCTAGCCCCTACRCTCAATTTGCTGAGCTCCCATTCCGTACTTTAGTGGAAATCTCTGAAATCTGGCCTTTCAATTTACTAAAAAATYTGTGCAAGGGGAGCAAACACAGTTGTGATGGCTCTGCTGCTCATCCACATCCACCTGGTTCTCCCYGCCACAGGAATCTCTCACAGGTTTCCAGGGTGGTTAGAACCATTCAAGCAGAACAATCTTCCAACACAATTCTAGTGTGATGAAGACAAAATATTTAACTGGAAAATGTAGGCATTTTTAGTTTGATTAAATGAGGGTTTGAGGATAAATTAGAAGCAATGTTTTTGTCGCAGATATTGTCACTTTAAAAGATGTATTTTTTCTCCAATTTTCAAAGCATATTTCACTTTCTATTATCATTTATTATAAATGGAATATGAATGAAACATAAATGACTTAYGAGATATAAATTATATATGTAAATATAAATGAGATATAAATGAAGTATAAAAAGCAATATGTTTCATATTATAATATTGCATGTAATATCTAAGTTAAAGTTCAAATACTTCCATTGACAGCACAGAACATTTATTTTTAAGTGAAAATCTTAATGACATTTTTAAAATTCAAAATAAAAGCAAGTTGAAAAAAATTAACATCTTCAACAATGCAGAAATTGCTAATTTTACAAATCTCTGTTGTTTGAAGTGGCTGTTTTCCTCCACCTACTACAAGGCAATGCAAAATTCTGGGGGTGTGATCTGTTCTTTTTATGATTTTTGGAAGAAGATTGTATCCACACTGACACCAAAACCTTGAAGATGCTGGGACTTCCTCTGACATGCCACTGGTGTAATACTGAAAACACCAACATTGCTTTGACCATTTTAAAATAAGTTGCAAAGCACAAAATTAATGAAGCAAGTGAGTAAGAGTGAAAAGAAATTTCAGTTCCAAAGGCTCTTATCAAATGCTAACCGTCTGGGAAATAATACTTGATTATTTCATGCTTCTGGATACCTTGATTTTTGATTCCCCTGCCTTTTCATTGTTGCTTCAGACTACACCACTCAGAGATGTCAGGAGATTATAGGGATCACAGTGGGACCCTGGAGCACCACTAGAGAACCCAAACAAAAGTTCACCAGGACCCACCTGTACTTTAAACGTCATAACAGAAGGACAGGGAAACATTCTTTTCCTAATTCAGGTGTACTTTTTAAAATTATCCTTGAAGAAATGCTCATTTTAGCTGCAATACAGCACTGCTGCATTTCAAAAATTCAGACAAAGGAATTCCAACTTGGCTTCTCTGAGCAGGATTTGCAACAGTAAGGGACAGCATCATCTCCTTTTCTAATGAACCACATTAACTCTYGATGATAGCTTTACTTCTTGGATGACTTAGATCACTCAGCTATTAATCTATTTGTGCTGAGTCATGATTACAAGATATTAATTACTAGTTTGGTARGTTATTTTTGTTTTTAATTTCCCTGGAGATTTACGTGCTAGATTTATAGTTGCATACCCAATTACAGTAAAGCTGCTGTAGCCAAAATGACTCCACAAATGGTATTATGCAAATCAATTACATTAAATCACCGTGGCTCTCACCAGCAGCAAAAGTTATTGCTATCTTTTTTTGCATACTCATAACTTCCTGAACAACTAATTTCAGCTGGAATTGCTTTCTGTCTTGCTCTAGAGTGAGGTCAGAATAAAATCTGTTCACCTTCTCCAGGAAATAATGGAAAAAAAGGAGGAAAATTTCACTTTACATCTGYAAAGATGCCTGTGAGYATGTRTGTGTGTGTGTTCCTACAGAGACCAGCACTCACTTAGTTAAATCCCAGACCTAAGACTTTTCAGCTTCAGGAACATGAAGGCTGTTTTCACAAAAACCTCTCCACAGCTAAGCTTTCCAGATGGCACACTGCAGGGCCAGCCTGCAAGCCMCAAATCCATACTATCAATATTAATTATGCAGATAAGGTTTTGGACTACACCCCCTGAGGAGATGATGGAACTTTCAAAGCCTTGACTGACAAACTGACCCACAAACTGAAGCTGCCTCTGGACTTGCTGAACAACAGAAATAAAAAGGCTCATCTCCTGTCTCATAACTCTGCTTAAAATTTAGCATGGTTCAGCTGGCATTGCCTTACTTTAGAACTGAAAATGCCTCCAGCACCGCAAACATTTTCTCTGCTTTGCTGGGGAAAAGAAGTGCTAGGCTTAAAGGCATATGTAGATATTCATGGGAGAAAGACTGGGAAAAGAAGTGTCACAAGGTGCCAGGGCCATACAGGCATGGGAAAGCAATTCAGTGAAGGTCACTTTACCACAGAGGCAGTCAAGGAGACAGTTGCTGCTATTTCATAGTACGTCGTCCACTCCGAGGTCATCGTTGATGGGTTGAAGTAAAACATTTCTACAACGTATTTCCTGAACACCCCAAGGAAAGGTCTGTTCCAGCTCAGAACCACAGCAGTAGGTCCCAAAGGGTAAAGCGTCAGATCCTTTATTCCAGTGGGCACTGCAAACCAGGAATCATGGAACCATGGTTAGTAAAGTGTATGTGTTACCAGTTGCACTTTTTTTTTTAAAATTATACCTTTCCTTAATCAAATTCTACCTATTTCTGTTTTTTTTCTACTACTTTAATTCCCAAGAACTTCTTTGTCACAAGCAGCTGAGTACCGTTTTTTAAGCATTTGYTCACCAATTTAAAACCATTTTCTAAGAAGTGGTGAATACAGACCACTTGGTGTTGGCTGCTTAGCTTGAGATRAAGTATAGGCCTTGCTTTTTCATAAATGGAGGATTTTATTCTACTTTGAAAATCAGGATGCTTAGGAGGTATTTCAAGATGCTCAAAAACAAAAGCATCAAAAGCCAGAGCAGTGTAAGAAAGAAAACTTTTTATCTCTAGCCCTCTCTCCCTGGGGACCCTAAAGGTTCTGTCATGTATTGCTATTCTTGCCTCACAGACGGTGACACTGAGAGGAGTCAAGTGATTTGAAGAATGTCACGTAAGGGTCAACTTCTGCAACCTGTATGCTCTGGAAAGCAATTATTCTTCATGACTTCACTGAGCYACTCTAATAAGGACTTGGTGCTAACATTTGCCAGGGTTCCACAGCCCCAGCCTTTGTACACTGGGTCAGAACCTGACCAGCACCCAGATTACTTCAGCCCATGTTARCACACGATTGCCTTTACCTTTATAAATCATTTATTATGTCTTGTCATTGCTTTCTCTAAACTGCCAATACTTACCCCGTGAAAATAAGCCTTAGGTTAAACATGGAGAGGACTGAATACTTTCTAAAGTGCATTTTATTGGAGTTTCATTCATCATTAGCCACCACTGATAAGTTCACAGAACAATTTGTTTTGCAGTTCTATTATTTTARTATCAAATTCAGTAAAGGGTTATGAAATGAAAACTCACACAACTGCTGTTWRACTGCATAAAAACAGCCCCTTTATMATAAGAAAGGCATGAGATGTTCTATTTAGAAACTGATMGCCATTTTGAGTTTTGTAAGAAACTTTTATGGTTTTAAGACCTTACAAAAAGTGGATAAAATGAAGGAGCTTATTTACTTTGGGTATTCATGGTTTTACTTTCTCAAATAAAAGTAGAATTTTTCAGACTTTTGAATTACAGTGAGAAAGAAAATAAAAAGCATTTGTAAAACCGGTCCAATCATGGAAATGTGAATAATAAAGTATATATAAATATTTACTTTTTTCCTCTATTGAAATATAGCACACCTTTCAAATTTTTATTCAGACCAAATTMATGAAAATATATAAGAAGRTTGCCTAGAATGAAAAGCCGCTCACTATATTCCCTAGCCCACATATTTGCCTTTATTTAAGGACTAAATTCTTAACAGGTTAACATTTTTTTCTATTTCACTTTCTTCCCTGCATCACAGAGAGAAAGAAGCATAAAAAATACTAAAGATCTCTAACTTTCAGTCACCTGCTCTCCCACTGAGCACAYTTTTTGTCAAAAGGAGAAGCTGGGTGACACAGGTTGAATATTTCTCTGCAAATGTAACTCTACACTGAGTCTCTTTCTCTATGACCCCCGTCTAAATATATTTTGTTTAAGTACTAATCTTTGCAAAATAAATTATACTGAAAATAAAGATAAGGAATTCTGTCCTAAATGACCCTTTATAGGAGYCTGGTAGAATCCTAAATAAGAGGCATGGGGGCAGCGGCTCTATCTGTTGAACGTAAAACCACTTTTTTGAAAATGCTACTCTCAGTCTCAGAGGGTTCTTCTCATTTTCAAATTCTAAAGCAGAGAACATCAAGATCCAGTCTTGAACTCAAGAAAATCAAGGCATGGTCTACAGGACTTAATGAACATACCAYATATATTTAAAAAGAAAATCCTAAAACCAAACAAACAGATCTCAATCTGTAGTTTCAGGGGTTACCAATGGAAAATGTGACAGGATCAGAAGGAGGTCCAACCAACGGTCCTTTCCGTAAGTAAACCACAACTTGGTACTGGGCACCAGGAACAAGATTTTCAATGAGGCTGCTGCTGGAATTCACCTAGTAGGAAAGGAACACATTAGATATGAAGTATTTACGTGGTTAATAAAAGAATATTGAAACTGTGTTTGCACGACTCCGGTTGCAAAAGGCACGAATCCAAACACACTGGCATCAACAGCAAGAATTCCACTAATTCAGACCCAAATGGCAACACTGTGGAAGTGGTCAGGACTGTCTTCACAAATGATCTGACTTGCCTGGATGCATAAGGTCAGCTACCTCGCTGCAGACTCACACTCTCTACTGTCAAAGTTTATTAAAATATTCAGGTTACATTATTCATTTTCAGGTGGCATTATTCAGGCTGGAGTATTTAGACCGTGTGTTTTCAATTAAAGCCTGAGGCTTTTCCATCCATCATCTGACGCAGCTCCATGAGCTAAAGGCAGCGTTTTAGGGAAGCTGACTTCAGAGTGACTCCACACTGAAATCAGAGAGGAAATATTCTATGCCACCTCCCCTCCAAGGCACTACAAACTGTGACTAAAAGGCATTGCATTTTTTCTATTCAGTCTGAAAACATCACCATTAAAATTCCTACTGTGCCACACCAGGCTTCAGTCGGAGCTGGAGGCAGAATTCCTGACCAAGTGATTCCTGGTCTGATACAACATGAAAAGGCTCATCTCTTGAAGAATCCACTAACAGCAAATGCACAGAGCAGCTTTGAGGAAAAGCCTTCACACATCCTTCCTAGAGCTGCAGGCTGGTATTTCCTACTAATATTTTCTTCACAACCTTTGCAAAGTCTCTATCACAGCCACCTCTGCACTGGTGGYTTACTGCAATGCACATGAATGTATCAGTGCCAGTACAGATTTAGTGAGGAACAGAATTTGTCTTTACCAGCTGCTCTGGAAAACKAAATCCCTTTTAAATCATGTACCTTGTTAGAAATGGATAGAACTCTGCACTGAATTTTGCCCTTTTCAGCTCACAAAGAAGTCAAACCAACAGCTATTAACAATTCCAGGTATAATAAATTGATAAAATTTTATACAAATATATGTAATGACAGAAAGAAACGAATAACTGTAGACCTTTCTACCTACTTGCAGTAAATACACATTTTCTTGTTTATTCACAGATTAAATTTACATGCTTGTTTTTCAGCTTGTAGATKAATCCTGTAGTATTTACTGAAATCATAAATGTATACATTTGTGACCTGTGTTTCTAATAACTTGTAGTTTGCTTTCCATTAAAATGACTGCACTTCTAAGAAATATAAATAACAAAATTACAAGCTGATTTTGAAAAACAATTCTCAAATTGTCCTGAAAAGACACTTCCAAACATTGAAGTTCACAGCCATTCTTGAAATAAAACTCAAWTTTTTTACGAAGGTTAATATAAAAAGGCATTTTAAGGGTTGCAAATTCTCTGCACTAATTAACTTGCAGGGCTAATCCCAAAGTTGAAGGAGGTAAGATTTACTGGGAGTGCCAGCAGACCCCTTCCATTCCCATGGGTGAGCTGAGGGTGCAGCAGGGCAACACTGCAGTTCTTTGCAGACTCCTCCATCACACACATTTAGGGAGCCAGACAGAAGTCGTGGCCCTGCTCAGAAAAAGGCTGTGTCAGCATCTTGGTGAGGTTACTGAGATGTGGGCTAAAACATCTTTCTAATTGAAGCCACGTGCCAYTGATCTGCCACAGGCACAGACTGATGTGGGGTTGCACTCCCCGAGTGTTTCAAGTAACAGAAAACTGCCAACCTTTGGGTTTCAGAACTCCTGATGATTTATAAACACATCCCATAGAATAGCCCTAAAGAACTTGTCCATACAAATSACAGGTGGTCAGAATTGCTATTTATTTCCCAGTGCTGACACCTTTTACTGTGGATGAAAAGCTGACTTCTAATCATCTCAAAACGTCCAGAAAATTTTACAGTCAGGTTCTGTATTCATACGTAGGATAGGTAAGAACTAGTTTATGCAACTTTCACAATAATGATGTGAGTGCTTCACTTAATACAAAGGTATTGCAGCATGGGCCTGAACGATGGGTTGGAAACAGAAACACTGTTTTAACAATCCCGTGGTGCACTGCACATTTTCACTCCTGATTGTTGCAGCTTCCCCTCCACTCTGAATTTCTTCCCTTTGGACTGCAGGAGGGAGAAGCCACCCCTGTACTCTGCAGCCACACAGAGCCCTGAGGCATGACAACCCTAGACAGCAGGAGGATTTTTTCCTGGATTTGAAAACACCCAGCCCCTGCCCCTTACCTCAGTGCAGTAGTGTTTTTCAAGCCTCTGGCTTTCCTTTTGCTTCTGGCAGGTGAGGGAGAGCACAGACACGATGGTGCTGTTGCCGCCGTTCTCGTGCGACGCTGTCCAGGACGTCAGGGCCGTGGTGGAGCTCAGCACCGTCACCGTCACATGCTGGGGCTTCTCAGTGAGCTCCTCTATCCACTCCCCTGTGGGACCTGTCACAAAAGCACAGGTGAACAAGCTGCTCCATCCATTTGAGGCACAGATATTAAACACCTTTCCTTCAGGGGATTATTTACTGCTGCTGAGGGGGGTCAGACTGGCAGCTGTCCACCCCACAGCCCTCGGGCAGGGGCTATTCCACCCGCAGCAGAGCTGGTGACAAGGGAAACGTGACTGTCTGAAAATTCAGATTGCAGCATTCTCTCTTGCTCACCAGAAACCACCCAGCAGGATCAGATTTGCTCCAAGAGAATGCTTAAAAGCAGCGACAGCCAATAATGTACAGATCATTGACCAGTATTAAAGGATAAGCACACAGAATTTTTCCCCTCTCCACATACAAACACATCCTCCAAGTGTACCACTGCCTTGGAGCATGAAAATCAAGTTCATAGAGCTCACTACAGTGAGTAACCTCATTCTCCATCAGACTTTTTGGAGTACTTGGTAGAGAACACAGTTCAAATATAGATAAAAAAACAGTCTGGAAAATACCTTCAGCTAGACTTGGTCAAAATTTAATATTTCATGAAAATAGCCAGTTTTTCCTGTCACTTTTAAGTGATGATTGTGACAGCTCTCTCCTTGACACTCCTCCTCCGTGCAACTCTAATGGTAATTTACATTTATTGATAAAATAAAACAAATGCCAGAGCAAGCCCAYAAGATTTGACAATCCATACTTCTGTCTGGATATAACAAAAATACGTAACACGAGCCAGCAATTTGACAGGATGATTCAGCAACCAAGCCTTAAATGGAAAAGATAAGACTGACAGTGTGGGCAAAATTTATTCACGGCAGCAGACCGACACTCATGCAGGTGAAAAAGAGGAATTTGATCAATAAAGTAATCTCTGGAGGCAGGGGATGTACATGGAGCTCTTACTGCTCAGAGACTGTGTCAGCATTGGCACTAAGGGAACAGAGACACCTCATGTCATGACCCAGAGTTGAAGCCCCCACACAAAAAGCCCACTTTTTCCGACCCCTAAAGAGGAATGGAGAAGCATCTTCAGCCTGAGAGTACTTGTGCACATCTCTGACATGACAATCTACCAGAAATACATTTAAAAGCTATCTAAAATACTAAGGACCTTATGTTTGACAGAATAAGTAAGACAACTGCCAAGAAGCCTCATTTTGTTCTGAAAGCCTGAAAAATAACTGATAAAACCCCCTCAAAAAGATTCTTGTGTGTTACATGTCAAATTAAAATATGATTAGCTTCTTGTAACATCTTAATACTTTATACACAATGAGACTGGAGTTCATCCTTCATCTGGCCACCCACACCCCAGTCCTTTGGATTAACATGTCCTCATTTCTCTCAGGTCCAGTTAATACACTTCATGGAAGACACTGCATCACATACTGCTTCATGAAAGCAAGTTAAACCTTGTGAAATGGAAAAAAAACATCTGGAACTAATAGCAAAGCTACATGTATATTTTTCTACTTTAATGCTTTTCATATAATGAAGCTAACTACTCCTAAAGAAAAACAGAAGACAGTGAAATTACAACAGCAGAAACCCTCTCTCTTATGTGTTGTTTTCTGTATGTTTTCCAATTATTGCTTCTTTCAACTATAAAGTTGTTAAAAATGGGGGCAACAGTGGAATTGCTACATGCAGTCTGACATTATGATTAACTTAAGTCTAAACAGTTAGTATTTGTAAATGTTATGAGCTATTAAATGCACAATTTTTATTCATAATATACTGAAGCACTAAACTACATTTCCTTTAATATGAATTTTTCTGCCAGCTTTAGCTGCAATGTCTTGTTGAAGCATTCCTGCTTTGGGAAAGCAAAATTGTGCAGTGGGGAAGTATTCCCCTTTCTCATTCAATGGGCATTCTGCAGGATGTATCTATTTCCTTTTGCAGAAAAAGGTGCAAAGGTGACCACAGCCATTAGAAGGATAATGATCTGAATCCACCAACACCTTTCTYACTTGCTGATCTAATTGTCAGTCATGGTATTCGTTTACACAATAGTGTATTATTACTTTGTCTTTTACTAAATCTCCAGTTAAGAAACTCTGGGATTCTACAGGGAAATAATAAATTACTTTTTTCTCCTTTGAATTTAGCAGGCTGAGCCACTTCATCTACTGTAATTTGCTCTGTGTTCTCCCAGAGACCRTGCAATTTCAGAGTTCAGTGTTTAATTGTGCAATTCCCACACTCTCAGCCTGAGCTGCCCTTCATCCCTAACCCAGTACACACTCCAGGAATAAGAAAATTAAATATTTCCAAGACTTTCTCTAACCGCCAAATTAATTCTCAGAATTAAATCCTGCCTTGGAAAGAAGCGAAAGGCTGACTTATTTCAGTGAGTCACTTCTGAGCMCTGGCAGTGACTCCATCACATCAGCTGCTTTCACCTCTCAACTCAGCCAAGATGAAGGCCCATCCAGGCAGGATGTGATACATCAACTATTTGCACTATATTTCCTTTTCTGGCACAAGGAATTCCAGAAGACCAGACTCTTATGATCCATCAGCAGATGCCATAGATGSCTCAGTGGTCAAACTCTGTACATTACAGCAATGTTGCTCAGGAAGAAGAAGRTAAGTTGGAAGACATACTTACTGATATAAAAGCTAAGTGTTTTTGCTGATTGGCTTCCCCGRACTTCACAAGAGCCAGAGGAGCTAAATGTTGTTACAGACAACTTGTATTTTCCTGGTTCTTTTAGTTCAGCAACAAATTTGTGAGTGTCCTCACTCACTGTCAAAAATTCCGTTGAGTTCTCTAAATCGGGGGAGGAAAAAGAGAGTGTGGATTAATTGAAATTTAAAAAGTTCCAGCCACCAAGAAAATTATTTACATCAGAAATGCTAATCTTGCTTCTGCTGTGGGATTAAAAGGTACCCAAAAGGGCTGCATTTAAACAGTGTGGCAATATGTACAACAGTATGAATCTTGTTTAATGAAAGAGAACTGCAAACTGCGATTTATTCCTCCTCCCTTTTATGTTGCCCAGCCAGAAGTAGATGCCATCCAATGCAAGAAGCTCCTCAAGAAATACAGGGGCTCTAACAAAGCCCTCCAAAGCAGAGTACCAGATAATTACGAATTTGTAGAGGAGACAATCCACCAATGGAATTACAGAAAAGATAGWTAACAAGGGCACAAGGCTTTGCTTTACCTTCCCTYTCAATGTTGATATGGAAACCATCRAAGGCAGTGGGGGGCTTTGGGGGTAACCAGGTCAGCACCATCTGCACAGGAAGGAAGGGAGGGGGCTCTGCTGTGGGTCTGCCAGACATGTTGGYATCAGTGGCCTCATAATCACTGGACACTGCATTGATAAACTCCTCTTCCCCCTCGGATGACTCGGCTTCGTTAGACCACCACGATGGCTGTGAGGTGGTTTCATACTCGGTGCTGTTAGAGCTGCCRTCCAGCCAGGCTGCAGATGTGTTTGCTGCTGGAATTTCAGGWGGGCTGTCAGAAGGATGGCTGACTTGCTCTTTCCTTAGGATTTCTTGTGTTCCCATGAAGGATTCTTCTGCAAAATTCCCACTGTGCTCTTCCCAGTTGTTTCTGTTGATTGGTACAATCTGAACAGAAATGTTTCGAGGTGGGTAAGGAACTGAAAGAGAAGCAAGGGAGAGTTTTTTAATAGGTATGCTCTGTGCACCTTAACAATGTATTCATTCCCCAGACAAATAACATTCTTCTAGGAATTGCCTGAAATAACTTGTTCTTACTAAGATTATCCCTTCTCTTACATGTTCTTATACATATACCAGATGTGATTCCAGTGGGATCAAGATCAGTATAAATTCACAGAATAATCAGAATTCAAGAACACTAGGAAGTAAAGTAGATGTGAAGTCACAGTAAATCAAACTTCAGTGCTATTATAACAGCAAGGCTACTCCAGTGTTAGTTTTTAACAGTGAATTTGTTTTACTATATCTTCCAGGAAGATCTTGATCATGGGAAAAAACCCACCTCTGTAGAAATGAATTGAAAAATATATGCAGAACTAATGTGTAGCACAGCTCATATTAAAAAAAAAATAACCTTTATGTTGCTGTAGGGCTTTTCATATGCTTTTAGCAGCCGCCTTTTCACAAGCATTAAACAGTTTAAATTTTAATATTTGTGAAAGCTTGATCTTAGGACTTGGGTCTCCACAAGACAAGATTCTGGCACGCAAAGAAGTGACCTCAGCTGATGCCAGGAGGTGAACATGCAGCATTTTGCCAGTCTCACTGTAATTGCTTGTCTGCCTCTCCTTACACACCAAGTGTGAGCAGCCTCTGCAARTAATTTTCCCTGGCACCTTTTACAGTGATTTGTTCAACTCCCATCCCATCCACAGCCACTAACAGAAAACCAGACTCTACATTCTCATTGCAGTTCACGTGAAAAATGTGGGATGGAAGGACAGCAGGGAAAAAAAAAAAGAAGCAATCCTGTTGGTTATGGCTCATTATCTTAATAACTATATTTAGRATCTTCAGGACAGAACTCAGCTGGCATAATTTGGCTTTGTTCTATCCAAGGCAATGGACCAAYATCAGTGTATTCAACTGAAGATTTGGCCTTTTGATTTTATCASTGGTTCATTTCACTTTGGACCCTGATAAATGTCTGCAGTCCAATAGATTAACAAAAAAGTTTTGGGCACTGTCCCAGGACCAAATTAAATTAGTTCTGGACCCTGAACAAATGCAATTTTCAGCCTTTGCAACATTGCTGTCTTGGAAATTAAAAGTTCATGCTTCAGGGCACAAACTGTCCGCCAAGTTGGGCAACGATGGCATTCTTTTGGGTGATGGAAAAGTGCACAGTGAGGAAGGCTTCTCGAGCAGTTTGGCTATGATTCACTGCACAAGGAGACAGACCAATGGAGATAGATCAACAGTGTGCTCAGTGCAGCTATTYTTGTGSCTTACAAATTAATTCCTAGCACAARRCCTAGGATATCTCACRTGAAGCASAAGTCATTTGCTGRGAAGCAAGCTTTATGACAGAAACACTCACACAAATTTCCCTTTGTACTGTTTGTGTGCACAACCCTATGGAACAGCCACATCATCCTCCTCCCATGCTCCTAGGACTGCCYTCCTGTCTGAGGGATCAATCCCCTCCCCATAGCAGCAAGAAAAGCAGCAATACAGACTTGGAARGAACAGTATGTAAGAATTTTCTTCACCTGTTCTGTGCTGTTTGGGCTCATGCTGGACCCCGCTGTATTCCACAAGCGTGCTCTTGTTGAAGGTTGCTTCTGACACCAACTGAAATGTGATATTACTGTAGCATATCCCTGGCAGCCAGTGATTGAAAACTGTTTTACCTTTAAAGAAATCTGCAGAAGGTTTAAAGAGAAAAGAAGAAAGGAACAAAAAGGATAATGGGTCAAATGTTCACTTTCTGCTAATGTGACTGCACATGGTGAATGGGCAATGTTTTAGATGTTTAAACATTTTTCAGCCTGCTCAGAGACATGAAATTGTAATAATTCAGTTTGCCAACACTTTCCTTGGCTGTCAAAGCCACTTTGCTACCAGAAAAAAAAAAAAAAAAAAAAAAAAAAAAGAAAAGACCCAGCACAAGAAACATGAACTGCTTTTCACAGGCAAGGGAACTGAATCTGGCAACCTGCTCYGCATGACACTGAATATCTCAAAGAGCATCTGACAGCTCCTGCAGACCTTTAACTGCTGCACGCAAAAGCCTCTTTGGTCTTTTGCTGACTGAGGCACAAACGGAGGGGAGMTGTTCAAAGGAGCCCCCGCCTGCCATCGAGCACAAGCCACCAGCACAACACGTGTGGGCTGGAGGAACTTGCTCAGGGCTATCTGGCTGTGGCAAGAACTGTGCAAGCTCATTAATGAATCTCCTCATTTAGGATGACTCTTCTATTTATCAGCAGCTTTAGCATACAGCCCCTAGAACCATCTATTAGCTGTAGAAGAAAAAATTACTGCTGGTATCCCTTTTGCTCTCTGCAAAGAGGTCACCTATATTTTCTGCTATCATCTGGACTTTACCCTTCCTAACTTCTGGCACTTTACAGCATTGAAAATGTCTTTTCTAGCCCCACTTTGAACCAAGGAGGCTCCCAGATTTTCTGACCTCCTTCTGAAGGTGTGTATCTCCCTCTGCTGACTTAAAAGAGAGTTTACAGTATCCTTAATTCAGTGCCTAAAATTAATAAGCACCTACTGGATTACCCAAAGGCATTTACCTGCCGCTATGGACTGCTAAACTATTGGAGTTTCAGGGCCCACCCACCAGAGTGGGTGGGTGCCTTTCTCACCTCTTAGGGAGCTTTCCATTAACATCTCTAAGACAAGACACTGTGCTTAAGCCAACACTGCAGGGCAAAAGTTGTAAAGAAATATATGAAAGAGTTCGGTTATGAACAAATGAAACAGAAAGCAGAATTTGCTCTTGTTAGATCATTTAGATGGTTAGGCTGGTTGTTTGTTTAGGCTGTCTAGACTGTTAGATTGATTGCCTCTGATTAAATTATTTTAAGAAGACTGAAATTTGTATTATGCAGCAGGGTTTATTAGCTTAGGGACAATACAGAATGCTGCAATAATGTAMTGTACATCACTGTGCCACTGTATGGTGACACAGAACTACCAGGTTTGATCCTGGGCCAACAATCAGGTTTATTGAATGGGTTTCCCTCCTCTGGGACATCCCAGGGCTTTCCAATCAGCTACAGACCAAAGAGGAAACCTTGGCCAGAGGGAAGAGCCTGGGAGCTTTGGTCATGCTTTGAACTGACMCAGAAGCACCAGCAATTGGGGGTGCCTTCCCAGGCTGATTTCAGACTGATTACAAAAATCCAGACCACCAAGTCTTCCTCCAAAATCCAAGAAAAAGAGAACATCACTAGAACTAGGATGGCAAACAATTTAAAAATCCCAAGTGAACCAGCAGTTAAATTCAAAGACCCCTCCCTTAGTTCATGATATAAAAGCCATTATATAAACACATTACCAGAAATATAAATCCTTACGTAAATACACGGCAAAACCCTACCTAAGACCACTGTTTAAAATGTACCCTGCAGAGTTAGTATTAAATTTTGGTGAAAYAGTTTCATCCTACCTTTGTACAGCATTGTTCGGTAGTCTTTTCCTTCCCAATAGCTTATATTTACCCTRGTAAAAACATTGTACTTCTCTGGGTACTGAATTTCAAACAAAACTCCTGTTTCTGGAGATGGTTTGTAGTCATAGATAGAAACATTGCTCACAGGAAGCGGTTCTAAAGGATATGCAAACAGAAGCAGGAGAAAAAGGAAGAAAGGAGCAGATTAATAGGCAAAATTATTCTTTACACATAAACAATATCAATTAAATAAATGCTTATGTAGGTATGGCACAGGCACTCTTAAATCTACCAGGTGGTATTTGGAGCTTCACAGAGGTGTTGGCCAAAGCTCCCTGGAACATTGTCAAAGCCAGTATTTCTRAATTCCCCTCAGAGAATTTATCTTCTCAACACTTTATGAGAAAAATTTCMATGTTTGACAAACAACAAAAAATGCTGTTATTTAAGCACTCACAGTCATCACCTCAGACAGATTTTCATCTTTAATACTTGTCAATCATGTAAAAGTGCCCAGACAAAAACAACACAACACTTGAAACTGTTCRTGACTTCAGCAAAAATGTAGAGCTTTTAAGATGAGCTGAGAAGCTTATCAGTGTAATGGCCAAAGGGAGCTACATGAATRAAGATTTTCTATTTCAGTATCTCCACATTTCTTTATTTCATGGGTATTTATACAGTCCCCATTGCTACCATGTGAGAGGACCACCATCTTCAACCTATTTATCCACATCAAACTTCCACAAAATACAGTCAATTCACTGTAGCTGGGAGTCTGAACTGTTGCTGACAATGAGTCACATTTTTATTCAGCCTCATTTATCTACAAAATTACCCCAAGAAAAATTTAAAGAAAAAACACCTTTTGCTCAATGCTCTCCTCAGCAAGAAAAAACTGACACTAATTATCTCCTGGTTAAGAGGTCCAAGCAGATACTCAAAGCAAGGTTATGCTGTTAGCTAAAGCCTGTCATACTAACATATTTTAATAGAGATGGTTAATGCAATTATGCTTGCATCCTTATGAAGATTAGCATGTTGATTTAGGTATTGCACACTGCAGGGATCAGATTACAAAATTCAGTCTGTTGATTAGCATGGCCTTAGAGGACCCATTTGAGTTCAAAATTCTGCTGCCGTAGGCCCTGGAGAAAAACTAATACAGTATTTTTCCCCAAAGAGCATATAGCCACAATGKGCAAGAGAAAGAGTAGATGAAAAGGAAGATCAGTATCAGTATCAGAAGTGGAATTATCCCACAGGAGGTGGGGTAGGCTAATCAAAAATGGGAAAGCAAGACTGTAGTGAAAGAGAAAACAAAATCCCAATGACCAGCACAGTACTTTCAATACAGCTGTAATGAGAAACGGAGAAGAAAAAACAACTGGGAACAAAACCATGAATGTAAAGAGTTTAAATCTCTCACCAAGACCAATGTCTTATAATTTTTAACTCTGTCAGAGCATGGAAATGCAATGCTGAGGGATTATTAAAGTATTCCCATGGCAAAGCCACGTCATTGTCTTCATCAGAGATAAATCAGTATATTTGTACATCAACCACTTACAAACAGAAACTCCCCATCTCACAGATACTAACATTCACTTCAGTGACAGGGTCTGTGAAAATTCTGCTGACATTTCATGATAGCCTAGAAATAAATACAAGTAAAGCAGATCCCAGGAAACAAAGCCTACTCTCTTTTTTCTGCCGACGCTCTTCCCATGCCTTATTCCACAACAAACAGTGGAAATGACTACCCACATGACCAGAGGGTTTGTATCACAGTTCACACAGCACACCAGAGTAGTTTAAATGTCAGTAACTATCCCTAAATAGCACAATGCTTATGTGCAGTCATCTCTCATGTTAGCGGGTGTGCCCTGGGCTTTCTCCTGCTATCTCATTCACATCTGAGGTCTCCTCATTTCTGAAASAATTACTGAAACTTTCTCATGCCAGTGATTCAATTACTCCATTTATTTCTTCCTAYAACAAATCAAATAAAGGATGGAAGTTATATTCATTTTTAAACCAAGTGATTTTTTCCTCCTGATGCTTTGATTTAATTAACCAACAATTGAATTAAGCGGTAATCATCACAGACTCAGTTTCGTGTCACTATCTTCCGCTCACTATCCTCTCCTTGCTCATGGCTGATGTTAGCAGAGCTGCTTGAGTGATATAATGCAATTTAAAGATTCTTCCATTATCTTACTTCCTTCGGCACCAAATTTTCACATCAAAAGCTATTTTTAAAAGAACACTCAGCAGATAACCATCACGTTCTGTTGTTCCCTTACTAACTGCTCCTAGGGTTATTAAAATTAAAGAGTATGTAAAATGCCAGTCTTTACTATCTATATTTGTAATTCAGAACATAAACAGTCTGGTCTTCTTAATTTTACTATTTTCAGTGTTTAGGATCCAGCTTGTCACAGATTGMAGTGGCTGTCAAGAAATAGCCAAAATAAAGTAGAATCACAGAAATATAATACTTARGAGYTTTAAAAAAGCTCTGTACTACATTRAAGTCCTATTACAGAAGGGATTTAGAGCATTTCAATGTCCCTCTAACAGTTTAAAACACTTCTTCACTTACAATCTCTTTATTTTTAGAATTCCAGATTATATTACTTACACGTAGACAAGACTGCAGGATCAAGTCCTAAATTTACCATTTTTCTCAGTGTCTCAGAATAGACTATATAGCAACTATAACAACTGCTTTCCCATTTTGTCAGTTTATGGGAAATTTAACTTCTCTGTTTATCCTGGACTTTCTGGCATTTTGCATTTAGCATATAACTTGTGTTACCCAAGCATCAAAACAGCATAATAAATGTACCTAACATCTTCCTCAAATACCCTGGAAAATTCTGAATGCTAAATCCTCCATTAAGGCATTCAGTTTGTGTCAGATGCATTAATATTTGTAATTCAGTGGGGGAAGAAAAAGGTACATTGAAAATAAGTACCAYATTTCAATCCAAATCAATCTGCTTCTAATATTTGTAGATTGGGTCACTCTACAAATTGAATTAGTGACTGATTATTGTGGCAGCTTAGATGCAGCATTACATGTGGGACTGAGAGCAACTCTCTTGCTTCTCACACTYGAATCCAGATTAATCATTATTTACCTCCATATTGTGACTTTTATAAAAAGGATGTCCTATTAATGGAGTGACCTAACCCCCATGGGCAATTTGCTTTACTCACAGGAAAAAGTTGTGAATTATGTAATTTTCTCCCCAGGATGACACTATTTATGTATCTCTATGATCACTTGGAGTGAGGCACAGCCAGGATAAAGCTTCCATTACACTGTAAACTTTAGGATCATTTTATCTCTTGTTAAAAAGAAGCCATCTTTGAGATTAAAGAAGCTGTTGTTTAATACTTTGGAAACACATTGTTCAAGTTTATGATAGGTAATAGAGATATTGTGCTATGGCTTATGAAGAAGGAATATAAATGAAAATAAACCTSAGCAGTGATGATACATAGTGCATTTTCTACATGGCCACATAAGATGATACATAAAAAGATGACACAAATGAAAAAATGTTGTCACAAGAACAAAGGCATAGCTATTGTTCTTGAACAGATTTAGGCCAATTGTTCAGATCATCCTTACAAAGGAAATTACAGCAGGAAATCATATGGTTGCAGTTCTTTCTACTTCTTTGATTCTGATGGAGAGGTTTTTTCACCCTAAAAAGAGGATAACATGGTTTATCTGCTGGGAAAGGCTGAGCACTAATGGACCTAGATGCTATTCTGAGTTACATTTCAAAGTTAGGGCTGCCACAGATAACCAGCCTTTTTAAAGTTGTTTCACGTCATCCTTTAAGAAAGAAAAACATGAAGGGCTTAGGTTTCACATTTCATTAGGGGAAAAAACGCTCTGAAGCTCCCAGTCCAACAGCTCTGATCCATTAACAAGCCAGAGGAAAGGACCGGACCTGCTGAATCACTTCCTGCAGCATCTGGCACAATGACAACAGAGCATTAACTAGGTCTAATGCCAATTACTTTCTGAAGGATGGAGATCAGAGKCCCAGGCAGCAGCCAGCCTGTTGGCCTCTCAAGGAGAACACTTTTTGTAGGAGACACAGAGGCAGAACTCTCTCTAAAGGGAATATATTTCACAGTCATGCATGTAAGGAATCCTCAGCTTTTGAAACAATGAGACATTTACCACTCAAAACTCCTAATCATCAGCCTAAATAAAAGCCAGGCAGAGCTGGTCTTAATTACCATMAGAGTTCCTCAGATCCTGATTTCTCCAATTCCCAGCAGAGACATGCYTTTTGCTGCAGCACACAATAGCTTTGCAATGTACTGCTTTCCCCGTTCCTTCAAAAGTATAAACATTTTTCCTTCACAATATAAAGCTGACAGTGAATTTGAAAAAAAAAAAAAATAAAAAGCAGAGGCTATATGGGTATGACTCACCCTGGGAGGCATAAAACAAGGCTTCAACTTGGGAAAATGTAGGATGAGTGAGTGAGTGAGAGTATCAGTCACTAATTTTACAGATGTGCTCTTTATTTATCTCGTAATATACTTTAAATCAATTGGCAATAAGGTGGAACTTCCCTTCAAATATTTCAAAACACTAAATGAATTACATAAATTCTGGAATTACTTCATYCCTATTGAAAAGCCAAAGCTCCAAGAGCAGAGGAAAGCAGACTAGAAATAGTTGTGTTAGATACCAGAACTACTTCTAACACTGTCCAGACTGAAGACTGGAAGGAAGGTCACTCTGGTAGGCACAGCAGAATTGCACTCAGAGGAATCTGGCCAGGAAGGTGAGATTCTCACAACTGTTCTTGTCAAAACCACTGCAGGGACCTTTACAAAGTGGTCAGGGTTTCAGGTCTTTTCTTCAGTGAAATATTGAGCCCTACTTGCTGAACACAACTTTGCTACAGAATCAGAAGCAAAAAGTGCCATTTTGTGCTCAAATTCCATGTTACAGGATTCCTATCTACGAGTTTTCAAACAGCTCATCCTTTTCCTTACAACCATCTGGACTACAGAGCCTAAAGAAGGAAATGCTACAGTCTGTGGTGTTTTGATTTACGTGAGAAAACCCTGAAATTATCCCTATCAGAGACAAGCAGAATTGTGCAGCCTTGTAGAAAAGGACCAAATTAACAAAGGAAACCTCAAATGGAAACACAGATACATGAACATGTCCATGTATGAGACATCTCCCCTGCAAGACCAGGAGGTGTCCCAAGACAGCCAGCTTGGCTTCACTGAGGGCAAATTGTGCCYGACCAGCCTGCTRGCCTTCTAGGGTGGAGTGACTGCAATGGATTGCAAGGGCAGTCTGACAGATGTCACTTACCCAGAATTCTGTCTGACACTGTCTCACACAAGATCCTTATCTCTACACTGGAGAGATATGAAAACACTGGACCATCCAGTGGATGAGGAATTGGCTGGATGGACACAGCCAGARAGCTGTGGTCAGTGGCTCTATGTCCAGGTGGAGGCCAGTGCTGAGTGGTGTCCCTCTGTCTAGGGACTGGTGCTCTTTGACATCTTTATCAATGACAGAGTGGGACTGGGTGCACCCTCTGCAAGGCAGCAGATGACACAAAGCTGAGCAATGCAGTTGACACAACAGAAGGGTAGAATGCCATCCAGAGCGATCTGGACACTCTAAAAGTGGGCCCGTAAGAACCTCATGAAGTTCAACAAGTCCAACAGAATGCTGCTTCACTTCAGCCAGGGCAATCCCAGRTGTGGCATCCTAGCTTGGATCAAACAGAGTGGGCCCAGCAGGGCACTGATCATGTACTTGGCCCTGGTGARGCCACACCTCTAATTGTATTTTCAGTTTTGGGTCCTCAAGGCAAGAATGGCATTGAGGTGCTGGAGCAAGGCCAGAGAAGGACAATGGAGCTAGTGAAAGATCTAAAGCACAAATCTGATGAGGAGCAGCTGAGGGAGCTGGGGGTTTTTAGCCTGGAGAAAAGGAGGCTCAGGGGGGACCTTATCACTCTCTACAACTCTCTGCCTGAAAGGAGGCTGTAGCCAGGTGGGGATTCATCACAGGTAATAAACATCAAAACAAGAGGAAATGGCCTCAATTTGCATCGAGGGAGGTGTACATTGGACATGGGAAAAAATTCTTCACTGAGAAGGCGGTCAGGTATTGGAAGAGGCTGCCCAGGGAAGTGACTGAGCCACCATCTCTGGAAGTGTTCAAAGAATACGTGGATGTGGCACTTATGGACATAGTCTGATGGTGAACTTGAAWGTATTAGGTTAATGGTTGAACTTGGTGTTCTTGGAAGTCTTTTCGAACCTAAATGATTGAATATACATTTATATAACAATGTCTTATATTTTTCTATACATTTTTATATGAACRTATTTATATATAGTGTTACACACATATACCTATATATGCATATATATGATGTGTAAAACATATATTTTGTTAGCTTTTAACCACTTTTCTGGCCAGAAACCTTTAAGGGGTTAAAAAAAAGTCAAAAGTCTTCTCTTAAAAAAGGTTCTTGCTTAAAAAGTTTCAATCTATGAAGAGACACAGCCATTTCTTGCCAWTTCCCTTTGATGGATCACATTGATGGGAGACGTGAACAGCAGAAAGGAAATGTCATCAGGACACACCATCGGAAAGCAGAGGCCTTTCACACTCTCACTGAATTTCTAAGCAGGCAATGTCTTTGAGGGACCTTGGTGTGGTTTTGATGAGCACYGTTTGGGTACACACAGCTCTGTGTGAAACTCCCATCTCCAGCACTTGGCCACGTGGARAGACTGCACATCCCTGCACAGTCTCCTTGGCAGACTCCAGGAGAGCCCAAAAACCCTTGTGAGTACTGCCTTGGGAATAACCATATTGGCATCACTGGCTACCCTGTTTGATTTATTTTGTGGCAGYGTAACAAATGGGGTCAATCTGCCACTGGTAAAGCTCTCCTGACACCAATAAAGTTAGAACAGGAATTAATTTGGTGCTGGAAACTAACTGCATCGTGCCATTCATTCACGTGTAAGATGCAGATGGAATAATTGAGATACATGTCTTTGCATGATTAAATAAATCAAGAACATTAAAGTCAGACATATATGGCAAAAATAAAAACACGAATCTACCCTAATTATTGTCTGCCAAAGAAATAAAGTTAATGGATAATAAAAAAATTACATAAAACAGGCAGTGGACAATACCAATGAGAGAGGAAAAAAACCCCAACAACAAAGCAACTACCACCTCATGCATTTTTATAGCAGGAAGCAGTGGTCAGGACACAAGTTTTACACAGTTTTCTCAAAATCTGAAGGGTACTGAAATACCTTAAAAAGCCCATCCAACCATGCTGTCTTTCCATTCCAAATTTACTTTCATTCCTGTAGCCTTGTGCTCCAAAAGATGAACTTAGGAGTAGAGGCTGCTCCAAGAGAGCCAGCCCTCATCAGTCTGCCTGACAGAAAATAYCACGAAGGAGATTGGATCCTTTCCCTTCCAGAGCTCAATCASAATTTACAGTCCTCTTTTAGAGTTCAGTACAGCATCCTTCAATGCTGCCTGCAGGATTGCCCTTTCTTGTCCATGAACGTGGTTGTCTCCCTGCAGAGACAAAACCAGAGAAATCCACTGTTCTCTCTTTGTTACACGTTTCCCACTGGCAGTGCTGGCTGAATGCCAGAATCAGGTTCTTCCAAGGCCTGGAGGAGCAGCAGAGGCCACAGCAGGAAACCCCAAGATGGTGCCAGCACAGCCACATAAGACAGTTGGTGAAATCATCAAGCCTCGGAGGAGGGAGAGTGACATAGGATATGCCCTCGGAGCCGTCAGCTCCATGCTCYTTCAGGAAGAACTTCTGGAACCCCCCTGAGCCAGAAATGGGAAGCCTGGGGCTGGCTTTGGTGGCTGAGTGACTCTGGCTTCCTTCCTCATTCAGAGATACCCTGCACAGGAGTGTGTGCACCATCTGCCAGCTTGGATCACACCTTCCCTGCTACCAGAAAACCTAGTGGGCTCTGGAAACCAAAGAGCAATGAGCCCTGCTGCACACCTGCAAATACAATATCCAAAACCCACTAAAAATGCACAGTTGTATATGAAAACACATGCTTCAATTATTTTCATTGAAGAAAACAACCAGAAAATAGGAAATTGGATTAAAATTACTACTTTGCTTACAAGGTTAAAGCAGTCAAAGGAAAGGAAATTCAGGCTGCCTGTGAACCCTGAAATTGTTCAAGTACTTGCATTATCAACAGCATGATACTTTTCCCATGGGACCCTCCATGGTTTTCCTCATCAGGGCACACAAAGGAAGGCTGAAGAAYGTACARATGATGCAAAATCTTGTTACTCTTRAATTTCAGGCACCTCACTCAATAAGCCTGCTTTAACATGCTTTCARTGCTATTACAGTGGATGGTATCTCCTCACTGACACAATAATCCACGTACAAAAAATCACTCATTCCTCAGCTGCAAGCCAAATAAAACTATCCATAGATTCCAAGGTGCCATTGAGGGGGAAAAAAAAATCTGGAAATTAAGTCTTGCTCCACCCATGTAAGTTTTTTGTCATCTTCCAAATGAAGAAATCATTTTACAGTCTACAATTTGCTTTCAGGTTGGCACATGGAACCATCCCTGGATCAACCTCAGAGCCAGAAGCACAGCTGGAACCACACAGAAATCTGTGGTACTTTGTATGATGACAGAGCAAACAAGATCACACATATCCCTTGGGATCAATGCACCTCAAATAGTAAGAGACATGCCACTACAAATGTGTTCTCCATCACAAACACCTTCAGCTGTGCTGGCAGAAATATGTGGTGTTGGTGCCTGGGGTCTGCTTTCCAAGTTTAGCATTGTTTCCACATATCAGCCATCAAAGAACATTGTTATAGCATGTAAAACAAAATAAACCTCACTATGTGATGGGAGTGGTTACCCTGAAATATCAGCCAACACCTCTCATGGCCTTTACCAGATTTTTGGAACTCCTAGTCCCAAGGAAAGGAGGTTTGTTCAACACACTATTTTAGTATGTTACACCTCAGTGTTCAGGAAGGGTCAGCCAGCCTTTCTTTTTGCCCACACCTTGTGAATGTTCATTCACACCTTGTCAAGACATCTCCCCTACAGTTCTCACACAGGAACACATCCTAAGCACAAGCAGGACCCATCAAAAAACCCCAACAACCACCCAGCCGTCTCCACAAGAACTTCTGGGGAGAAAAGCCACACACAGAGACAAGAAACAGAAGATAAGAAGAATAAGGTGTTACTTACTGGTTAACACAGTGATTGATCTTGCTGACTTGGAAACCATATTTGAGTTCACTACCAACAGGGTTACTATGTAATACAGGCCATGGTATTTGGCATTAAAAACCACAGGGGCGGGTAAAGTGCTATTGAATTCGTCGAACTGGAAAAAGTAGTTCTTGGATTCTCCAGCTATCTTCACAACATATACAGAGGATGAGCTCACCACATCTGATGCTTCCAGGGAGACAATTATACAATTGTCTTCTCGGACGGTGACTTGGAAAGGTTCTGCATTCTACAAGACAAGAATAAAGAGTGTGCTGAAGTAAAATGTATTATTTTACTTTCACCTATTCCCCATGATATTCATAAGATACTCGTATTTGCAATAKAGTCACATCTTATATTCTAYAAGAGAGTTAACATCAAACAGGAGYAATTATTTCAGGCTACAATTCACAGTCAGCCAAAGCCCACAGGTATCTGATTATCAGAGGCCAGTCTCTGCAGCAGAGGCTGGATCYGGCTGTGTGTTTTCTGATACTCCAGATACTCCATTCCTTACATCCTGAGGAACAAAGCCTCCATCATTCTTTCATGAGGAAAGGTGAAGTAGAGCAGAAGAAGGATGAGATTGTAAAGGGTATCAGGGGCAAGAGGACTTCCAATAAAGCCTCAAAGTMATTTAAATCCCCAAAAAGGGGATGATTAAATCAAGACTCTTTTACCTTGCGGAAGCAGGATCATATATTCYTCAAAGCAATGTATTCTAAAAGACTATAACTGAAGAATAATTTTTGGCACCGCCTAAGCTTTTCCAAATATACCCATTCCAGCAAGTACCAAGTGAGAAGCAGTTCTCACCACTATGTCCATAGTTTTAGCTGGCACTTTTCATTTCCTAAGCTACAGCACTTAATTTTCAGTATTTCTTTTATTAATAGTAGAGAGGAAGGCACAATTTAACCTTGTTTTCATGTATCATGAGCATGTTAAGTCACTGCCAGCTGAAAACACTTTCCTTTTTATTAATTTCAAACCAGCTGTCAGGAGAAGCACTTGTTCTCTGCAGGAATTTCAAAACAGATTCATGATAATTAATGAGAGGAAAAAGTTCAAGCTTACATTAACAGTTACTTTTTTGTTTATCAGACCACACCACAGCTTGTAATTTTTTACCCCCTGTGAAAACTGTAATACCTGATATTTTCAGTTCCCTACTCCACAGTATTTCTTTTTCCTTCATATTTCACAGGCTGAAAGCTCTCAGGGAAGRGAGACTAGTTTGCAACTTACTTGATCAAGTTTTTCGTCTACCAGAGTGCTAGACACCTCCTTCAGAGATTAATTCCAGCAACCTGGCTACCTCCTATCTTCYTGTGGCTTTTTTTCAGTGGGGGTCCTTCCATGAAAATAATATTTCTGGGATTTATGCTGCAGGAACCAGGATCCCTATTTGAAATTCACACATCTGGTGTTGCCAACTCCTGGCATTCAAAACCACTCCACAATAACAATAACAACAAAATAAAGCCACCAAGAATAAATAATTGGTTCTAAGAGTGTAAGATTTTAAACAGCAGTAGCTTGCCTTTACATATATTCATGGTATTATCACTGGGCTTTGACATTTACAGCMTACCTAAGGTTAAACCACCCTACAAGCAAAGCTACAGGCTTGAGACAAAGGCCCTAAGCAAACCCACTCATCTGAGCCAGCATAAGAACAAGGCACAAAGCATATGATCAGTCCAACCCAAACAGGATAAACTGTCCAGACAGCTCCAGGCCCAAGATTAAAAATAGAGGCAATGCAACTTCAGCTGCTGATTTGAGGTTTATTGTAATTAGTATTTGAAAAAATTACTTTTAAGTTGTTGAAATCRTATCAGCAAACGTTATCAGTGGGGGAATATTTTGGTGCAGAAGTCTGGGTAATTTTTCACAGATGGCAGAGTGGTTGTTCCAAAAGGTTTGTAATGTAAGACTACAACTACATAAAAGTTTCCATGTGTTTACCCCAGCCTTAGCTGAATTCAACAGGCTTACCTGAGTAGATCAAAATCCCACATCTCAAGTGGTTGTATTTTGCCTTAAATCCCAGCCCAGCATTTGGATTCACACAGATTCAAACCCTTAACTGGGGATTATGTTTAGATCTGGTCAAAACCAAGTAGAGGTTCTCTTATCCTTCTTCCTCCCTATTCTCTTTTCACTGAGAAAATGTGGAATCAATCCTACTTCAGCCCTCCTGGTGTGGGAAAACGGGAGAAGGAAGGCGCAGACAAGCTGGCTTTCCAAAAGGATGTGTGCTATTGAATCACAGAAGCCATGGTTGTCCTCCAAGATCAAACAAGGATTCAGCAATGTTCTTTCTACATACTAAGCTTGAAGTTCACATATGATCTAACAGAAGTCTGTGGGTTTTGACCTTCCACAGACTTGCATTTGAATGCTTCATTAGAGGAAAAAGGATGGTGTTATCTCTAAAATTATTCCAGCCTTCCCTTGGCCTTGCCACTGAATTCCACATTACTAACTCCACACGCCTACCCTGCTATGAAGAAACAGCTAAAGAGCCAAACAAATGCACGTGTGCCAACAAGCAGCTCAAAGCAAGTTCCTTACAGTCGGTTGTACTAGAAATCRTTTGCTGTGCTAATCAAGTACAGCTGGAAACTAAGCACGTAATTGCAGAGTCATGGACATTCCTAGGATATAATTAGATGCTTTCAGAGACTGCTCATATGGGTCGTGCTTTTATTCTTTGATTCTTCCATGGGTATTGTACTAACCACGATGAAGACCATACTTTTATTTTTTCCCATTAATGTTTTTGTGAATCCACCGCAAGCACCGTTCAGCAATTGATTCATGAGCTTTCTTCAACAGTTCTTATACAATTAGCATAGAATGCTTCTGCTAGCTAAATAAAACTCTCTGACATATGCTGTTACCTGTGACAACACCTGTCTGGGGTAAATGCCTTTTTCTGAGTCCTTTATCACCTAAAGCATCTGAGGATTGTGAAATGGTTCCCTCTTCCCATCCTGTGTCCAGATTCTGCCTGCTGCCACAATGCATTTTTGAAGGGCCCTCTCTTTRGAAGCTGCTGCCCCATCCATCCCATGGCTGCCCCCACCTGCAGGAGTGGTGCTCACCCCTCTTGAGTGATCCTTTTACAGTGATCATGTGTCCCTCTTCCACACCTCTGTGTGCTCACAGGCTTTCCAACTGCTGCATGCACAGGACACATGGTTTGTGGGACACATCTGTTGCTTGTTACCCACTGGCTCTTGAAATAACTTCCATCCTTTAATTTCATCCTCTGAGACTGGAGCGGCAGACCAAGGGATCAATAAAAAGGATTGGCAATTAATATGTCATCAGACAAAATAATTTATCTCCTTTGGAATATGGATTTCACTTTGGCAGTGCCTTAAAAGAACAGATTCTGGTCATACTGTTCTTCAAGTTGTACAAGGTGAGGGTTACTAAGCTTGTGATTGTGAAAAGAAGGCTAGGGAAAAACCTGAGTATTTTCTCTAAGCACCGCTGGAAGTGACAAACGTGCCCCACTTAAATGGATTGTAAAGCCAGTGTGTCTTAAGACTGACAGCATCATTATGGTAAATACACATTTCATTACTTCTGGTCAGCTACCTCCAGGATTTAATTTGCTGGTGTCACAGCTTGAGCGGCTGTTTCATGCCTGTGGGGAAATTTGGCGGGGCTTGTGCTTTCAGAACCAAATGATCAGCTCCAACTTCCTTCCTAGATTATTATTACAAGCTCGTGCCACGATAAAGCACTTAGAAAAAAAAAAAAAAAAAAAAAGGAGGGGGGGAAGTAAATCCCACAATGTGATGCCTGTTCACAGTCATTCCCAGTGCAAGGATGAGTCATGCTAGCTGAGTTTCCAGCCAATAACCAGGTCCCAATTCAAATAAACAGGAAGGGGAGGCAAGGAGATATACAACATGTCAAATAAACAATATTCACAGAATAATGGGAAAATAAATGGTGTGCAGAAGAGCTCAGAGATCATTTTCAGAAGTTTATATTCTCAGTTTATTTTTATATAACAGAATGAGTTTTACACATGAGGAAGGGATCAAAGTTGCAAAACAACTACTAATTTTAAGTACTCTAGCTTTTGAATGTGCCACTCTGAAACACATTGTGCCAGAACCCAATTACCAGAAGTACAAGTATTTACAAGTTCTGCTGACTTTAAGAGGAATGGTGGACACTCATCAGCTCTGTAAAATTAAAGTACTGGCAACTGCATCGCATTATCGAATGTTAGACAAGTGGAACTAAAATCCCAAACAAATCTGACTTCTGTCAGCTTTTACGGAGTAAATCTTGCAGCATCACAGAATTTTCAAAGTGGACATCTRAAATYCCAAGGCAAATTTTAAAGCTATGAAGATCTACTTCTTAAGTACCACTATGATCACCTACTGTGTAATGTGGGACAAAAATAACATCAGTGCAAGYACAAGACAATATTGAATGCTATATYCAGACCTCTTGGATGAAATACTGCCCATTTTGTGAGTGATTCTCTYACACTCTGATATATTTTGCCCTGGTGGCCAATAATGCTAATTTCATTCTAAATCATATGATGACTCATTCTCACCACGATTCATCTTAATCTTAGGTACTTAAATGGAATGACTAAGCCTGGATGACCTTTTCAGACAGAATACCTGTGGATTCATCTAAGATTGGAATTACTTCTGAAAGTGCATTGAAAAGCCAAAGGTCCCAGGTTAGCAAAATTCCTGTAGTCCTCTGTCACTGGGTGCAGAGATTCCATGACTTAAAACAAAGACAGGACTGAGATCCAGATTTCAGGATCTTGGCCTCTGCTACAGTCTTGCAGTGGTACCTCCAGAGCATGCAAATAAGAAATAAATAGTATTGCAAAGCTAGGAATTGCTGCCTATCATTATTAGATCCCACAATTTAAACAAAATGGGAAAAGACATCCCTACAGAACTAAGGGAAGTACATCCTCAGCTTTTAATACATTCCACTGAATTCTGGAGCAGGCACAGWTTCGAGTGCTGGCTGCAGGAGGAAAGGACTGTTTGAAGTGATCTTCAAGAGCGTGAACAAAAATGCTACAGCCTTGTAAAAAAAAGTGAAGATTTTTTGAAAATGAGGATATTTATTTCCGGGATTTTTGTTTTTGTCTACATTTTTCCACAGGTTGTGTAAAGATCATCCTCTAATAAATACTCTTCAGAAGAAATACTCCATGGGAAAAATGCAAATCCATAT